CCCATCTGTCCCTGCTTCTTTCTCTCTCAACACTTCCCTCTGAACAAGTCATGAATCCTCTCTCCCTGCTGTTTGTCCTCAGCACTCTCCCTTCTCCTTCCTCCTTTGCTCGATTCCTTTCTGTGTTTCCCCCTCTTTCGTAGTTATTCCTCCTCCAGCGCCAAGTGACATATCTGATATTTGCAGCAGGATAGAAACCCAATTTTAAATGTTAATTACAATCTTCCCAGTCAAACTAATGAATCATGATTAGATTACTAATAAAACAGACGGTTTAATTTGTCTGGGAACAGGGGAGAGCTGCAGGAAGATAGAAAAAAAAACAAAAGAATGACAGAGAAGGAAGAGAGACAGAAGTAAAGAAGGAGGGCAAAAAATCTGCAGAGACAAGAAAATTACTGAGCAAACATTGATCTGTCTGCTGCAGCCGCCCTGTTTTCTGATGTGTGTCTGCTTGCGTGTCTGTGTTTGCGCCCCATAGGAGGCCATGCAGCAGTGGTACCAGCACTACCAAGCAGCACAAGCTCACACATACGGCACCGCTGCCTCGCAGGACAGCACAGCCACAGACTACAGCAAGGAGCACACACAGGTAACTCATTAGTAACAGTGGTGTGTATTTGTGGTAGGGCTGGGCGATAAACCGGAAATTTACCGACACCGAAATTTACGACAAGAACCAACGTCATTTTGCCAATGTCAATATATTCTGTGTCAAAAAAACAAATTAATAAAAGTTGGTTTTGGATGTGTGTATCAAAGAGGGAAAGACAGGTGAGGAGATGGAGGACGGTTCAAAAGTTTTAGCAGCTAGAACGGCAGCTGAAATAGACAAAGTTAATCTTGGAGGGGTTGAGCAGCTTGTGGAGTAGTTATCATCCATTTATCGTTATCGAGGTGAACTGCTCAATACATCGTGATATTGATTTTGAGGCCATATCGCCCAGCCCTAATTTGTGGTTTTAGAGAGGTTTGTTTTTTTGTTTTTCTCACTCATTTCACTGGTTTTTTGGTCACTAAAAACAAGATGAACTAGTAGCATCAGGTCAGATTATGTTCTCACCTTGAAAACATGAAGACTGTTTTCTTCCTGACTTCATCTCTTCTTTGCATTTTTCAGTTCTTAGTTAGTTTTCTGTTTCCCATTAAACTATTTTTCCTTTCTATGGGGAAATTTGTCTTTACTTGACAAATACAGTAAAAAACAACTTTGAGTAATGAGCTCCACATAATGTGTTTAATAAGCTTCTTTTGTTCCAGCCTCCCCCAGTGTCAACCTACGGGGATTATAGTTCTTACATGCAGGCGGTCACTCAGTACTACTCCCAGCCTGCTACAGCCAACCAGGCCTACGCCAGCAAGGTACAGACACCGAACTTGAACCCAAATATGAAACCTCAGATACTGTAACACTTGACCAGCAGTTTAAGGTGACAAATTCTCTCATTATGTGGGTCTGAACCATAAACTGCATATAGAATGGACACCATCTACCTTCTCGCTGGGGGAAGCCACTGTGAGAACAGCACCCTCTGGTGACGGGCTGCAGTATAGGCAATCCAGCAATCCCTATGGAGCTGTGAATAAACGTTACAAATTTATTACACAGAATGTAAATGTTTCTCCTCCCTGGTTGTGATGTTGACATGTAGTTACTGTAAGACTGGTTTGTGCTCAAGTCCTCTTTTTTCTGTACAGCTCCATTTTTAAAAGTTATTAGGGGGTTCATGTTTTCTATGATTGACACCTGATACAGCCTATAGGCGTAAGAAGATTGCGTAGCTCACCCGGGGGATACGATGTTTATAATGTGTATAATGCTACTGCACAACCCAGAAAGACAGAGCTTTTTGGCTTCAAATCCGTAAACTGGCGGAAGGCTGAACCAAGTTGTCCATAGTATATACAGTCTCTGGATACTCAAACAGACCTCTAACAGTATGGATCAGCATAATCAATTACTCATGGAAAAATAAAAACATATACGTCCCCAGAATGAAATTGACAGCATGCTCCGAGGTGCTCACACTCAGAAAAAGTGACCCCTATCTAAGGCAATGATGAAGGTAGATGTTCACCCCGCACCCAGCAGCTGATACAAGCTGTCTCCACACACCCTCAGCAGCCAGATCCAGGATTAGATCTGCTTCTGTGTGTGTCTGTGTTTGTGCATCAGCTGTTTGCTTGAAGATGAAGCGAGTGATCTCGCTGCAAACGACAATAACAGGTTTTATTGAGCTCACTGTTTGTGGAGGAGTTGATATCCTTGGTAATGCGATAAGAGAGGAGAATAGACCAGCGAAGTATAAAGGAGGAGGTTAAATAAGTCATTTATAGATACGTGTCTCTCATTGAGCCACTAGAGGGCAGAAGGGTTAAATTAAAGAAAATGTAGATGACTCAGTTGAGTGTTCTCAACAACAGCAGGCTCTTAATTCTAAAGCTTTATGGTGTTTTTCTTGACTTTACACCTGTATAGTACAGTTTGTGTTGATATGTGTGTGTCTGTTCCAGGAGGTCGAGGTGTGTAAGCCTCTAGGAGTCTCCCTGCACGCGGTCAGTAACGGAGCCGCCCCTCCACCGGCCGTCCTCCCAGCTGCCGCCGTGCTCCCGGCCTACAGCACCCTGCCTTTAATGCCCGGCTTCCTCGGAGCGCCACACCCCGCCGCAGCCACACCAAACCCGGTCACACACGCACACACCGCTGCCACTGACTGGAACACCTACTACTACGTGAGTACAGACTCGAGACTCTCTGTTCAGGCGATAAAACACAAACATTTCATTTTGGAGCTAACTGCTGACCTCTCAGGTTAGTGTGTATCAGTTGTTTACAGCCGAGAACTGAGGGTCTCAGACTTTTAGAAATTAATTTGGAATAGCTGGAACTGGGTGGATTTATCTGTTAAAGGCCAGAACAATAAAAAGGACAGGAGAACAGACTGCTCGGTGTGGTGTTTCTCCCAGAAAGAGACAGAGAGAATGATGAAGTGAGCAGGCGGGAACCAGACGCCCCGGCTAAGCCTCGTCTTTGGAGAAAGATTTACATTTGTTTGTGCAGACAGCCTCTGTGGTTCTTTTGTGAAAGAGACCTTTAGACGGGTAGACCTTAAACCCATTTGGGTGAAGGATGCTTTTATTGTTGCTCTCATCAGTTTTCTCTTTCTTTTCAAAATTTCTCTTAAATAAACTTAAAATATCACCAGAGCGAGGCGGGGGATTTATTCCCCTGTGAAGTCTCGTCAGCAGACTGTAACAGCCTGTGAAGTTGCTGCTCCACTGATAAGGCATAAAAGTAATAAAAGACATGGGGAGCGTTTATAGAGCATCCGAGCTGGCAGGGCGAAACAGAGCTGTGTGTGTATGTGGGAGTGAGTTTTGAGCACACACTTATTCTTGTAAATATTGTGTTTGATATCACACTCCAGAAACATGTAAGAAACGCAGGGTCAAATCCAACATTTAAACACCAAAAACTCCTAAAGCTGAATGATAATCTCTTTCGCTTGCGTAGCTTTGCAGTTTGATGATGTTGTTGTCGTTGTTGTGAGACTGTGATTTGGCTTGTAACACAAAAAAAGTTCAGGGAAATTAAATGAGTCAGCGAGTCTGAAAACAAGTCAAGAAGAAGGAAATGAAGTGTGTGGAGCCCGCGGAGTCCATTGTCAATTTTTGTTTGAGTTTTTTAACATCTATGAAATTGACAGAAATTCATATTGATGCTTTTTTATGATCTATAAAAGCAAACGGGACCATCCAGGTCATGATAGACGCTTTTAATGTCATAATTTTTTTATGCTTGAACCTGGAGAGAGGAGGTAGTTATTATCTGAGCAGAACCGCCATGTTTTTTTGCGATTTCACCATAAGATATTCACATTAGCAGGATTCGATTTTTTCAACACCTAAGATTATTAAAATTCTGTGTATGAAAATGTCATATTTTCTTTGTCAGTTTTTAAAGGTGAGCTGTGTATGATGCACCAGTAAGAACAATATACCAGTGCAAAATTTGGACTGGTTTGCGTTTGAGTTCTGGTATTTACCCCAGAAGATTGTGCTTGAAGAAGCAAGAAACCACTTCAGTGTACAAACTAAGCATGCTGGGTACACAGTGGGAGCAGGTGCATCCACACCTCTGTATGCTCAACTCCACTCCAGGTAGCTGGAAGGATGTCGGAAACAGATGGTCCTAGAAAGAGCTACACATCCGCACAAAAACTGCACATTGCTGAACACACTGATATCGTTCGTAGACTGTAGCCACGTTTAAATGTGCAAAATCTTTTGATCCGATTGAAAATTTGAGGAATCGGATAATCTGAATCCGCTGTTTCTATGGGTACAAAATCAAATGATCTGACCATGACGTTAGTATACATGCACCAAGTTTTATTTTGATTAGCGGCATTTGGACATGTGCAGAGTTGTCTGATTTCACGAAAACAACCGCAGAAGAAGAGTTGTATTTCCGCCTGTGCTGTCAACAAATCAACAAACGCAGTAGCGGCTCACTTCATCCAATTCAGGAGTTTTTGCCTCTGTTAAATGTTGCCACTAGATGGCGCCCTTGTGTACTTATTTTACTGTCCTGTTAAAGGTTGTTCTGTGTGTGCAGATGTGACATATTTACACTGTATGTACGCCTTGTTATGTTATCAGAGGAGCAGAGACGAGTCAGGTGTGAGAGTCACGATCAGAATAAGTGTTTACATGGACGCGTTTCGGAATAACGATCGGCATAAACCACCCCTCTCCATCGGAATACAATTTCTTTCCGATTGAGCCGAATTGGATCAGAATGTTCCAATCGACATGTTTACATAACGCATTTTTATTTTGATCAGGCATTTATTCTGATTATTTGTGCCCTTATAAACGCAGCTTGTGTCTTTTATTCTGGTGTGGCTTCTTTTACTCTGACATGACAGCAAACCTCTAAATCTTCCTCCTCCCATTCTTGTTTCTCCAGAACCAGACCAGGGGCCATAAGAGGGAGTACCCACAGCTGGCAGTGCAGGAAGTGGCATCATCAGATGGCGCCTACATTGGGCAGCACTCCCAAGGCCTTGGAGGGCAGTACGCCGACTACTTCAAGAGGAAGAGGCTCTAGTATGAACCAAACCACCTTAAAGTTTAACAAATACGGAGGGAGGCACACACACACACACACACACACACACACACACACACACACACACACACACACACACGCACAGTGTCTGCTGGATGTCACAGCTCCCTCTAGTGGCCTTTCTGTGGTGGTCATTTTGCATCCCCTAAAGTAAGTAGAGAGTTGAGTAGAAGTCGGGGTTGCAGACTGCTCAAGTGAAAGTAAGCCATAGTGCTCTTTGATCCTGGCACTTATTCACACACACACACAAACACACAAACAGATACACAAACACAGTGTTGCTTTTGTCCTGTTCAAGCCTTAACTCCTAAACTGTTGTTTCTCAGTGTGTCGACTGTACTTCTATTTAGACTTTTTTTCTAATATACTGTAAACTAAACTATACTGTATCTGTACGTTTCAGCTGCTTTTGTATTTGCAGCCGGGTGACCTGTCTGTCTACCTGCCTGCTGACACTGTCTTAGTACCTGTCTCACAGTCAGGCATCTCTCTCTTCTTCTCTTCTTCTTCTTCTTCTCCTCTTTGTCGCCTTTTTGAAACAAAATGTGTCTGTTGTTTCCATCTATTAGTCAGTCAAACTGACATCTGTTTGTTCTCGCTTCAGTGTCTCTCCTCTTTCCCTTTTATTGCCCAGGTTCCTCTTTTGTATCTCCCCTGTGGAGGATTACAGTGAGTGTGTGTGAGTGTGAGTAAGTGTGTGTGTGGGTGTTTGTTGTGCTTGTGTGTGTGTGTGTGTTTTAATGCGTCTTTATATCCTTTATTTTTCTGTAGGAAGTGTCAGCCATTTCAATCCCAAGGTTTGGGAGCACATCAGGAAAACAATAAAAAAAAGGGCCTGAACCAATCACAGCCCTTTATTGTGGTGACTTATAATAGCTTCCCTTACTGAATGGACCTGTGTGAGCGAGAAAAACACACGGCTGCTGTAAATACAGTGTGAAATACAGAATATATAAAGCCATGCGTACCAGACAATATCACATATAATGGACATTTCACAGCTCTTTTGTGAGCTATTGTACTAAAGGAATGAAAGGAAAACATTTACTAAGTGTCTGATTTTTTTGTCAATCTATACTGTTATATATTTGTAATATAATATTATAATAATATTCCAAGGCAATTCAAGACATTTATCAATATCGGAGCAGATTGTGTTGACTTTACTGTATTTTTCTTGTTTGGTTTTGAACATTTAAGCCAAATATTGGGGCACAGTGCTTTTCTCTTCTTTCCTCTACTCTTCTACTCGTCTGTCTGATTGAACACCTTTGGGGTAATTTGGGGAGATTTTTTGGATTGTAACCGGAGTTTTACTTCCACTTCCAGTTGCCATTGAATCATACAGATATGGGCTGTGAACTGTGTCCTAAATTCATACCACGTACAAAGATAGGCAGTTTTTTAAAAGCTGTTATTGCTTCGTCATGGGGTGAAATTCTGGCTTTTTGAGGGGAATTGAAAAAAATGTTTCGTGTTTAAGGATTTGCAGGGAGCAATTATTCACCATAAAAAGACAACAAAGGATTGAGTTTTGCCTTTTTGCTGCATTCACCACATATAAAACTATGTCTTGGGCTGCCAATCAGGATTGACTGTTAGATAATTTGCCATTTCTTTTCTAAACTAAATATTAGTTTATAATCGAGCAGGACAAAACCATAACTCTGAGGACTAAAGCAAACAAAAACATTCAAACTATAAAGATTTTGAATAATATCATTAACTTTTTCTTCTTATATAATCACTAACTCAAATAATTTTGTTGTCCTAATAGTTGGCGTTCACTTCAGAATCAGTGCAGCCCTCCTGCATAACTTCAGTTGATTGTATGAAATTCTGACACAGTCTTCATCATTTAAGGGGCTCTTTGATGTTCACAGTGAAAAACGTATATTAGTATTTTTGTGTTTTTATGCTCAGATCATACTGCTATGACATGCCGGTGTGCATGTTTTTATCTTAATGGTGCTGGGTTGGAGTTTAACCACACCTTCTTATTCGTTTTTAAGCAGAAGCAAAAGAAAAAACAAAAGACTATAACATGTAAAGTTTTGCAGAGCTGATTTTTTTAAAGCTGCTTTTACAAAGGAACAGTGAAATACCTATTCTGTAAGAAAATATACTTTCATGTTATTGTTGCATTTTAGCAAAGGAAGACGTCATGTCATACAGATTTATTTGATGTTTATTACAAAGGAGAGGGCTCGTTATTTTGATATTACAGCTTGGACGTTAGAGTTGTCTAAGCACACGGCAATAACTAAGGCTCCTACTACTGTAGAAAGATGAATGTACAATTTATTTATAGTGTAAATGTTTTGCTTTTCACACAACAATATTAACTCTTGTTTTAAAGTTAAAACACTTGGTAAAAGCTTTTTTAATTATCTGTATTTGTGTTCAGATCACAGCTGTATCTGACCTTGTATCACAGTGTGGAAATATTACCTGGCGACCATGCTCACGCACTGTGAAACGCAATAGAAGATGAGATTAGAAAACACTTTCATACACACGTACAGAGGTGTGAGTTTAGTCCTGATGTGTGGAAAGAGTTTGTGACACGAAGTGCAGACACAATAAGAGAAGAGTGGAGTGTTCACGCTTATTAAGAACAAAGTCAAACATTGAATTTAAGGCACTACGTTCGTACATTTATCACTGTCTGCTCTCAGTCACCTGTTTAAATGTGTCATTTACATTTATCACATTTTAAAGCATGTGTGCACCATGTTTCTACGGAGGACCTAAGAGGACATGGTTATATAAATAAACCATGTCCACTTAGGGCTTCCATATAAAGGTCCTTACACACCGGGAACGATGCAAATATACGATACAAAAAAAATACTGACGTCCGAAATAATCGCACGATAAAAAAACACCCCCAGTGTGTAAGGACCTTTACTTGTCCCCCTTTGGATCCACTTAAGTATTTTAAGATGAGATTTATCCCTCTGTTTGTGGCTGTCTTCTTCTTTTATGCATTACTCCAGTTTCTTTCCTCCATGACCCTCTGACCTGAATCAAACATGACCGTTCTGACATGCAGTATGACGACATATTCACCCAGACTGGTTTGATTTGCTTCTCAGTGTGAGTGGTTAAAAAGAAACTCAGCTGGACCTCCACTTACTGTCTGACATGTCTTTCTCTGAGTTAGTGTGTTTGTACCGCAGACAGGGCCGCTGTAGATGTGAATCTCTTGAGTCAGCAGACTTTGGACAGCCCTGTCTGTCTTCCTGACTGACTGTTTTCCAGTCCGACTGTCTGCTTTAATGTATTCAGGTGTCAGGCCTGGATTATTTTAGCATTACTCCAGCTGTAGAGTCAGCTTTTTTTTCTCTGCAGTCTCTCACTTACTCTGGAGCCATGTCCTTATTCTTACTGAGATGATGCCGTAAATATTAAGAATTAAAATAATTTGGGCCAAAATAATTCAAGTCCAGTCTCAGGAGAGAGCAGATCAATATAGGAACAAAATCAAGAAGCTGTGAGATCTCAAGAACGACTTTTTTAACTGATATGTTTATAAATCTGAAGTGTTTTAAACTTTTCTAACTTTGAGATGCATGTCACTGTTTCCACTTTTTTTTATTCACGATTTCTCTGAATGTGCCCTTTTTTTTTTTTTTGCTGTCAGGTGCAGCTTTTCCTCATTTTTCAGGTCCAGTAAAAGTTTTGTCGGCTGTTTATGCACCCTGACAACCGGGTGCTTTTGCACGAGCACTGTGATTGACTCCAGTTAAAAAAAAAAGAAAAAAACTTCAAGTCGGAGCAAAAGGCACCTAACGGCTTTTTTTTTTTTCCCCTGTCATTGTCAAACCAAAAAAAGAAGAAAGATTTCAAACCTGCGATCTGACATTTCAGAAAAATCAAGACTAGTCTGAGGACAGGTTGTCGCCTTGCCCTGGCGAGTTTTTGTGAAAAATACCGAACAAATTGGAGCCTCTCTTTTTTTTCTTTCCTCTTGACATGTAGATTGGTCAGAGCTTGTTCCGCCACACACTGGTTTCCTCGGTTTTCATCTTCCATTATACTTCCAAATTGCAGACGACGAGTTGAACTTCAGTTTCCTTCTCGTCTGTTTGGAAACAGTAATTGCGGGGAACTGTAAGTGTGAGTCTGTGCCGCTTTAAGAAAAAAACAACGTGCTCTTGGCAGGTAAAGGAGGTCGGGAGGAATAGGCTGAAAGGAAACGAGGGAGGAATGGAAAAACAACCCCAGCTGCCTTCAGCCGTTCAGCCTGCAGGGATTTCTCTCTTTTTATTTTTTGCCTTGTTTGTTTGTCTTTTGGCTTTCTCCACCTCTGTCTGCTCGCTCAGTGTGCAGAGTTTGTTATGACTGCTGGACTCCTGCATGTTGCACGCACTTGTGAGTGTACACACACACTAATAATACACCGCGTGTCCATCTCTTCCCCTCTCTATTAACACAACTCAGATCTTTGCTAATTCATCATCGCTCATGTTTATGTTTTTTTTCTCCTTGTAGATAAATATCATCTGGTCTTTATTTCTTTTTTTCTGCGAACTGAGAGGAAAACATCGTCCCCCTCCCTTATTAGCAGATCTGCTGCCAATCCGGCACAGTCCTGCTCAGCTACAGACACATTTGGCACCAAGTCTCATGTGACACTATTATAAAGAACAGCATCACTAGACCTGAACCTGAAATATTCAGCGTATTTAAACATGGAAGACACATGTCCCAGTCCACCTCCATAACAACCCCCTAACAAAGCACTGACATCTTGTATATTTAGAGTCAGAGTCTCTGGAGCAACAGCGTTCAAACCCCGCCCCTTCTGTTAACCAAAGTACACTTTTGACTCACTGATCAACAAACAAAACACTCAAGTTGGTACAGACCGTTATGGGAAGTTCATTGACTCTTGTGTCACAAGGACTACTGTCCATGTCCCAGTTTACAAACACCGGGCAAGGACTGAATTATTGACAGAAGCGTTTCCAGCTCTGCTACAGTAGGTGGCGACATATCCCCTTTTTGCCCCTTATTATCAGGTTAAATCCAGTCGACCTGTTATCTATCAAAATGCGTGAATTGGATGTAACCCGAATGATGAAAACACTTAGTTTTACAGCTCTGTTCCGTTTGTTTGCACAATAGAAAATGTCATTTTTCATCATTTCTTCATCTGTTGAGGTTTTCTTGCAACACATTCGTACTGTTCACCTTCCATCTCAAAGCTCGGCGTGTGAACGCTGATGTATGCTCAGAACATTTAGGTCAGATTTAGTCAGATTGAGTCGTAACTGCATTATCCAGGTATGTTAGTCAGACTATTAGAAGTTGGATTTAGCGTGATTTCGGTCGGACTAACATGTTCACGGTTTTTTAGAAGTCCAGTTTCAGTCGCACTAATGCAATAAATTTCCTTTTTTTGAGCAACATGTAAACCTACACAGTCATGGGAGGTTAGATAACTAGTGTCAGTGATCATCACGTTTTCTCTTACTGTTTTCTTCTCCTTTGTCAACGATGCTGTCAGTTATTCCCTTTGTTAGCGCATCGGTCACTTGCAAAAGCGAACGTCTTAGGAAAAATAATAAAAATTGATATGTATTTTAATCTCACAGTGTGACCGATATCTTATCTGTCATCATGGAGAAGGCAGAGTTCGTCAGTGATTTCACTTCACTTTTGGAGAGATGTCCTGTCGTCCAGCTTTTGGCAACCTTTGAATCAGCAGGAGAATTTCAGTTTAGGTGCCATATCGTGGATATCATGTATTATTAGCTGGAGGTTAAAGGGGTAATGCACAAAACGTCCTTGTTCAAAAAGACTTAAAACAATTTATTGAGCAATAAACTGACATCCTCAAAATGTTTCCAAAAAGTATGTATTTTGGTCAGTTTTTAAATTCCTCTCATAACAGATCAAGTTTTATAAACTGTTCTCAAATGACCATTTTTACTCAACACACTTAAATTTTAAAAACACAAAGTTCATAACCTCCTGTGTTTTGTTCGTTATAATAAAGGACTACTTCAGTTATAATTTTTAAAAAAGGATACAGAAAATATTCAGCAGTCCTAAAGTTGCCTTTTATCAAAATGTGGTGGATCGATCATTGTGGAAGTTAGCTGACGTGAAACTCCGCCCCTCAGAGTTTCAGTGACAGTTGTTTATAAAAAGTTATTCTGGGGAATAAAACTTTTTTTTATCATATTTTATTTAATAGGGAATATTTTCTGGAGTGGTTGCACTGTTGCAAAAAAAAAACAAAACTAAAAACTTTTTTTTATTATTGTTCTTCTTCTGTGCCTCTCTGTGCTACTTTTACTAGATGTGACGTCTCTCCTGATTGTACACAAAAGTTATCGACTCAGCACAACGAAAACCTGACAAATGCTTCTATTTTATTTGATTTGACCACCTGGTCTCTAACCTTTGAAGAAGCCAGCAGCGGTTTACCCTAACCCTAACCCTGAAGTTCAGGAGAAAGTCTTTCTGTGTAAATGCGGCTTCGTAGTTGCTGAAAAAATTTAATTACTTTTGTGAAATTGCAGTTTTTTTAATACGAGCGTCCTTTTACACCAGAATAGAAACTCTTTCCTGCTAATGACTCCAGGTAAACGCCAATATTTCTTCTGTTCTCATGTAAACAGAGCCTCCAACGAAGCTCCAGTGCGTTGCCATTGTTCCAGGTCTGTGGTGAGGCTGGACTTTGCAATAGTGAATGACTGTGTATGTGAGTGTGTGTGTGTGTGAGGGTGTGTTGATCCAAAAGCTTTGCAATACTCAAGTATTTCAGATTTTTCTGACCTGTTTTCCTGGCTCTAGGTTCGTTAGATTTGCTGTGCTGTTTGCTTTGTAAAGAGTTTTTTTTGTGGATTTTTTTCTGACCTGAACTATACTGTAGATTTTGCTAAATTTTATATCACACTGACATTGCTATTGTTTTACTGTGAAGAGAGTCTTTCTAGAGCAATTTGAGCATGCATACTTACAGCTGTAATATATCCAACAAACTGTTTTAACTCGTTAATAATGTATTGCATTTGGGCTGACGCGGACAGAACACAACAAACATTGACTTTATTTATTTTTTCATTGTGTATTTATGGACACTTTAATCTTCCATAAGTCTTTCTTTCGTCTTATTTTTTGAAAAAAATATATATTTCTTTCTTCTTATTTTGAGCAGAAGGAATTGTCTTTTACATTCCTAAATAAAATGTAGACTTAAGCGCAATTTTTGTCACCTTGACAGTCTTTTTTTGATGTTGTTGTTGTTCACAGTAAAAGCCGTACAGCTGATGAAAAAACTGACCATTTCTTACGGCGAGGATGAGTTCACAACAGCTGCACACAACTACTGATGGGTTCAGACAAAACCTTCAGCTCAAACTTTTAAACATACACATAAAGAAAAACAAAATTAGACATATTTGATAATTAGAAATAAAAAGATACAAATAAAATGCATGTACATAATAGAGAAAGTCTTTTCATTTATAGTCTGCAGCTGTGATGACTGGCTCTTTTTTCATAAATGTTATGTGAAGATATGAAAGTTTTATGACTCTTACAGATTTAGATTAAAGTTACAGGACAGGAGAGATAAAGTGAGGTGGTGCTGCCCTCAAGTGTCTCTAACAGGTACTTCTCTCAACCTAGAAGTGCTGTGTGTTAAAGTAGAAGTCATCTGATGCAAACAGATTTTAAACATCGTCTAACAAACCAAACTTGACTTGGAGTTTAACGCTAAACCATCTCGAGCGAGCAGAGGATGTTGCAAACCTCCATCTTGCAGATCTTAATGTGATGTGAGTTTTTCAAATGAGACTGGTGTAAAAAGGAGCTATTCTTGGTAATATGAGGAGGATGAAAACATCAGAAGGATGTGAAGAGAGAGAGAGCAACAATCCGAGAGATAAAACAGAGTTTTTCTGCCTCTGTGCAGATGCAGTTCATGCAGATCCTTCACAGATCAAGTCTTTGGATCTGTGTTATTTTTAGAGACGGATTTCTGACACAAATCCAGGCTGAAAAACAGATCAGTATTATCAATAAACCTGTAGTTTAAGTGCGAAAACATGCTGTAAAATCATGTTAAACTTGAAAGCTGAGGTCTTCAAAGTGTGTTCAGTTAAGAAGTTTATAAAACCCTTCTGATTGAGAAGCTGAAAACAAATGTTAGGATCTTTTTTTGCTGCTTAAACGCTTCACAGATAAATCATTCTTCATCCTCTGACACCAGGAAAGGAAAATTGCAGCAAGATTTCTGCACATCACAAAGAGAAATCGTAATATTTAGCTCAGATTCTTTCATGGCTCACTCTTAATGAAAGAATTCTACACAGAAAGAGTCAAAGAATCACATCTTCTGCATCGATGCCCGTCTCGTCTTATCCAAGGTACTCCTCAGCATGATTCATCAGCGACCTGCTTCCATGCTCACGAGGCAAGACGCCTCACAACTTTGGTCTGTCAGTTTCTCTTTCTGCTTTTTTTCTATCTTCTGAACCAGCTGTCCACACCTTCTAAGGCCTTCAGAGCACAATACCAGAGCAACGAGTCCATTTCTCATGATCGAGACTATTAAACCTGTTAGATACATTTGGAGGTTCTGCATGAGAAACCAGATCACATTCAGCGTGGGCTAAAGGTATAAGATTAGTCTCCATAAACATCCCATTACTCCTTTTTTTTTTTTTTAATCTGAATAACATAAAAAATATGAAAGCTTCAAATAAAAAACCGTTAAAAATATGGCAGACTAAATGATTTTTGATTAGAAACCAAAGTCTTAATAAGATTGTTGTGGAGGTTTGTATGTGAGCAGGAGGGCCGTAGCTGATCCTTCAGGACTGTCTCTCAGCACAATGAAGCAGCACGAGCAGACGCTGATCTGGGGACAGTTGTCGTCGTCTGCTGAGCCACAAATTCAGGGTTCAGGGTTTAAAAGTCGTTCTGTGGCTGAAGCTTCTGCTGCATGTTGCTCAGATCCTTTATCAGGCGCTCAAAGGTGATCCGGTCCTCAGGTTTGTGTTCCCAGCACCTGCGCATCAGCTCGTACACCTGTGTGTGGAGCAGGTGAAACATGTTAAGACGTCTTTTACGTTTTCCTTTCCTAGGAGCGATCTACCAACTGCAACCAAACACTCTTAATAAGGTCTGTGGATCTGACAAGTACGGTGGCCCAAAAGGTCCGGTTCAGAGAAACAATAAAGAATATGTAAAAATGTTTCACAATATCACACAACATGAAAAATATCTTCAACAACCTTTTTTTTTTTCTTTATTAACAGATTTTAAGAATAAAAATATTTCAGGAAAAATTTTTAAAAGCATTTTTTTTTGTATTTTTCAAAATATTATGTTAACAATTGATTATAATATTAATAGTGATTTAACAAATTTTAAATGCAAAAGCTAATTAAAATTATTTGGGTTGTTAAAAAATATGTTTATAAAATGTATTTGCATCTTAAAAATAGAATTTTTTGTGTTTCCTGAAATATATTTTGTGTTTTTTTAGGAAACATTTCTGTGTTTTTTTATATTTGGGGGTTTTAAGAACTTTTTTCCCATTTATTAAATGTTTTAGATTTTTATTAAATATTAATTTATTGCCTTCTTGAAATCTTTGTGTCATTGACCTTCAGGGCCACCGTAGACAAGGCTTTGATTTTATGGAACAAAAGTTTAGGAGAGTAACAACTTCTGATTGATGTACCTGCTACTTAAAGTCACTGTTTCCACATTTATGGGGAAGGTTTTTTGCGGATTAGCAGCAAACTTATGTTTCCTTCAGTATGTTCGAGGGTTGTCACTTTTTATCTAAAGTTTTAGTCTCGATTACATTTTTGGGGACAGCTTTTAGGGGAGCTGTAATAAGCCGAGTACATTATGTCAGTACAACACTGTCTGAAGTCATTTGAGAAGGGTGCTCTTATCGTAACCCGACCATCGCATGCTCTCTTAACCTGAGCAAACAAATACAGTGATGTATTTAACGGTGTGTGCCAACGCAAAAACAACTGAGAAGCAGCTGGGGGAAATATTTCGGGTTCTACACCAAACACGGCGAAAGAGAAGACAAAGGACAAGGCTGTATGTCGGATTTGAATGGCGACGACAAAAAGTCTGCGGGCTCACCTGTGAGGTAGTCTAACATGGCTGTTTAATCCTTGTATTGTGCTACTTTTTTTGCTTAATTTAATAAAACCATGAAAACAAATCATGAAACTGTTTTGTATCTATACAGCGGCACCTGGGTGTGTGTTTTTTTATGTGTTGAAACTTAAGCAAATAATTTGTTGGGAAAGGTCACAGCACTTCAATGTACAGCATGATTTGTGTTTCAGGACATTTCTGGTTGAAATAAAATGAAATTTGCAAACAATTCGTTTCTAATTATCCATCTTGTAAAGACAGTTTCATCACTTGCGTTGTGTTATTCTAGGAAAAGAGAGACACTCACCGGCTCGGGGCAGCCCTCAGGACGTGGCAGCCTCCTCCCGTCTGAAAGCAGGTTCACCAGCCGCATCACCGTCATCTGCCCCTGAGTTTTACCCATCATGCCGAGGAAGAGCTGCGTGTGTGAGGAAACGAAGAAATTATACACAATGCAGCTCAATAACTGCTCTGAAATGACACGTTTGATTACAACTGGAGGATAGATGAGCTACAAACTGTGTGGCTGTGGCTTTTAACATAACCCCCTTTTTAATATTCGCTTAACTTGTGCAAGAGTAAATAACTTAACAGCCCTCAAGTGTTAGTTAAAGGTCAGTCAGGATACGGTGGCAGTTGAAAGCTGGATGTAAATGATAGATCTCTAATGACAGACTAAGCTCTTAGTGTTGGCACCGGCTCTGGTTTGGATGCAGCTCCTGGTGGAGTCTGTCATCTGCTGCTCTGGCTGCAGACCAACACCATCTGCCACATACAAATGACCGTGTGTGTGTGCGTGTGTCTGTGTGTGTGTACAGCCACAGTGAGTCTTATTTCTACATCACCGGCACCCTGAAAATGTATTTAGTGTGAAATCGTTATCCAAGCCTACAAAATGCACACAAACAACGCGGATGAGAGGTGGTTCCTGAATTAAAGCTCACTGACCGACATCGGGCTCTTGGTGGAGTCACAGTATGTGATGAGCTCGTACATCGTCACCCCGAAAGACCAAACGTCTGAGGCCAGGTAGAACTTGCAGTGAGTCAGACACTCTGGAGCGTACCTGGAAAATAAACGGCAGAGCAGGACTGTGATCATGCATCTGTTTGAGAACATTATTACCCATCATTCCTCCAGTGTCTAGTCTAGGTGACAAGACTGAACTGTTATTGATGAAACCAGAGTTATTGAAGACTCAAAGTCAGACAACCAGGGTTGAGGAATATCAACGATCTACAAAGATTTTAACAGAACCAGGGTCTGCTGTTTTAACGGCATGACTTTTCCCATTTTAGGATTTTTCCTTTGACAGTAAAATCAAATGATTTTCATGATTTCAATTTTCTGTCTCCTTTCTTCCTGACTCACCAGAAAACAGGGCTTTCGTTTTCGTCTTTCACCGTGTAATATCCTTCATTCTCCTTGATGCTCTTGGTGAGGCCGAAGTCTCCGATCTTCACCGTCCTCTCGTTCTCCACCAGCACGTTACGGGCAGCCAGGTCCCGGTGGATGTAATTTTTAGATCCCAGATATTGCATTCCCTAAAACAACAAGACCGGAGTGATTAAAAGCAGACAAACGCCAGCTTTACACAAAGGTGAATCTCAAATGTGTTGCTTACATTGCATATCTGTTTGGAGTAGCTGAGCAGGGTGCTGAGGCTGGTCTTGCTCTTGTTTCGGGGCAGATACTCCTTCAAACTGCCCAGAGGTACGTACTCCATGATCAGCTTAATGGCCTGTCCACCTGCAAACAGATGATCACATGAATGATCAGAAACAGCAGACACTGTGCTGTGATAGAAAGAGAGATTGGATTTATCGCTGCATCTGTTTTTGTCTTTTGTTCGATGTCACCTGATGGCTAAATCCTGATCAGGTAACTTTTAAACAACTAGACTGTGGTACTTAAAGATGACTAGTATGAGTGATGGACCACAGGCTACAGAATAAATGGATGTAGTCGCTGTAGTTTCTGAAGCACATCAGCGGTATTAGAAATACTCGACCCGACTTTTGGTCGAGCCTCTAACACTTGAAGTGTCGGTTAAATCCCCTGTGCCGCTAATGCTGCGAAATAGAGGATGACGTTTTTCGGGAATTCCCAAGGGTTACGCGATTCGTGCGGGAATCCCACAGGGTGGGAGTCATTTTTTAATTAATACCGTGATCGGGACGGGACGGGAAAAAAAGCAACGGGAGTGGGAACAACATTAATAGATGATAATTTTCAGCCGTGTTAAACGACCAGATGAACCGATGAGTCAATTTTCGTAGTCATCTCTCAGTGAGAGCCAACACTCTTGACCGCGCTAGCAACACAAAAGAACTACAACAGTGGTATGACTTCCTGTCACCACCAGAAGTGAAAAGCGACTCAGAGCGACTACCACTCCGACTCGGCTGCCACTTTTACCTAAAAATTTTAATTTATTTATGCATATTATGCACTGCAATTTTACCTAAAACAAAAAAATGCAACATTTTTTCAACATGTTTGGTTTTATTCAAACGGGAGCGGGACAGGACAGGATTAATTTTTTTACTCCGGTTCGGGATTGGGACAGGACGAGATTTTTTCTCTGGGAGTGGGACGGGACAGGAGTGAAAATCCGCTCCCGTGTCATGCTCTACTGCGAAACTTGTGACTGTAACGAACTACTCAGACTAAAACTGCTTCTCCAGCCAGGATATAAATATGATTAATTTTACTGTGCAGATGAATGATTAAGTGCTTTTTGCAGCCAGCCTCACTTGGACACTCTAACAGTTTTAGCACTTGCACGTCCACATTCTGTAGCGTAAAGACCCGACATGACATCAGGATACAAACAGCGTAAATCCTCCCTCCATCTTACCTTCCTCCTGACAAATGCCTTTGTATCTGACGATGTTGACATGGTAGAGTCCCTTGAGGATGTTGATCTCACGTGAGAGGTTGGTGCTCTGCTCCTCCCTGTTCTCGGGCTTCAGTGACTTCACCGCCACCAGCTCGCCTGTTCTATCTCCTCGCGGGTCATAGCGGCACAGCTCAACCTTACCAAAGTGGCCCTGTGTGAAGATGATGTAGGAACGGTATAAATACATCATTCTGGATAAGTTATTTACTTTCTGTGTGGGTGCAGGTACTGCTTCATCATCATCTAGGTCAGCTCTGTATCTGAGGAACACTTTACCTCTCCCAGTTCTCTGACTTTTCGGAGGAACCTCTTCTCAAACACGGTCGGGTCCGGCTCAGGTGTAGGCTTGGGTTTGATTAATGGGTCTGTAAAATGATCAGAAGGATTAAAAAACACACCTATTACTCCTTTTACTCCATTGTGGTTTTCAGTATCATCAGAACTTGCTCTAGTTCTATGACTGTTAATCTGCTCTGGTTTAAGCAGGACGATGCACTATTTAAAGAGGACTTCTTCTGTAAACAACGATTTGTTTCTGCTTTATTTTCTTTCTATTCTGAGTTGCGTTCTCTTTTCAGTCTGCAAAGTGTGACTGCAGTATCCTCCTCTGACCAGCAGGTGGGAGAACAGAGTCTCATTTTGTTGCCATGGGGCCCGTCAGAGGGGGAGATCAGTGAGAATGCACCCAGTGAACTTCCTCATGAACATCACAGTTGAGTAAACAACTCTCACTCTTTGCACTGCTTACCAGAGTGCTGTTAGGTGAGAAACAAAACATGCAAAATGTTCAGGTTATATACCAACCAACTTGATTTTTGCACCTTTTCACCTGAACCATAGTGGTCTCCAACACTAAGGGTTCACTGAGTGCAGCACTGTTTTAGATTTGCACCCAGTCCTATTTCAAAAACACACCAAATCTAATCTGTAGAGAGCATATATTCCTATCATACATACTCTTTTCCTCCAGCCCGACTATATCTCGGACAATAGCCCTGAAGAAAGGCCTCTTCTTGGGGTCGTAGTTCATGCATTGGGTCATCAGTTCAGCCAGCTCCCTGCAGTCTGGGGTGGCCAGTTGGCTATCTGTTTCGTAAAACCTCTCCTTCTGCTCAAAGGCACAAAGACAGAAATAGGAATCAGGAGGAGCACGGAAACGGTGTAATGAGTGATATAAGAAGGAATAAGGAAATGACCAGGAACAAATACAAAACAGGGCGGGATCAAGTTTGAGATAAAAGAAAACAAACCTCTGTGAGTTTCTTGTCTTTCAGTGGAACCTCTCCGTCATAGCAGATCTCCCACAGGGTGGTACCAAATCCCCATTTGTCAGCTGCAACGCTGAGGGAAGACACACTCTTCACACACTCGGGTGCGATCCATGGGATGCGATGCACACACTCTGCAAACACAAAGTGATTTTGGACTAAATGAAAATTTACTAAATCCAGAAAATCAATTTCCAAGTCCTTCAGGATTGCTGGAGAACAAAATTATACAGAATTTGGCTGAAAATTGTCCCTTTTTCTCTAGACTGTAAATGTTTGTTACCAAAAAGAGTAAATCCTGCTCCTTGAATATGATAACCATGTGGTGTGAGCGGGGAAGTTGCCTCGTGAAATCCTGTCTTAAATGGCTTAAACTCTTGTCCCGTATCACACAATGAGAGAACTAAGATCGTCTGACCGAAGACTTCTGTCAGTTTCACGATCAGGGACTAAGTGTTACGGGGACAGGGCTTTCTCTATCGCTGCCCCAGAACTGTAGAATTCTCTTCCTCCCTCCATCAGATTCTTCCCCACCATTAAGATTTTTAAGACTCATCTTAAAACCCACTTTTACTCCCGAGCTTTTAACTGTCCCTAATTTTTATAGCTCAGCCATTTCCCATGTAGGCCTTGTGAGCTCTGTAGGGCTGAAACGATTACTCGAGTAACTCGAGTAACTCGATTAATAAAATTCCTCGAGGCAAATTATATGCCTCGAGGAATCGTTTAAATCCGGAACCATGTGCAGCGCACGGTGTTTGACACGGACGGTTATTTCTGTTGCGCAGAAGCGTGCTCTTTCCGCTCCTTCCGCTGCCGCGCGTTTGGTTCAATCATGGAGGGAAACGAGGACAGACAGAAGCTGTGTCCGAAATGGCATACTGCCTGGTATCTACTTACCTACTCAAGCAGTAGCTACTGCCTACTGACTACTCAAAGATGATTTGAGTATGCCGCGGCTGCCCGAGCGTTTACACACATACATACTAAATACCCCAGAATGCATTTCGTGCCGGCCGGACGCAGCGCCGGGAAAATTTAAATAGTCCTACCACAAGCTACACAGAACGACTGCATACCGGACAAATTATATAAATTCATTCAATAATAATATTTTTTCTAGCGAGAAAGTAAGTGTTTACATCACGATTATGAGCCCAGTTGTTTGAAATAGTGGCTGTTTGTAAATTTGTCTCGGCGTTTTCGGAGACCGAAGCGTCCACTTGGTCGGTGTTTGCGTCTATTTACCGTAAACACCGGGCAGCAGCAGCTCCCCCTTCACGTTTCCAAATTATTGCGAAGTGTTTTCATAATCAACATCTACACGACACAAACCGGGCGGCAGTGGATGAAAAAAATCACACAAACATCCGTGTATCCATGGTGATAATGCTATACACCACCTGCTAGGCGTGTGATGAGCAGCAGAGGGCTGCAAAATGACCAACACACAACAACATGTAAATAAAAATGTAACACTTTTATATATTGAATAAATGTACATTTGCTTGTCAAATTATGTTAGTATCCAAGAATTATATTATTTCAGCCTATTAATTAAACAAGTAAAATTAGATCCAAAGCCTGGAAATAGTTGTGACTGGTTTAGTGAAAACTGCAAAGATCATTACCATAGCAATTAAAAGACCATCTGCAGACCTTGCCTTCAGTAGTTTCATGTGAACTACATGGTAAAATGTAAAACTTTTGGTTCCTGATTTATGCAGTAAAAATATTCATTTGAAAGACCTGGCCTATTTCAGTTTTGTGTGTTACTGATGGTTTTTAATGAGGCAAACGTGATTCGATGCAAAGTATTACAGTGAGAGCAAAACATTTCTTATCCGATTACTCGATTAATCGACAGATTAATCGATAGAGTACTCGATTACTAAAATAATCGATAGCTGCAGCCCTAGAGCTCTGTAGGTCGGTAGATCTGTGTTGTCATTATCATTGTTATTATTATTATTATTATTATTATTATTATTATGAATGATGATGAAATTGATGGTACTGAAAATATATTTTTATTGCTATCATTATTATTATTACTGTCACTCAGTCTGCTGTCACTTCTTCGTCGTCTGTTTGTTCTCTTCTTTTGTTTTTGTATTTCCTCTGTGTTGTTGTGAGGCAATTTGGATCAACTCTGTTGTGTGTAAAGTGCTTTATAAATAAAGTTGAGTTGAGTTGAGTTAAATGTGAGAGGACATTATCAAGTCAATCGCAACTGTTTGTCCTCATAAGGCGACATCAGTCATATTTTTGCTGCTCCATTGCATCAAATTTCTCCTTTAAAAGTTGTTTTTCTGGACACCAAAGTTGTTGATCATGTTATTTGTATTTGGCATTAGCTCTGTGTGTGTTTGTTTGTGTGTGTGTTTGTGTGTGTGTGTGTGTGTGTGTGTGTGTGGGTGTGTGTGGGTGTGTGTGTATACCCAAACAAGGAAGTAAGCCTTTTGTTGCTCCCTCTGGGTTTTTTTTTATCTCCTTTTAATAGGAAAGATACTAAATCAACTTGACAGCCTCTCTTTTCCTTCACACGAGTATTTTGTTTAACAACTTCTCCGATCTGAAGACGTACAAACTTTGTGGTGTAATGTTTAAAAAGTCAAAATCATGACCACACAAAGTTAACACTTGACCCCATCGATTCGAGCCCTCTGCTGTGTATTTAACGCCAGAGCTGACAGTAAAAATCAGTCGGAGTCGAAACAGCTTGGCTTCAGCTGCCTGAAATATCTTCTTCTGACTGGAAGACAAGCTAACTGATTGGCCAGCCTCCACATTTAGCTTTCTGGCTCGGCAAATCTATAACATCAGATCTGTGGCGTATGTTAGTAAGTGGATGCTGCTCAGACTGGAACACACAATGGTGGACTAAAGGGAAAAAGACGGAGTAAAGAGGGGGGCGGGTGGGGGTCTGATGGAGACAGAAATATAAGCAGGAAATTAGTAATCAGAAGTAAATTAGGACAAAAGCAAGATGAGGAAAAAGTGAGGACGCCGTGAATGGATTTGAGGTTTTAGTGAAGTGATCGGCGAAGACTGCTGGGAAAAACATAAAGTGCATTCCCAGTAGGTTTCTCAGCACTTATCCCGCATGAGTTCAATCAAATCTATACACAAGGACATCGATGAGTAACGGGAAGACGGATTATTCTGCAAAGTGCCGGAGACAGAGAACGTTAAGGGTTCTGGGAACAAAGAGCGAGGGAGGAGCGTCCTCGGGAGGGTGTGGCGACGGACCTCCTGCGGTTTGCTAATCCATTTCCACGGCCGCATTATGTTATATCACAAAACAGACAAACAGAAACATGAGGCAGCCTTTTGAGGGGAACTGTGCAATATGAGAATCGTCCCTGTTTTTCTGTCATCTGTCCTGAAATCGGGTCCAGCTTTTACAACACGAATTAAAACCAGAGAGTGGAAACGTGTCCGCTGAAATGTGGAATGATCAGATAATGAAGTATTTCTATTTTGGACGACATTAGCTTTATTGAAAACACTTTGATTTCTGATTTTAGGTCCCTGTGAGGAGTTTTTAACTGGACTGAAGTTAATAATGAGGCCTCTTTCGATGGATCAGTCGGCACTTTATTGATCCCGAGGGAAATTTTAGAGTATTTTTAAATTATCCAAAAAAAAAGACCATCAGTTTTTAATTCCCAAGTTATCATTTTTAATGGCCAAAAACCACCAGTTATCATTTAACTGATTTAACTTTTTATTGTTGTTGTTGTTAGTCATTTTCCCATGTGGGCCAGGGGATTAGAATTACTCTCAGTAAAAGGAAACCAAAACAAAACACTCACTGCATTTTGGCAGGTCCAAAGCAAGGAATGAACTCTTAATTTCCTATTCCTAAATTAATAAAGAAAATAAGATCCCCAGCAGTCATCAGGCTTTGTTTACTGGTTTCCTCATTCTCAAACTCCAGGGGAAATACAAAGTAGGGAATCCGAGTCTCCTTCTTGTTCATGTAAAACAGTGAAAAACTGTCTGTAGAGACGCTCGAGGTCTGGTCTGAATATGACTGAGGCTGTGGTCAATCGTCATTTTCATCATGGGGTTAAGTTTCGACCTGGCAGACCAACATCAAAAGTCTAAAAGGATTCTGGGTTTCTATGTTGTTGTTGTATTAGTTTCACTTTTACATGCAGCTGACTCGAGGAGAAAGAGGAAGTTATTGAGAAATTTTCCATGGTTGCCGTTTTGTAAGCGTTTAGGTTTCACTTTTAGTAACTCTGGGTGTGTTTGTACGTGTGTGAGTGCGTGTGTGTTACTCTGTGCTTACCCTCTCTTGTGAGCACAGTGATTGGTATTCCTGGGTCACTCAGTTTGATGAAGGGCCCTCCCTCGTCTGTGCCCAGTCCGTCCCTCGCCAGCAGGATGTTTTTGGAACACACATAGCCATGGACCAGCTTTTTGTCCTCCTACAAACACAGGGGGAGAAAAAAAACATTAGTTCGCTAGAAAGAGAGCAAATATGAAGATTATTCAGGTAAAATTGATATAAAGTGCAGCAACTCATCCCAGAGGCGCACACAGGACTTAAAGGTGCAGCTACAAACATGAGGACACCTTAGAAAAGTTTTTTTTTGTTATTACTTATTTAAAAGTAAAACGAAATTTCGATTTTAGTTTGGTGCTGGTCTGTAGTTTTAGATTGGATGTTTTTTATCTTCCTTGTGACAAATATCTCACGGATTCACGATGGAGTTCGGCTAAGGCAAGTTTGCTGCAAGTACAGCAAACTACTTGGAAATAGTTTTGAAATTAGCATATCCATGAAGCTTGATGGTATTGACTTGAATTGAGCTTGACCAACCCCAGCAGAAGATACAGCACTCCAAGTCAACATAGACTGCAGACAATTCTAACTTGACTTCGAACACCTTGAATTTGTGAATTTTGAGCTACAGTCTGTTTTTTTTTTCTCCTCAGTCCAGGTAAATATGTTTGTGATACTGTCTTAGGCTCTGGAGTGGCTTGACAGTAGGTATGGGAGTGACAGCTGCAGATCCTTTCCTGAAGATGTCTCTGTGTGGTGGTTCTAGATGTATTTACACCAGATTTGGACCACTCCTTGTACAGCTCTCCCATGATCTTGAATCGACTTTTAATCACCATCCCCTCACCTTTCTTTTCCCCTTCCAGTTAACTTTGCATTTAGGGGTGACACAATACAACTTTTTTACTTCCAATAAGATACCAATATTGTGGCCTTCAGTATCAGCCAATACCAATATTTATCTGATATTAGCACAAACTGTGCATGAAAAGTTTTGCACTCAGCAGCACAGTCTTTTTCCAACTTAAATGAAAAATACTGCCACACAGCCGACATCACTCCCACTTCTTGCTACTTTGTTAGTATCTTAGTACACACTGTTGTTGTGATTACTTGGGCTCTGCATGCTGGATCCGGGCGCTGCTAGATAGAGGTGCTGGAGTGGAGTCTGCAATGGACTGCTTGTATCGAATTGCTGATATCGGAGGTTTTAGATGCAGGCTGATATCGTCCCATATTAATATTGTATCAGGACAGCTCTATTTGCATAAAAACGCTTGATCACAGCACTCTAATAGCAGGCCTTTTCAGCAGTCTGTGGCTTACCCTCCTTGTGGGGGGAGCGCTCTAATCCATGATTGTGGTTGTTTGTTCAAAAGTAGACTAGGATAATCATGGTGGTTTTATTGTTTGAATTAACTCAAGCTCAAAATGAAAAGTTTCCCTTTTGTTGATTTTGCTTTGGGCCACAATTATCCAAATTGAAATTAAAAAACACTTGAAGCGTTAGATTACGTGTCATGAGTCGAAACAGATGAAAAATACTGAACTTTTACTCAGTGTTTTCATGTTTTGAGCCGCACCTTCACATGTGTTTGATCCTATAGTGTTGTGTGTGAGACTGTGTGTGTGTGTGAGTGTTTGTTTGCCCACCAAGTAGCTGAGAGCTGATGCCAGCTGCTTGGCCACCTGGAACTTCCAAGGCGTGCTCAGTGGGCTCTTCTGTCTCCTCATGAATAAATCCAGCGGTCCCAGCTGGACGTACTCCTCAACCATGATATCTGCTCCACAACAGGACACATGTGTCAAAGATAAAAGAAGAAGCAGCAGCAGCAAAGTCTCATGAACATGAAAGTTTACTCACTCTCCTGGTGGCGGACACACACTCCATAAAGCAGCACTATGTGTTTGTGGGAAACTTGTCTCATCATACTGGCTGTCTCAAAGAAGGCCTGCGGATAGAGGGGAAAAGAAAGTTCAGTCCACGGATCATCATAGAAGCTGAACCTCATAGACTCCGTACCTGTTACCTCCTTAAAGTTCAGCTTACCAAAGATATGTCCCTGTGTCCAGATCCAAGCACCTTAAGGACCACCTGGACTTCCTGGAATGATGAATAACCGACATCTTCATCCTCGTCCTCGTTCTTCACCTTCAACTTGCCCGAGTAGATGTTGGTTCTTGTACCCAGGCCGAGGTGCTCCTCCTGGTTAATGCAGAGCAGAAAATGCACATTTGTATGGAAGAGTACCTGAGCTATAATCACTGCGGGAAAAGGGTCTGTGCAGCGGTTGGAAACATAGAAATTTAAATGAAAAACATGAAGAATGTGCAACTAGATTTTGGTTACCTTTCGATCTAGATTCATGCCTTCTAGATCTAAATATAAAGTTGCATTAGCACTCTTCTAAATCATGACTAGATAGAGAATTGTACACAAACTGCATCTGGATTTTTGCAGGTGAAAAGATTTGACTACAGAGGGGGGTGGTACGAGTCGTGGCAAATGAATCTGTTTGTACCTCACAGAGCTGGCAGGGTGGTGTTAACATTAAGTGCCAGAGGACACCACACATCTGCATAGAGCTGAACTGGGTGTCTTCTCACCTTTGTCCATTTGGGTGCCCACCAAAAATAGTGCAAGCTCTTGGCGTGTTTTCTAGCGTATTCATGTTTCTCGTGTGTGTGCTTTATACCACCATTACAGTAAATGTCCAATACGTCTTCTCTCTAATTTAACCAAAAGTCACAACAAAAAGACAAGATTGAACTCCTCTTGGTCAAAGATGTAGGTTAACGTGTGCGGACTAAAGCTGCGTGAGTGAATAAAAAGTCATTTGCGTACTGTGAGGCATCTGCTACAGAGCCAGTTTGTCGATGCAAATTAAAAAAGCCCTTGAGTATGCAAATCTAAACATGTTTGCATGTTGGCTTGTCCACTGTTGATTTTGAGGCAGGTAGACTAAAACAGCAAGCATTCAGGATTGAAGGAGTTTTGAATATTTTGACATCTGTTACTTGATGTGCAGCTCACCACACGTTATACGATGTTTTCAAGGGTCTCACTTCTTAAATACGCAGAAAAGCTTGAGCTGCATTATTAAAACTGAGATGAAGATAAAGATGAACGTTTGTACCTGTTCGATCTCCTCCTTGAGAATGCGATGGAAGCTGAGCTGACTCTCCTGTATGGGTGTTTGAGGCACTGGTGCTCTCTCTTTGGTGACCACTAGCAGGTTGGACACCTCTGCAACAAAAAACAAACACATGCAGACTTTTAGAAAAGTGCAACATTAAGCTGCAAGGACCTGCCATTGTCGTGTGTTAGGTAATCTCAAATACAGGGTGCTGTGTCCGTCTGAGCTTTGGATGGATTTGAAAGTCTGCACTGAATTAAAACAGAAAGAGAAATTATCTCTGCAGAGAAGGTAAACTTTGGTGAAGTATCTTGCTCTGTGCAAGAGTGCCACAAGTGTTTCAAGCACCGATGCACGCTGGGTATTCAGCTTGAAAGCAAGCACAAGCACATGAAGAAGAGGGAGACTTGTTTCACCACATGCAAGTGTTTACATGTGGTAAAACAAGCTCTCAACGATTACGTCAATGTGGTGATGATGTGAGGAGCTACTCAGGTCGAGTTACCATACTAATTCAGTTTATTTTTTGTATATACAGCGCTGTGTGTGGGAGGACAAAGTGAAAACGTGTGTGCCTTAAACATGTGTGTGGGTTTCTGATGTTGTGACAAAACTAGAGCGCTGTGGTTCGAGAGAGGAAAAGGTATCTGCACTCCATCAGCAGCATCAACCTATATTTACTGATCAAGAGTGTTAAGGGCATTCTTCCATAACATGCAATCTGTGTTGCACACACCCTATTCATCATTTGACCTAATCCAGGGCTGGTTTTTAATTCATTTTAAGTCATAAAAGAAGCATTTTAAAGAGATCTTAAAAAGCAAGTCAACCCTCTCAAACACTTTCTGGCTTTCATGACAGATTACAACAACATTTGGACCAATTACACAAATTTAAAATCGCTCAGGGTGTGCATATACCAGTGTAAGCCTGTTAAATTATTCATTGTTTCAGCACAGCATCTCACTCTTTCACCCTCCACTGAAACAGGCGAAGCCCAAACCCAAAACCATAACAGTTGTATAGCGTGATAACAATCAACAACAACAACCACCAACACCAACAAAAATCATGAAAAAAACAGCAGCTCAGCACATCCATGCACACACAGCTCCACCTTTCCCTGAGTGAAGTACACACGACAGTGCGAGTCGCTCTCCGGAAACCCACATTTACAACTCTCTTCCTCTCCGACACAATTTAACACCGACTCACAGACACACATTGTTCACGCCAGCTTCCCAACCCCAGTCGCAATACAGAAACACACACACACACACACACACCAGATACAAAGACCAGCTAAAGCATAAACTTTGCTCCAAGCGGTATTTAGTTGACTTTAAAAACAAACAGACGGGTGTTGAGAATGGATCAGGATGCAGAAGATGCTAGATGATGAAGCTATCTGGATTTTACTCCATCTGAAGAGTTAGAAAAATCAAAGTGTTTCCCTGCTGCATTGTGAGTAACCAAGTGTAATCAGCCTTCTATGAATCTGTTTTCCCCCTTTATATAAAAACCTGCAAAAATGTCATATTTTTTTAACATTTTAACTCTGCAGCTGCAAGGGAGTGAAACACATATTTCCATATTGTCCTGAGAGCTTTCATTCTGACATTTTTATCTCCTTTGAATGCTCTTTGCTTTGCGGTGCTACGAAGCTTACCTCTTGGCTGTGGAGGGCAGCAGCGCATCAGCTGGAACTGGAGGTTGTCGGTGCGAAGGCTTTGACCCTCAAGGTGCTCCAGCAGCTCTGGGAGGTTGGGTCGAAAAGTGTCGGTGCCGTACAGGCGGAACCCGTCGGAGGTGACCTCGATCTGGAAGTTCTTGTACTGACGCACAGGACGACTCTCCTTAATGTCAATCTGAGAATTAAGGGATAATGTGTCAACGTGCCTGCCAACAACAACAACAACAACTCCCTGATCCTGTCGTGACTCAAACACCAAGGGAATAAATGATATATGTTAAACTGAAATATGCTTGATACCTCAGTGCAGACTACAGTGATGATGATGTATTGGTAGTCGGTGCAGCTCCAACGCAGGATGTAGGCACCCTCCTCATTGCCATCCTGACGCAGCTTGTGAATTGCATACTCCGTACTGTTAAGGGAGAAAACACTATGAATATGTGCAGCAGCAGCAGCGGGGTTTTAAAGTTTAACTTAAAATTAAAGACTTAAATACATTCTCTAAAAAAACAGGACGCATGTGTTTATTGGTCATATCACTTTGTTTATATGTTTTCAGACTGTACGTGGTTCCTCATAACCCGTCTTACTTGCTTTTCTTGTTTCTTCCTGCCTGTGTTTTGAATCATAATAAGTTTAACTTTATCTGTCAAGTAGTGATTAAATTATTTCTGTGGCTGTAAGATTTTAAAATAGTCGAGCTATAAAAGGACAGAACATTTAAACAAATAAATCTGTGATAAAATCAGTGATCCCCATCCCAGCAGCGGCTTGGTAGCTGTCCAACATGAGTCTGGTCCTTCCCAAGGTTTCTGCCTGTTAAAAGGAAGTTTTTCCTTTCCACTATCACTCATGTTAGATAAGATGAGTCAAATCTGTCCCATCTTAAGGTTGGGCCTTAATAATTCATCAGACAACGAGCGTGGTCTTGACCTGCTCTTTTTCTTTGGAAAGTGTCCTGGCATAACGACTGTTGCTACATAAATAAACTTTGATGATTTGAAAAAAACAACACTGGGGTTTGATAAACGTGTTTGTTGAGAGCACTGCCCCCTTAAATCGCTAAAACAGAGTGAGTTAAAACCATCATGCACAGCCCCAGCACAGGTTAAAATTAAACACAAATTAAAGTGGGTATCGAACAGTTTTGTTGAATTTATTAATCAAAAACTATCTTCACAAACCAGATGGGTCCGTGGCAGCCATTTTTGATGTTGTCCACCACTGAAGAAGGAGCTACCTCCTTGCACAGAAAGTGGTGTGCATCCACTGTCAGCCTGAAGTAGCCATCCACGAGGGCGACAAAGGACTGAGCCTCGGCTCGAGAGGCCATTCGCAGCTCCTGAGAAGACATGGTGAGGAAGAGATGAAGACACTGACAGAGCCTAGATTCTGTGGAAGTGTAACCCTACCCAACGTTCGGGTCATTAAAAACAGATTTGGGTCTAATGGACTAGAAGGAAGTTGATCGTCTTCTTGTCACTCTGTGCATCGTTCTCACCATCCTCTTGTTGTCCTGTCTGACGATGGTGACGGTAACATCTTTGATGACTGTGTGGGTGATCTCATGGAAGTCGCAGAACACCGCCCAGCCTTCGCTCTTGTCGTTTTTCTGTTTTCCATCCTGCTTGTTTTTCTTTGACTTGCTCTTTTCTTTCAGGATCACTGGCGCCTGATTCAAAGACAAACAAAATTGTAATTGCAACATGAAAGTAAGTACGTTCTTCTGAAAATTTAGTCTATTTAAAAAAGACTGAATCAGAAATATGATGTCTTTCTCTAACTGGACGTCAGTTTCAATAAGTCATATAAGACGTTTAATTCTCATTAATCTTTTTGACAGAAACGCCCTCATCAGCGCTGGACTTAACAGTGACATTTCAGCCAACCTCTGCAAGAGGAGAGAGGTAAAAATCCTGGATAAGAGCAAAAGGCTCTGCCAGCCTACTCCTGACTACCGTACAGACAAGATAAATCTTGACTCATACTAACCCAAAAAGTCCAGAGACATTTTACTTAGATCGCATCTGTCTCACAACACAAGATTTCATCAAATGTGATAGGCTGATTTTAAAAAAAGGGAAGATTGCCTTTAAGTCCTCATGTCTCTCAGATGTTGAGCTCTTTTATTTTTTAGCTGCCAAATATACTACTCACTGTAGCGGTCTTCTTCCTCCAGGAAATCCCAGTGGTACCATTGACCAGGACCTCTGTGTCATAGCTTGTCTCCAGGTTCTGGTTCTGACTCTGGTTCTGATTCTGGCTCTGGTTGTAGTACCCTGGGAAGAAGCAAACATGTTGAAATATCATGTTAGTAGCATGTATGTTTCAAAAAATGTTGAGGAACTCTTGTTGGATGTTAGATTAAAAAAAGCTTCATAGTTTATTTTTTTAACATTTATTGAGAGACAGCATTTCTCTGGTGCCTGTTTCATTAATATGCAAAGTAAACATGGTGTTTCTTTAACTTTTCACTGTCTGCACACAATGTTTCAGTTAATGCTGGGTTAACACAGTTCAAACTCTGAGTAGGACATCACAGCTTCTCTGCATGTAAACCTACTTTAATACGGCAGGTTAAAATGTTGCAGTTGGACTCAGAGAAAAACTTTTAAACGCAAGAATAGCACCTTAATTTTTTTTTCCATGATATTGAATCATTTAGCAACCAAAACAATAAAATATCTCAATTTTAAACCATTTACAATCAATGAAGCTTCATACACCACATATACGACAGTGCGCAGTGAACTCTAATCTCTCTTACCAAAGTATCCTCCGTTGCAGAGCTCTCCCTCCTGCGTGACGCTCAGTGTGATCGGCTCAATCAGCTCACTGCCCAGGCCACTGGTCAGACCCTCCAATGTCGCCAGGTACTTGATCTTCAGGTCGTACGATGTGATGTTGCTGTCCTTGATTGTGCGGCGGTTGAATTCGCTCAAGAACTTCTTGAAGACGTTGTTGATGCGGATCCGAGTCAGAAAATTGCGCTGTTTGATGTTTCGATTCAGGGACTCTGGGATGAAACGTTTGTAGCTGGAAATAGAAGATATTGTATCGATCATTACTTGCAGTACTTCTCACTTAGAGTAAATGTTTTATAGTTATGCACAAACAATGTCTGGAACAAAATTTAAATTTGGAAAAGGACTAAAATGAAAAAGATAATTCATGAGATGATGAATATGAATGAGAAGAACTTGGCATAAATACAATATCTACCAGAAACCGGTCCAGTTAAAGTTTATCCCACTTAATGAATGTTTTTTTTACTTTTTAAAACTACTGTGTAAAGATGGGGCTTGTGATTAAATTCAAACGAATTTCAGAGGACAACATAACTAACTATCCTAGATCTTATCTTGATTTTGTTTCAACTTGCCATATGGTTTGTTTGTGTTAGTGTTAGGGTTTGGGTGTGTTCAGATGAGTGTGTGTGGGCATGTGTGTGTGGTTTTTTTTTTTATACCTGATTTCATTGGAAGCCGTAGACAGGGGCATATCCATGCTGTTGGCAAAGTGCGTGATAGCGAGCACAGCCATGCCCAAACACTCATTTTCAATCTCATGTTGCTCTGCCTCTGACTCGACAGTCCTCAGTGGGACAACACCTTTCTGGAAGTCATGCTGGCCCTGCGTAACAAACACATTTTATGACAGATTCTCGGCAAACGCACATAAACTTAAAACCAAACAAATTAGATTGACTGCATAATTGTTTTTTCTAATTGGTATAGAAATGCTGGATGGATAACCACAGAGATGAAGGCAGATCAGCTCTACTCGAGTTTAAAAAACATCAATGGATAAAACGGCTCGAGGTTACACCCACGCTTCTGCTATTGTTTAACTTAAAGCAGCACTTCCTGCTTTTGTTACGTTTTGAAACTAAAAGGTGTTGATGTTTGGTTGTTGAATCAGAATGTACTTTCAAAAGTATTATCAACAATCAGACAAAAAATAAATACATTAAAAAAAAGCTTTAGGCTCGTTTCAGATTATTATTCCCATGGCAACAAAAAAGACCTGCCTAAAATGCCTCTGTGGTAATAAATAATCATTGTATTAAATATAAATATATATTTTTTGTTACCTGGGCAAACAGATAGTCCAGAGAGGCTGCATCCAGTAAAGGTGTTCCTTCTGGTGTCTTCTGAGGGCTCAGTCCTCCTCTGAGTTTGCTGATGCAGTGTCTCCAGACTGGAGACTCTCCTTCAGTGGTGCCATGCCAGTTCCTGAAATAAAACCTGCAAACACACAGAAAGAGGACACCTGAATGAATGCTGGGTGCTCATGCAAGAAAAGCTCCTAGCCACGAATAATAATTCACAACTAGAGGATAAAAAAGGTTATTTTATCTTATACTTGAATGGTCCCGTTTGGATCTCTTGCCTTGTAGGAATGCGTCGATCTGTTTTATCATCAGTGTATTGGCTGATAATATGACATTAACCAGTTGATATTTAAAACGTATTTTGTAGTAGGGCTGGGCGATAAACCGAAAATTTGCAGATACCGAAATTTGCGACAATAACTGACATAAATTTGCCCATATATTAGGTGTCAAAAAATCTAATAATTAAGAGTTGGTTTTGGATGTGTGTAGGTAGGCTATGGTCTCTCATGTCCCTTAACATCAGAGACGTGACTCCACCCCATCTGGTCCGTAACAAAGAGGGAAAGACAGGTGAGGAGATGGAGGACGGTTCAAAAGTTGTAGTGGCGGTGGGGGTGAGCAGCTTGTGGAGTAGTTATCGTCCATTTATCGATATCAAGGTGAACTGCTCAATATATCATGATATTGATTTAAGGCTATATCGCCCAGCCCTATTTCAAGCTTTCATAGAACATCTCTTATTACCTCAAGACTTGAGCTTGTGTTATTATGATTCTGAACATTATCTCTTAATCTTTGGCACAGCAGTCCTCAGCCTGTTAGCCCTCGTGCACGCTCATGATCGCTAAAGCTCCTTTCTAGTCCTGCTCATTCAGACACAGGGATACACACATCATGCTCCTCTCCCTGCTCTCCTCTCTCCACCTGTGGCTGCCTGTAGTTTGTACCGCTGTTGAAGATACTGTGGTTTGTGGAGTAGTAGCAGCTTGTGGAGTAGTTATCATCCATTTATCATTATCAAGGTGAACTGCTTAATATATCATGATATTGATTTGAGGCCGTATCGCCCTGCCCTATTTTGTAGCATCCTGTTTTCATCACATCAGTTTTAATCTGAAAAGCTATCACACTTCACTGCCGGTTCAGAGAGATTCAGAGTTTTTTTTTCATGCAGGCCACATGGATTTGCTTGTAGAGGGCTGAACTAATTAAGTTTAAAAAATGAGTTTTTCCTGTCAGAGGAAAATAAGCAGCCATTAATGATTAAAGTGACATTGTATAAGTTTTGACTTTTGAATAAAAAAAGCACACCTCATTTGCATGGTATACTGCCCTGTATCTTTTTCACATGCAAATAAACATCACAGACAGAAAACACAGCAATGTCAGTTTTTTTTTTCTTTACAATATCCCGCAGCCCTCACACATACCAATGTTTCCTCATAGTCTCATGTTTCACGCAAAGATCACACTGACATTTCAGCGCTGGGCATCAAATTTTTTTCACCCACCTTTCTTCTAGCTTTTGACCCATTTTCCTGTTTTCTGTGAAACAAAGCACTTTTTCAGCTAGCCTGTGTATTTCTGAGGAAATACATCGTCTTTTTGGTTCAGCGTCACAGATGGCTGTCTTTAACCTCAATATGAGGGACTGACGCTGGCAGTTCGAAATCAGAGGGACATTTAAGAGCCCTACATCAAGTAAACAAATAAAAGACAGAGAGGGGAAATAGCAGCAGATAAAGACCATGACTACTCAGCAAATGGGCATGAGATGATGACAATCAGAGGATCACTTCTCCAAAGGAAACCTATGTTGATAGAAGTGAAAATGAGATGGGTAACTAATACTGTGCCAGACAAAATATCTCTTTATCTATGATTGATGCAAGTGCCATAAAATGTCTTTAACACACTGATATAGGTCTTTCTAAAGCTGGGATTCTGTTAAAATTTAAGCACATGGATGTTTACTGCAACAATCTTTCTCTTCCACTGGGCCTGATCTACAGAGTATGAGGCGTTCCACTCTATTTATTTCAGTGCTATAATAAGCATGCTGACAAAAGCCTTAAGCTACAAACAGTGCTGTGCTCTAAATGAAGGTTAGCAAAGCAGACCCACTAAGATGTCCTCAATGCTTATGTTTGTTTTGTCTGTTGTATGACCTTATGCAATCAATGCACGCAGCTTGTCTGCACATTTAACATTTGTTGATGTTTTAGACTTGACCACAGCACCCTGCTTGTTTTTCAGACTGTGCTACAGTACTCAGCATGCTGCAGGCAAAAAAAAAAAAAACAAAAACATGTACTAGAACACAGAAAGACAAAAGCACACGACATACGGCACAGTCAGGCTCTACAGGTACTCGCTTTTCTTCTCTTGAAGTGAGGCAAACAGAAAGAGGAAGTGCAATTGACACCACAGTTATGTGTTTTTTCCTTCTTGCATGAAATGTTACCTGATTTGTAGAATGGACTCCCTAAAAAAGGGAAGTTTTTAATATCGCATGGCCTCTACTTGTCATGAAAACTTGTCTTTCCAGACTTGTCACGACCTCAATCAAACCTTTTCTTCTTTTGGATGTAAAACCCGAAAACAAATCAAACTTGAGTCTTTTAACTGGACTCTGCTCTTCACTTTGAAAGGTTGTACTTTGACAGTGACTCACTGCTTAGTCTGAGTCTTTATTAGCTCCTTACCAAAGCTTTAATACGTCTCTCTCTGTTTAATGTTCTACAAACCTCCATCTCTTTCTGAAATGCAAACAAAGCTTGAGATAAGTTTAGCTGTTTTTTTTTGTTTGTTTGTTTTCTTTCTGGGTTTTTTTTGGCTTGGGAATCAAGATCTAACAAACCCATGGGAACTTGAATGTGTCCCAGCTTGCCAAGCCACCGAGAACCATATGCCAAATGCCAAGATCTTGCAGGAACAGTACTGCTGCTTTATTACAGACATGCACCATATCGTTTTTATACAATGCCATGGATATAATGAAGATGTACAATGAAGTGCGCTGAATTGATCTGCAGGTTTCATGCCTAAAACTTTCCAAACACTCATAATCTCAGAGTTTAAATAGAGGCTGCATAATAAATCACATTTTTGGCATTTTACAGTCAAAGAAACGTGTGTGAAGGCTTTTATTAACATTTTAAAATGCATGCTCTACATGTAGAAAACTCTAAAAGCATGAGGCCAGTGAATGATAACAATAGGTCAAGAAATGCACTACCTGTTGAATTTACACGATTCCACAATCACAACAGGTGACCTGTGTTTTGCCAGGGGCTTGTTATTACTGACAACACATTTCTCAATAATATCGGATAAATTATTATCCATCTTGTTATATAAAGTTCCCAAGCCCCAGCAGCGTCCCCTCTGCAGGCAATGAAACCCAGATTCTTCTCGTTACAAGCCATAAAAAGTCAAATTCTTGGGGGAAATTTGAGCCCCATAGTCACACACTTTACACAACTACAGCCGAAGCTTGGCACTAACTTTCATGAGGTTTCTCTGCAAAAATAAAAAAATCAATTTTATTGAACTCAAGAATCCATTTGTGTGCTGATGTTGTTCCACAAACAGATTCGAACTATGTAGTGAGCGATGCAAAAAAGCAAACTGCTCAAAAATCTGTCTTCATAACCCTGGTGACCAGTCTCACCCTATCTAGTATATGATTGGTCAGCTGAAGCAATGACACCTGCATCTTGGCGTATGATTAGCTTTTCTGACAGGTTGACACGGTTACAACTCTATTTATTACTTGAAAGTTTCAAGGCTTTTGAGATGTAATTAAAGGCTTGCACCAAATTAGCCGATCCAACGATAGTGAAGGATAGGATCGATAGTGTAAAGCTCAGCATTGGAGTGATGCGGCTCATTCCTGGGATACACGGGTTGTAGGTCTACTTTGTCTTTTCAGAATTTATTGCTGGAATACTCTTAAAGTTGCTTCTACTCTGAAGCGTCATCTGCCAGTGTTATTTAGCCAATATCTCCACAAACGTGAAGAAAAACAAACCTGTCCTTATTCCTTAAAATCATTCCAGACAAATAGAAGCAGACAGTGTCAATCTTACCTCATGCGGTAATGCAGCTTGAGGCTGGTTTCTTCTGTGATCTTGAACTCAAAGTTGGGGGGATACCACATGTCATCTGTCTCATTGTAGAGGGCAAACAGGTTATGGCACAAGGGGGAGATTGCTGAGGGGGAAAAAAGCGAAAGAGGAAATATATCAACATTCGATCTGTTGGCAGTGGCTGATCTGAAGTGTCGACAGCAAGATGTCGAATACCAAGAAATCCAGAGTCAGCTAACTTGACTAATAAAATTCCAGAATCCCTAGATGGGCACCTTGTCTAGTTTCACGGTAACTGTAAAACTGGTTTTGGACTTTGGAGAAAAATGATCTGCTGTAAAAAGTGATGTGACTATATCTAAGATGAGATCCTCAGGCTCTTGACGAGCATGACATCCATGTTGTTTGGAGGGCAGGAAAAAATATTCACTAGGGTTTGTGATCATTAACAGAAAAGTAGAGATCCTCCTGAAGTGTTAAGCTTTGTGCACCATCCTTTTAGAGTGAAATTTGGGAAGAGCCCCTTAAAATTGTTTTGGCGAAGCTGTGTGCCACATAATCGTAATGAGAATTACAATATAACCTTTATTTCTAAATATAAACAAGGACAACAACATAGTGAAGCAAAGCAGGTCCATTACTCACAGCACTTCTTGGCAGCCTCCACACAGAGTTTCTCCGCAGTGTAGCAGCCTTTGGAGAACTCCAGCTGTTTCACATCCGGCATGTAAAAGTGGATTTCCAGGCCCCAAGTGGAAGTGGGGGCAGAGGAGAACTGGGCTCTCCTACTAGACCTCCTCATCTTCCCACAGAGTTGCCTGCCTAACTCCATAACCCACAGGGAGGGCATTCAGACACTGGACAAGAAGAGAGAAACAGAGATGGGACCGTCACGTTTAAGTATTACTCCATGGTCTATTTTTTTAATGCAAGCTTAACGGGAGACACACCCTCCCTAATCCATGTTTACTTTGACCCATTCCGCCTCCGTTTCATTCACAGAGATATTACACAAGACAAGAACGGTCGTGCAAGTTTATATTTGATAGTCAATAAAAGTTGTGGAAATGTTTACATAACTTTTCTGACAGTATTAATAACAGAAAGTCAACAAAACACTGCATGAGAGTTCTGAAATTCAAGCAAGAGCTTTTATTACAGAGTAAACCAGAACTCATACTTCTTCCACCCTTACATTAGAATATAATTGTCTATTTCTGAGGAAATGGCTGACCACCCTGTAGTTAGCATCAGCCAAGTGTGTGTGTGTGTGTGTGTGTGTGTGTGTGTGAGAGATGCAAACCTATTGATTACATAATAAGCTCAGCAAACATTTGCAGTAGCCGTGGATTCAGTGAATTCACCTGATGACTCATATTATTCGTGTGTACAGGCAGAGCCCTGACACACACAAGCCCACAGACACAGGATTGACTCTCTAGAAGCTCCAACGAAATGACGTCAAACCTCTCGACATAGCTGATGACATCAACACCCAAGACAGATTGCCGCTGCGCTGTGTAGGGACTGCAGTCTGTTTAGACATCACTACAGCAAAAGCAGAAAGTCAGCAGTAGCAGCTGCAAGTCCTTCAACAGCACATACAGCTACTGAATACGTGTGATGACAGCGCTGCTTTACGCTCCCTGGTGTGTTGACAGCACTCACAGCGAGAGGCAGGCTCATGTGGAGCATTTTATGAATTAAAAGCCTAAAGGATACTCGAGCTTACACATATGTGCATTACAGCTGACACATGATCAGAGCAGAGAAATGTAAAGGCTCAAATATTTAGGTCTCAAGTGCAGACACTGAGCTGCAACATCCTCAGTTCATACCACAAGATGACAACTGCGTTTTGTTTCCCAACCCTGTTGTCTTTTATTTACCAGAATACTGCTCAACAATGATGACTCCTTCCTGCCACAGACACGGGTCAAACACACCTGATGTGCAGAGTTATTGTGTAACTGTTGTTCTCTCTATAAATGAGTGTTAATTAAGTCTATGATAGATCAAAATCAACATAAGTACTACAACTTGAAATCAATTTTTGGTCTTTTGGTCACATGACATAGAAGCTATTGAAGGAAAGGTTCAAAGTTTGCCTTGAAATTCAACACAAAAAATTTTTAGAGGACAACTTAGGAAAATAAAGTGTGTTTCATTGTCCGACCTTAGTATTATTATTTGACATCAGTTTTATGTCAATTGGCCCCGTGACATGGAAGCTATTGAAAGAAAACAGCCTTTTTTGAGAACATCAACCGGTAATTTATTGATGGTCCCTTATTCAACACCCACACTTCTGTTGTTATGGAGAGTGAGAAGACACCGGTAGATCTACAGTGAATGTCCGTCGAATATCCAACCTAAAACTGACTTCACCGTAGTATTTCCATGAAAATACATTTGTTGCCACGGCTGATTTTTTTCATGCATACATGTGCCCCTAAATACATTTTAAGCCCTGAGCCCGTGGTCTCATGTCCCTTTAAGATGCTGTCCTACGTTAGAGAAGTGACTCCACCTCATCCAGTCGATAACAAAGAGGGAAGACAGGTGAGGAGATGGAGGACGGTTCAAAAGTTGTTGCGACTGGAGCGGTGGCTGAAGTAGACCAAGTTAATGTGGGTAGGATTAAGCAGCTTGTGGAGTAGATATCATCCATTTATCATCATCGAGGTGAACTGCTCAATAAATCGTGATATTGATTTGAGGCCGTATCGCCCAGCCCTAGTAGCTGAAACAATGGAGTCTGTTTGAGGATATGATAGTTGTGGAGTTTCATTGTTGCCAGCATAGAGGTATAAAACTGCAAATTAAACATCAAACCAACAAACTGATAAGCCTTTTCCAAACATGCATAATACAATAAATCAGCATCAAAACAACAGGAACTTGTTCAGATCAAATCATTTATACGTATATGTCACACACAACTTCTAAGGCTTTCTGCTCTTTGACAAAAAAAGTTTTAATAAAAAGCTCACAACTAATAATATCTGTATCAAGCTCAAGGTTATTATTCAATTATGTCAAAGAAGCTTATAAATAGGGTTAGGTTAAGGCCTGTAATTATTAGCTGGAAAACAAGGTACAAAACAAGGAAAATCCTGAGAAGTACTTTACCCCGTCCAGTTTCAGTCCCTTTAACATGTTAATCTACTGTCGGGCCCGCGGTTCAATCTTAAGAACTCTCACCATCACTTCCCATTCTTTACTGCTGAATTTCTTAAGAAGAGATTTCTAATGAGTCATGCATCTGTCTATTTCAGCCAGTGAGTTAATCAATGAGTCTGTTCATTTCCTTTTTCCTTTGCTCTTCCTCTCTCCACCTAAATTCAGCTTCAGCTCCTAAATGTTTCCTACGGAGAGGACTTTTCGATAACGTGAGGTGAAAATGAATAATGTGTTTTTATAACAACAAACCCCTGACTTTTGCCACTGATTTGACAGGTTTTACTGGATGCAGCGGTTTCACCTTCATCTATTCAGAAGAGAAAGACGTTGGCGGTTTTATTATCCTCTCCCCCTCAGTTCCGTCAGCCTGTCTTGTCTGCACCTGCGCGAATTTGTTGTTCAGAAGCGAAACAAAAACTCAACCTTGGAGCATCTTGCAAAGTAACAAGTGATGATTTTTCCAGACAGTTTCACAGAGAGAAGTCAGGTCTTAGAAAAAATGTTGAATACTGACGTAGTGGTGCAAAGACCGCTCTGAATATGATGGTAAACAGCAAATGGACTGTATTCATGTAGCGCTTTCTCTGGTCTTCTTTCCACTCAAAGTGCTTTATCATTACCTGTCACATTCACCCATTCACACTACATTCACACACTGATGGCAGAGGATGCATAGAGCCTATCAGTGTTGACTATACCCATTCACACACTACTGGGCACAACCAGCGGGGGGTTGGTGGAGTCAAGTGTCAACATGTGGAGGTGGGAACTTTGATTGCATCCTAGACCTTTTGATTGGGAGACCACTGACAACCACTGAACCACAGCCGTACTGTATTAATCAGGCGGTGTTTAGGTCTCACATATGTAAAAAAAAAGAACAAAAAATCCCTGTAATTAAATAGAGAAATGCCAGAGATGTGGAAGGTTTTTACACCTCTGATAGACTCAAACACAATCTACAGTCTGTGCTTGATTATGCAACATGATGGAGAGGAACTTACGTACCATGGTTTGTTGGTTCAAAACAAAAAGCGCTGAAATAACCATCTCATGTTTGCATGTCGCTGCTAGCCAGTTAAATTTGCAATAGCTATTGAGATCAACTATCTCCAGCACAGAGGTATAAAACTACAAAAGTATTGAACCGACAAACAAACGAGCTCTTTTGCATTTCTGGCATCAGTTTAGAGTCTCTCTTATCTCTGGCTGAGGTAGATAGCCTGCTGAAAAACTGACCACAGGCACCATGAGGAGTAAGAGCTCCCAGAAAAAAAGAAGTGAAATTAGATAACCAGATCTCCTTTTTTCCTATAGATTCAAAACCACTTTCATTTACTTTTATAAACCATTGCAAGGAAAAAGGAACAGTTGACTTTATTCCCTTGTAGCTAAGCACTGCAGACAGTGGTCATTTGGTTATGGAAAGCACCATAACAAACAAAGGCTATCATATGGTTATAACACAAGGGGACAAAGCAATAAAGTGGTCATCTGTGGGTGATAAAGCAAAAACTGAGCAAACGGTTTTACTTTGCAAGAATATAAACATGTACAGCAGAAAATAAGCGCACAACAGCACCTGCTTAACCTCTGTTTTTTGTAGCTAAGTAATCCCATGATAAACTCTCGATGTGTATGGTTCAAGAGAAACCATGGAAAAATTATGATCTTCTGAACTGGTGATGCATGGAGGAAATTGATTATTGTTCAAAGTATCATTCACTGATGGTTATATCGTAGTTAGTTCCAGCTGGGACCAATAGACTTTTTTCCATTTAGAGAGCTTTGGACACAAATATTCAAATAAAAACATGATATTTACCCTAAAATTGCTGCTTTTGCTCCCAAATTCCATCATATATTTCCAAGCCCTTATACCCATATGTCCCTATGCTAAAATAATATCATGTTTTCAGATTAATAATATTTGCAGTCTGCAGTCTGTATTATACTAAACCAGTAAATGGTTGCACTCAAGGACTCAGGTAAGGCTTTTATGTTTGTTTACTTTCAGACACCAGGGGGTTTTTGGACATCGTCTAAGCACTCAGCACCATCTGGTACTTTTCCCTGATGTGTCTTTTTTTGTGCAGAACTGGCATTCAATAACAGAGCATGATTATTTTAATTCTCATTAGTTATAATTATTTTAATGTGTCCGCTCCTATTCAATTTGAACTTCATCGGTTTTCAGACTCTTTGTCTAAAATATGCACCCCTGAAATATCTCTGCAGTATTCAATTATTTAGAGCACTTTCCTCCCAGGATATGTCCGCAGCTGTTTTTGAAGATTCAGCACCCATGCACATATAACAATGCTAAGTTTTAACATTCTTTATGAACGTGCTGCTTACCAAATATGGTTATGTTTTGAGGAAAGAGAAGAAAATACATTTTATAAATCTCTGAGGGGGGATTCAATGTTTTTCCCTTGGTGCTGAATCATGAAACACAGACACACAATTGCACAAACAGGATCTAATGGACACGCACTCATAGAGGGGCTTTCCTGAGAAGTTGGGGGTTTGGTGCCTTGCTCAAGGGCAGTGCTCTGGCAGCTAACTTAATCTTACAATATTGTAGGTATCAGAAGTTAGAAAGGAAAATACTCTGATTATTGACATGATATTGAAAAAAAGTGGATTTTTCTAAAAATCTGCTTCATTTTGTCTCATTTCTATAAGGTAACCAGCATGCCTACATTGAAAAACAAGTGGGCAGACTGTATGCAGTTACAGCAATCACGACTCAAAAGCCACATAGATAATACAATAAAAGGTCAAGAAAGTCCTAACCTGCTACTTTTCCTCGATAAACATCACTGCAAATATGAACACCTATTCTGTATCTTTTACTAAAATCCAGAGAAAAGTAAGGACAAAAAGATTTTCAAATTCGATCCATTATCCACAATAACACTCACTGAAAAAGCCAAAGAACTTTCCTTTTTACATAGCCTTGATATTTTAATTCTATTTTTGTGAAATATTTAGAATTTCAAACTCTCACATCAAATTTGATGTATCTGTAATAAATGCAAATGTTAAATGACATAGCTCTGCCTTATGGTTTTACAGTAAAAAGTTACTTGTAAAGTGTTGCACATGAAAACAATAAAATATAAATCAATAAACATTAGGAGTGTGAATTCATTCTGTAGACCCCTTGCCTGAATACCTGTCCAAACAGGTATATTTGCATTTCTTTTGAAGGTGTCAACAGACTGTGAGGATGTGAGCAGACCACAGCTGAGATCGAGTGCTAAGCCTGCCTCTTGTTCATTTGATACAGATAAACGGATCAAAAGTTAAAGATCCTAAAAGTTTAGGTTTGGGTAGAGAATACACTTTGGTTGAGCTGCTAAAAAAACATTTTGTTCTGTTTGAGGTGAATTTTGGTTACGCGGCGGGAAGGACAGAAACTCTGCGTGTACATGTATAAAGTGTTTGTGTTTTTCAGCCTCGAGGGAGGAAGCACCTACTTCTGTTAACCTCATGCGTGAAGCCACTTACCTTCCAATGTCACGATTTGGGTGATAAGAGCAAAAAGTTCAATTCAGGCAAAGTTTTGGCTTACTACTATAAGTTTCAATACAAATATCCTACGTGATCAATCGGTGAAGTGGCTTGTGAAACATATTGAGAAATAAAATGTTCTCACGGTCCAAGCTGACATCCTTTAAAATGCCATATATAGTCACACAAAAGAACAACTTAAACACGACAATATCACCAAGTGCAAATCTTCACTTTTTTAAATAATTCAATACTTTTTTGTTTTATTTTTCTGTATAAAATACTTAAATCACACTTTATTATTTTACACATTATTTTTCTATCGATAAAATAACTGATCAATCAGATGATTACAAAATTGTAGGGTCTCAGACAGGTTTTACTTATAAATGCACCAACTGAGAAAAAACAAGAGTGATCCTGTTTTCCATGTTGGTAATGACAATTCAATCTGTGTCAATAATTTTCTTGTTTTACTCAGTCATTGTTACTTGTCTTATTTTCGTTTGGGCAGCTAGGGACCCCAAATCAGTTTCAGTATTAGTCAGTATTACACTTTTATGTATGTATGTATGTATGTATGTATGTATGTATGTATGTATGTATTTATATAGATCTTTGAAATTTATACAAGTAGATTTTTTCTTTTTTTAATCTCTAGTTTGCAAGGAAGGGGCAGGACTATATAAGCTTTTTGCTTCAATCTGTTCCTTCTCAAACTGTTTATTTTTGACATACATATGTTGTGTAAATTTATCTTTGACATGTAAAGTTGTTTGGTGTACATATGTATTATTTTGTTCTGTGATTTTGTTTCTAGTTTGTTTTTTTGTTGTTGTTAAAGTTTGAGATAAAGAAAGAAAGAAAGAAAGAAAGAAAGAAAGAAAGAGGCACAAACTTACCTAACAGGTCTTAATTTTACCTTCTGTTTTTCAAAAAAAAGTTTTTCTTAAAAAGAAAAATTTTAGAGCCCTTTAAGTTGCTATTTAACAACAGATTCATGCTATTGGTCATTTTAATAAAGCTAAATAAAAATCACAAATTCTATTTTGTTGTTATACTTAATGACCGAATCAGAACAAAACAGATCAAATGAAATGAACTAATGGATAATTAAATAGTTTAACAGGCCTTCATTTAGTTGTGCTTTCATTTCGCCAAATATTTTTATTTTCTAATTCCAATGTGAAAATAAATCTTTCTGTAGGCTGAAGCATGCGTTTTCTTGTCCTCGCATTATTGTATCGATGCTACACAGCAGATATTACAGGGTAACAACCATGCGTTTGGGTCGACAGGCCGATATTATACCGATATCATACTAAGCTGATATACTGGTAAATCCTTACTTTCAGTATTGTTTCCATCCATATTGGTACCAATAAGGAAGGCCTGGCTGTGCCTTGAAAAGGTTTTATTACCTCCACATTCTCTCTCAGAAAACAGTGTGGTTTGATTTGACAAAAGAAAATCAAGCTAAATTCACTGTAACACAGTCCATCTTCAACACACAGACTACTTTGAGGATGGACTGAATTTGACTTTAGACGATGTCAAACTTTTTGACAAAAGTAGGCCCTAGTTTATGACAGTGATTTCATCAGACCTCCCCAATATGGCAAACTCTTTTTTAATTGTTTTAATCCTTTCAGAAGTGTTATTTAGATACATCCCGAATCACATAACCCATCAGCTGAGTGTGTTTTAGTCTGACAATGACACTTAAAGACTCTTTCAATGCTGACATGCCAGCTCGACTAACCTCACACTGGCTGTTGGCATTAGCTTGTTAGCCTGTTAACTTAAATAGTCAGAGTAAACCGTAACGGAGTAGTTTCACACTTGACAACGACACGAAGGTGAGACAGACAAGTCGAGGTGTAAAACAGACCAGAAACAGAAGGTTATTTCAAGGATAAAATGTATAACATAGTTATTCTACTCACCTAGCGAGCGCAGCCAGACAGCTGGCAAGTTACTTCCGTTTCGCTTCGTACATTAGACGATTCAACCGAGTAGAAGCTCCTCCGTCGTACGAGATTCAACCGTCACGAAAAAGGCTGTTTCTCAGAAAACTCGCAATAACCAAAATCCACAACGACTAAAATGTAAGTCCTGAGGAATTCGGATTTTGTAGCTCACACTGAGTCGTAGTCCACTTCTGTTCTTGCAAACCCTTCCTGACAAGTACCGTCCCCTTTCCCGAAAACAACGCAGTGTCTTTCGTCTAAATACGGCCGCTGATTGGCTGCTCGACCTGTCACTCGTGATGACGTCTGTGTGCTCGGGCTGAAGGCTGCACGTCCTGGCTGATGTTGGATGGACTAAAACTAACAGGTACAAACTGTAAAAATAGGCGTATTCAGGCAGTTTTAAGGGAATAATATTATTCCTAGAAGGCTGTTTTTTTCTGGGGATCTAAGCTTGAGAACATGAAATGGAGAGGGGCTTTGCTTTTACCTTATCAATAGTTACAGTATTATAAGCAAAGAATAGGAGGTACACTAATAAATCAACATGTATTGACAGAGGTTGTACTTTTTTAAAAATATAAAATGAAAATATTCTCCCACCTTTTCCCAAAAATGAATTCTTATACAGATACTGGAGAGATCTAGACTTTCTTTCTTTCTTTCTTTCTTAGGTAGCTTTCATTTTTTTCTGCATTATATGTCAATTGTCTTATTCCATTCACCCCAAATTTTTGTACATTGTAAATGCTTAAATTATGATTATTGAGATAGCTCCTGAGAGAAAATAGTCAGAAAGCAAGCTCACTTTCCTGCATTTTCTGAACCAGATCAACAGAGAGTTAGATCTGCAGTTTTAGTTATCAGATGTCCACTGCGGCTTAAAAGTTATTGCAAATTTACAATGTGCCCCCTATAACAAACAGATTTACTGTCGAATAAGTATATCATATTCACAGAGTAACTGAAAACTTTACTTGTAAATATTCACATCACTAAAGTTGCAAAGTACTCAGTATGAAATCCCCCTAAATATATTACATATCTGTATCTAGAGCAAAAACTATGAGCATGAATGTGCAGACATTGACCCTTACACATTGGCTCTTAAATATTGATCCATGTACACTTAAACTATCAGACATGGCCTTTGCTGACCGGCTCTTGTAACTTGACGGTTCATTTGAAACATCCTCTCTGAAAACACAGAACTGCATCTTAAGAGTGAGGCATTAAACTTATATAAAATTTAAGATCCAAAAGGAAGCAGTTTAAAGTAACACTACAACAAATCATTTCGAAACCCGTAAAGTGAAACCTCGAGCATTTTCCTCAGAGATCCTTGTTGTTGTTTGGTGTAGATTTGTCTGCCTTATACTTCCTTGGCAGTACTCTGCTTTTCTAAAAGAGTAAACTGTGTCTATTTTTAACACAGTCCCCCCTGTCGTAACGTCAGCCCCCCTCCAGGGGTCGCATCCTTCAGTTTGGGAATGACTGTATCAACAATTTAGACAAACTCTTTCAAAGACATACTCTGGCACTGTAAAAAATTCACAGTGTGTTGAATTCATTTTCACATTTTCATCTGCTTTTTGCTTTGTACGTTGTTGGTTGTATTTTCTGTATCTGTTGTATTTTCTAAAAATATTTGTAAGAAACTTAAGCATCAATATGCCATGTAACTTCTTTCTTTTTTTTCTTGTCGCTGCCCACAGACCATACCATAAAATTAAAAACAAAAAGAGTATTTTTCCAAATGATCAGTGTGCCTCAGATTTAACTTTCTAGCATGCATGGTGTGTATGAAGAAAAGTCTTTAAGGACTCCAGGAAAAGATTAACTGAACATGTGATATGTATTCCTCTATATGTCTACAGTCCCCAGAAAGGCAACAAGAGCTGAGAGGAACTGTATGAAACAATAAGTGACAATGAGGTGAGATGATTTTTGTCTACAGCTGCTTCCACATCAAAAAATCTCCAAGTTTAAGTTGAATTTAAGCCTTAGTTTTAGTTACAATTAGTATTAGTGTGGAGTAAATCATCAGTTCAGTTTAGTACAGAGCTTTTATTTTCCCTCAAAGGAAATTTGTTCCTATTTATACCTATTTGAAGAGCCTGGCTTGTGACAACTCTGGACCAACAGTTTTTGTTTTGCTTTTACAGCTAATATGAGGAGGCAAATAAGGCCATCAATGACAAAATTGACAAATTGATTTTTTTTATTTTTAATGCTTTAAACTGGTAAGAATGGTTTGGTGTCAGCCAAGTAGCTCAAGAAACAGCCCTGCATTGGCATTAACTGCATAAGATATTCATAATTTGACCTTTAAAAATGCGCAGTATGAGACTTTTGACAGAAGATGTGACCTAAATATGTAGATGACAGGATAGGGAAAGACTGCTTTGTCCACAGGAGGTGCCAAATTTGACACAAACCAAAAGTTCCTCGAAAGAGCTTTAAGGTTGCCTTTTTTCTTTTTAGGTGTAGATCATGGGTGAAGTTTTATCAACCACTGTTCCCATCTAGTCCTAGGATTTGACCATCTCCACAGCTGCACCCGTGATTGTGGGTAATGCTCTGAATTTCTTTTACATCTTACCTCTAAGTCTCTTAAAATTTTCAAGATTAGAGCTCCCAAGTAGACATTTGTGAAGGTGTAGAAAAAACATCATTGGCTTCACATTTTGTGCATCTACTTTATATTTTTTTCCACCAAAAGCTTAATAGACATGCACCACTTTTTTTCAATTCTTTTAGAGATCCAGAGTTTGACATGATATTTTTTCTTTTACCATTAAATAACAGCCGCTGAGTACAAGATGTTTTGAACCTTCTTGAAAAGCCAATCATCAGCTGCTTTTCAATTTGGACAAGGAATGGCTCTCCATACTTGTAGGAAATTATCAGACAAAAACATGATGCTTTCAGGTTAGGACAGATTTAAGGTGGGCAGAAAGAACCACCCTCACCCAGTAGGTGAATTTGTTGACAATCTTTATTACCAAACTCTGCTTGGTTATATTGCAACATTAAGGTAAAATATTAAAGTGAAAAGGGAAGAACCTATTTATGAGCACAGATGGTTCGAATTAGGAAAGTCTCAGTAGACTAAAAAAAAGAGAGAAGACAGATCTTTTCAGGATCTTGGTTGGAGATCACCACGACATCTACTTAACTATGTTTACAAAACTCAACATCATGGAGACACAGTCCAGCTATTAAGCAAGGGTCCTTAATTCTTGTAAGCTTGCATAACTGTCTTTCCAAATAAAAGGATCATTTGTTGCCAAGTCATGGAATACATCAGTTACTGTCTTTATTCAGAAAGCTGTGTAGGGAAGGAGGAAAAAAGACGTTTTTCACGCACAAGTCAAGGTAGAGAGTAAATATAATGCGAGACCAGTGATCCACAAACACTTTTGGTATTGTTGCTTTAAAAAGCTGGATTTCCCCCACTGACTGCAACAGAGTAAGTACAGACACAAGCAGTCAACACTGACAAAGAGTCAAAACAGGCTATTTAAGAATAAAAAAAAACGTATCCTTGAGGCCATTTGTTTCCACACTGACTGGATGATTGTCTAAGATTATAAGGGAATTTGGGGGCTTATTTCAAAGCAATTATGAGCCCAATTATGAGTCGACTGAAAAAAGATCACACATAATAATCTTGATCAAATTTAATTCATATGAGTATTGTGCTACATATTAATTTGGGTGGCAAATGACTGAGAAGCGCTAGCTGGACAATTAAAAGCAGACATTAGAGTTTCTTAGACTCAGCAAATGATCCTTTAATTTATCACCTAAAGCTCCAGTGAGGAGTTTTTTAATAAGCTATGAAACAGACTGAAATAAACAATGATGTGTAAATGAGACCATCTGTAAAAAGATTGGAAGTTTCTTCATAAAAATGTTAAAATATTTTCTTTTTTTAACCCCTGTAGCTGCTTTTAAAGTAAAATGGTTGATTTTACCGTTAGAACACAGCAGTAACAGCTTTTCCCCCTATTTCTAAATTGGCACCATTTAACAAGGGTTAGACAAAATCAGCAACTAGATTAGAGTTACCACTTTGTCCACAGGGGGTGCCAACATTAACACAGACAGAAAGTTTCTCACAGGAGATTTAAAATGCATTTGTTTAAGTTTTTTTGTACTTAAATTCATATATACAGACAAAAAAAATCACAGAAATGTTTCCTAAAATAAATAAACATTAGCGTACTTTTTTCTGAAATTGCAGTTTGACTATGATGTTATACCCCAAATTTCACTTTTTTTGTGAAGCACCCATATCGAAAGCTGTGAGTTGACAAAAAAACTGTGCACACTTCTCCATTAGAATTAGTCCAAAGTGTGAAACAAACCCGTCATAACATGTTTCAGTGCTTTTAAATACTGATAAAGTTGGATTTTGTGCAGTGATGAATGTCAGCAGGAGAAACTGCACTCATGGGTCCAGCCTCCAGTGATGAACTACAACACTGCAGATTATCTACAGTTCGTTAGCTTAGTCTGAAGAGTAAAAAAGCATGGAAAAAGAGACCTGGGTCATAAAAATGGACAATTTCTTACTTCCTGAAGTGAAAAAAACAAGGGTGTGAAAATTTTTTTAAGATTAAAGGTTGTGGGTTCATTTTCAATGGAGGGACTTCCCGTGACACATCCCAGTTATCACTACATTGTCTGTCAGTAGAGGAAGTATAGCAGAAAGTTCCCCTTTGATCGCTTCGGTTTGTGTTAAGCAGGTTTGAAAGCTTGTTTTAAATTAAGGTTTTAACTCTTTCAAGAAAACCATATTTGAATTATTTTGTTGTAAGATAAAGATACAAAAGGGATAGGTGCTTTTCCACAAATTTTCTATAGAAGAGAACGTGTAAAGCAACAAGATGAGATAAGAGCGAGACAAAAACAAAGTATGTGCCATGACTCGGTGGGGATTTCCACAGTGCAGCTGCAGTTATGTTCCCTGTGAGTGAAACATACTAATGACAGGTGCAGAGTGACCTGTGGTTAATCAGACATGACTCAAACTGTGCGTTGATATTTAAAGCGGCTTTATGATTAATATGACACATTTCAGTGTAGTGGCACCGCAAATGACTTTGATCAGTTATATACAGACATGGAGTGATAAGGACATTACATTGAAGCCGCTACAGACAGCACCAAAAGATAGCAGTTGTTGTAGCTTTTTGTGCAAATCATACATGTATGTTTTGGATCATTTATTGTGTTTTTGACATGAGAAAATAACTCGGATTTATTGTGTAAAAAGCAGCCACACATTTAAAAAAAACTTTGTTGCCGCTCAGTCATGAGAAATGTGCCCTGTATTTGATTTCACAACTGTGCAAATGTGTTACTCTTCTCTGTGTAAGTGTCTGTCACAGACAGCACTGTGGGGAGAAAAGCTGTGGAGCCTTTTGTGTCGACCACAAAGCCATGAATAATAGATCTTTGGCTCCCTCTGTTGACAATTTGAGCAACAGTTCAGAACGACTTGACACTTTAATGTGAGCCACTGATCCACAGTGTGGATCTGATTTCCTTATGATTTCAACACCGGGGGGCTTGTAATAGCCTTTTTAAAGGGACATTAAGATGTTGGTTAGCATTAGCGTTGGGTTTGTGAAGCAGTACTCATTGGTACTCATATGGATGCGCCTAAGTCCCAGAAAGATTTCCCTATGAGACAATGAAGCATGTATTGTATCATAAACACCAGTATCAATGTGCAGTATGTCTCTTTGTTAAATCTGCTTGGTGTTCAATGTGTTTTTGTGCTAACAGGATTATGTCATCAGTGTTATGTAGAGAGATTTAACTAAGTATCTGAATAAAACACAAAGCTGGTTTCTAATTTCACAGCTACAAATATTTGTTTCTGACCTAAACCTGTTTTTAAATAAAGGAACAAAGACATTCAAATACAACTCAATCTTTTTATTTCACTTCACACAGCAAGACTGACATTAAAAAATGACTGACAGGTTTCCAAAAAATGGTCCCAAGGATCACTTGTGCAGCAATTCAGTTCAAGATAACTTTGTTGTGAATATAAATATTTGGATTTTGGATATCACATTAAATTAACACACAGCAATGTCTTTCTTCTCCTTGTTCCTCAGGATGTGATCTAATTCTGCACTCGTGTCAAGTTGGCAGCCATCCTTCAGTTATCACAGTACTGTACCTTCGATGGGGACAGCATCAGCACTGTGATAACTGAACCAGGGCAGCCTGTCAAATCTAGCAGACCGGGGCTTCTCTCCTTCAACCATCCATTCACAATATTCATGCTCCACTGCAGCAGCTGCAAAAATCATGCTTTCTTCATGCATTTTTACCGTTCATACAGTGACATCTTCATTTCCACAAGATTTATCACTTGCATTTAACATTTACCGTGAAGACATTTTTCAAGAAACATGCTGTTGCTGATATTGTAGCACATGACTCCAAAGAGTAATGGGCATGTCGCCTAACATTAAAAACTATTTAAAAAATCTCTCTACACAAGCAGAAAGTCTTTCCCTTCTACCAACAGGATTCAAACATTTTTTATACCATGACATTTTCTAACGCTAACAAATTCAAAAGAAGAGCATTAGTGTGAAAAGCTGCAACCATAAACCAAGGTGAACTGTATTTAAACAGGGCAACACAATGATGTCTGTGTTAGATTAAATAAAACTTTAGTTTTAACTCTATTTTTAAGCAACAGTGGAGTCAATTGCACAGAAAATAGAACATTTACTTCGAACAGGTTCATTTATTTATTTGTTTGATTTAAGTTACATTTAGCTAAATGCACCACCAAATGGTTTTAATGGTTTTATTTATCTATATGACCAATTATCAGCCTAAATCAAAACTGGAGCCAACATTAGCATTAGACCAGTTATCTGTATTGGCATTTTACTAATCACTGATAATATTATATAAGTGAAAAAGCACAGCTCCAGTGCAGGTGTGTCTTCACTCGAGTTCACCTTATGTCCCCCCTTACAACACCATTTGATTGGCTGTGCTGTTAGTATTACTGGTTAACTATTTACTCCTGGGTTTGATGTTGGAAGTTGCCGCTTTAATCAAACATTTGGTTCAGGCATTACAATAAGTTTTGGGTCGTGTTTATAATATTTTAAACTGTAGATTTTGACATAAGGTTTGTACTTTTACTGAAAATGCATATCATTTAGCTGTTTTTCATATTTCGGATCACTACATCAAGGCAATCATAGTTTTGAGTCTAACTAGTGTATCTGCATATATTTTAAGATGTTGTGTATCCCTGCAAACCAACAGAATGAGTGTAAACATAACTGTCTTTATAATAATGATCTTAAAAGCAAACTGAAAACATACCTTTTTAGTCTTGCTTTTAACTTTAAGTGTTTTAGCATTTATCTCTTCTAGTTTTAAAGATAGGATCGTCTTTTATTGAGCTATTTTAGTGCTCTTATTTTATCTTATTTTTTCTTAAATTTCATTCTATGTTACTTTGTTTTCAGATTTTAACCTAAACCTCCAGTGTTTCCTTATCTTGAGTTTTAAAGTGAAGTTCCCTCAGTGCAAACATCATGTTTCCACGAAATCAAGCCCTTTATAAGTTTATGCATTTTAATACTGTTTCTGTTGCATTTAGATTGTGGGGTGGGAATAAGGGGTTGGGCTGGGGTAGATTTGGGTATTCTTTGTTTCTTTTATTCCTTTTTCTGTGTAAACCACTTTGTGCTACATGGTTGTGTATGAAAAGAGTCGACGACCTGTGCACCTAAGCACTATATACATACTGCACTGCTAGCACTACTGCATTTATTGCACTTTTTATACTGGTTTTATACTGGTTTTAACTGATTTTACTCTACTTGGCTGGTCTGCAGAGGTGCTGTTAGTATTACTGGTTAACTATTTACTCCTGGGTTTGATGTTGAAAGTTGCCGCTTTGATCAAACATTTGGTTCAGGCATTACAATAAGTTTTGGGTTTTGTTTATATTTCAAATTGTAGATCTTGACATTAAGTTTTTACTTTTTACTGTAAATGCATATCATTTATTAAGCTCATGAACTTCCGATAATCATAACAACCCTTGTCAATAGTACACTGAAACTTGCACTAATGGGTAGATGCAATGTTACCTGGATACAATTGAATTGGATTAACATTTCTAATATTCGGGACATAAGGATAAACCCATTTTCTTCTATTCATCCATAATGGAGTACTCTGCCATCCCATTTCAAACACATTTTAATATGGTTCCTTTATTTTTATTCTGTCCCCACACAGTGTTCTGGTTAATATTTCATCTCATGAAACAATCACAGGCATTTTCCCCTTAAAAACCTCCTCGTCTCTGCTCGGACTCAGCACAGACACCAACTCCACTCTATATTATTCATACCAACCACAAGGCCAGCTGACGTCAGACTTGTTATGATTCTCCTCGCGGGCTCCGCCCACCTCGGCCGCGAGAAGCCTCTTTCTCTCTCGAGCAGTCCGGTGGCGTCTGTGGCCGACGTAGCGGCTCCACCTCCTCGTCAGTCCGTCCGCCCTCCGCACTTCATGTAAACAACTCCATTAGCCCCGCCGCGCACGGCTCTCCAGCCAAGAAATGTTCGTGTCGGACGTGAAAAAGCAAAAAAGCAACATGTGCAATAACTAAAAAAAAGGGCAGGGGATAAACACGACGTCGGGGCTGTACGCTGCGTTTGTTGTCATGAGTGTCTGTGAAGAAAAGCACGTCCACATTACATAAATCCTCATTGTAAAGAACAAGAAGCCACTAAAGGGGAGGATAACATGCTCTAATACAGATCAATACTAAAGCTAAAGCAAATAAACATGACTGCTAAACTGAAATTAGCTGTGCCACGGCGAGTTGCTGCCAATAAAAGTTGCCAAAACGTACACTACCGCGTAATTTATGGCATTACATAAAACCATGCATACCTGCGTTGGGAAAGCTGCACATGCCCTTCAAAAAGCGACTTATGACAAGATATAAGTGCAATGTTCGTACTGAATATTGTGCAGCCAAACGTTAACGCCCAGCATTGCATACACACCCCTTTTCCAAGCAAAAACAAACAGCATGCTGTACATTTCAAGTCAAATAATTCATCTGTTATTCACCATCAGTCTGCGTTGATTTTAGGAGGAATAATTTGTCTCACCTACCTGCAATTTCCTCGTCCGATTCCCCGTGTTTACATGAATATTTTTAATGACGCAGCAAGACCACACAGAGCAACGTGATTGTCGCCATTTTTTGTTGTTATTGAATTCTCCAAAGCCATGTGACAAATTAATAATGATTTTAAAAGCAAGCTTCCGGGTGCGGAGGCGAAAACTACTTTCGCGAGGCTAAAAAAGGTTAATCCCCCGAGTTGTTTGTCTGATGGATTAGTCTGCTTACTCCACTGACTGGTGACTGAAGGCTGTGCGCAACATTTGACAGCTCCGGGACGCTGCTGCTGCTGCCGCCTTCGCCCGTATGGCTCTCGCAACAAGTACTCACAAGATCTCTCTGCCGTCCGCAAACGTTGCGCGCAATGACAGCGACTCATGTGCTTTTGTGCGCCTGCTGCCAGCAGTGCAAAACCATGAGAGAGAGAAAAAAAACATATCCCCATGATCCAAAACCAATGAGAAACAGTGTGATCTGGAGGAAATGCTGTCAACAAGTGGTGGGATCCAATAAAAGACCGAGTTATCTGTGTGACAACATGCAGGATTTACACAGTTACGGATTTGTTGCAAGGTCTTAAAATGTCATAAAAAGCATAAATGGAAGAAAAGCGATCTATAAATAGTCTAGCCTCTATATTCATCAGGTCAGATGACATTATTTTGAGTGAAGTGCTATAAATAAAGTAGGAGAGCCCCATAAAATCCCAGTAATATGATCCAACGTGTTGCCATTAAGACAGATATTTCTAGTTTGGCACAAAAACCTCTGAAGTTGCATGACAAACTCTCCAACTTAAGTACAAAGTATAAAAATTTTTGAGTGAGAGGGTGTGACCATGTGATTTCATGCTGGGAAAAAAATATACAAGGAAGTGGCTTTTTGTTTGTTTTTCCAACATAAATGATAAAAGAGACAACTGTAGTACACAACCATTTTTCAACATCTCCTTTTTTGGTTTAAAAAGAATAAACCCTTTTAAACAGTTTTAACCCTTTAATGCCTTTTGTATCATATTTGATACATACTTTTACATACTTCTATCACTTCAATATGATCAACAAATTACTGAAAATACACCTGAATACAGTCCAATAAATGATAAAAATGTCCTCTTGCACGTTCTCATTTTCCAAAAACATCTAAGATAAATATATGTTTGTTAAATTTTAAGGACATTTTGATTTTTTTTTGTTTTCAGCAGTAAGTGAAATAAACATTTCAGCTTCAAATTTTTTTTGAATTTTTTAGCCATAATTTGTGGTGTCAGATATTAAAGGGCAACAAGACAGTTGTATTTTATTTTAAAATAATGGTTCATTTAATGTCTCCTACCATAAAAGGCTTAAATTAGCCCCTGTTCTTGCTAGCATTTTTAGCTAATAGCTAATAACAGTCAGCACAATAGCAGCTTCATATGTCTTTGTATGCATTTACAGGCAGACCTTGCTCAATACCATTGCTGTACTGATTTAACTGTAAACCAGGTTGCCAATAAACACGATTAAAAGAACAAAAACTTTTACTGTTGATAAAGGGTCAGCCATCTTGGATTGTGCCATACTGAAGTTGCTCTGAGTTTTGGGTAAGTTAGATTCAAGGGGCTTTTCAGGTGATGTATAAGGGTATGTGTAGTAATCCAACCTCTGAGAAAACATGGAATCTGTAAGTAAAAGTGATAGTCACATGTAAAAGTAAACATTTCAAAATAAAAGCCCATGTAACAGAATTCTTTTGATAGCTAGACCATAGACTGTATACACTATGGGCAACTTGTTTCCACCTTCCGCCAGTATATGGATTTGAACCCAGTAAGCTCTTGGTGATTCTACATTTTTTCTCCACTTCCTGAAACCAACATTGCGCAGTAGCGTTGTACGCATTCAGCGGGAGAGTCGCAGAGAGTCGCTGTGATCTGTACCAAGGCTGTATCAAGTGTCAATCATAGAAAACACGAACCCTCTAATATCTTTTAAAAATGGAGCTGTACAGAAAAAAAGAGGACTTGAGCACAAACCAGTCTAACAGTAACTACATGTCAACATCGCAAGCAGGGGGAAGAAAAATGTGCGTTCTGTGTAATTTATTTCTCAAGTTTGTCCACAACTCCACAAGGATTGCTAGAGGAGGCGGGATTTATGACCTATACTGCAGCCCGTCACCAGAGGGTGCTGTTCTCACAGTGGCTCCACCCAGCGAGGAGGCAGACAGTGTCCATTCTGTATACAGTCTATGAGCAAGACAGACAGATATAGATAGATAGATAATCTTTCTGTTGGAGCTTTTATTTTGAAATGTTTACATTGACTCCTGCTCCATTCGGCTACCAACCTGGCTGTTTTCATTCCTAATGGCATATTGAAATAATGAAAAAGAGCAAAATAATAAAATGATAAATGTGAATTCATTGCTTATTTGTTCGAAGCAAAAAGAGTGGGCTGAAAAAAAAATCTGTCTCTGTTCAACTGTTTTCAATTTTTGATTGGAAAAATGAGAAAACCGAGCCATCTAATCATGTCTTCTTTATTTAAATCACATCTGTCATGAAATTATACCTTCATACATGCATTTCAGATTATTAAAAATCTTAGGTAGGTAGACATAACACTGACAGACACCATTGTTTTTTGTTGTGCTGCACTTGCGCATAAAAACTACAGTAACCAGTGTACCACTCAAAGTTCAGGCGAGTCAGTCATCCGCATTTTTTCCGGATGATGTGCGCAGGAAAATAGGGCGTTGTGGCGACTCCCTCATTCATTCGCAGAGAAAAACCTGTGTCCTTACAGACGTAGACGAGCGTAATGTATTCATAGAGGAGCCGAGCGGGGGGAAAAAGAGGAAGAAGAAGGCGACTCGAGCAGAGAAAAACAGAGCAGGACGTCTCCAACGTGCGCAGAGAGACGGCTCTGCGTAAAGACCCGCAGATCCCAAAAAGATACGCTCAAATTTACATTGGCGAGAGAAGTTAAAAAGCCATCCAAGCATCGGACTTGTGTTTGCGCCTCCCTGCAGCTTATCAGGAGTTTCATTAGGGGAAGTGGATTTTGTTTTCTCGCGCACAAACAGGAAAAGCCACGCGCGTGCATCCCAGAGGTTCTTTTTACAGTGACAGGGAGACCCGTGTTTGAGGAAGACATGGCCAAGTTATTCCGAGCTGCTATCATGGGTCCACCGGGATCAGGGAAAGGAACGATATCCAAGAGGATTGCGCAAAGCTTTGGCCTGCAGTACCTGTCCAGCGGCCACTATTTACGGGAGAGCATAGCGGCAAACACAGGTAGGATACATCTGCTTACAGACATGCCGCTGTTGCCTGAATATAAACACAGGAAGAGCTAAACAGTCTGCAGAAGCGTCCTCATTTGACACCACATGCGCAGATCTCTCTGTTTTCATTCCTTTGTAACATCTCATCTGTCCTAAAATGTAATCATGGCTGAAAAAGATGGGAACCTTGATCACCCTGCTCTTTTACTGTTTCTGTCTCTGTCCAAGCACCAGTTAAAGCCCCTACCAAGATTTTTATGGAAATATCTCCCCCAAAACTTTTACCAGATTAATTCTTTACCATAAGATATCCCCACTGTACACTGTAGCTGCCAACTGGATTTAATTTGCCTCTTGGCATGATGTGCCAAGCTGTTGTATGCTGATGATATAGTTGGAGCTCAGTGCAGAGGGGCTTAAACAAAAACATGTGGGCCCGGTTTTCACTGTACTGGATTGTTTCAGTAAAGTTGTGGCTTGGTAGACAGGGTCAGTAAGCTTTTTCTCTTTGAGTATTTTAGATAAGTTACAGTATCTTTATATCTGTGTGTTGTGTGTATGTTTGATAGATAGATTCTGTGACTTTGCAGAGATATTTAACTCATTAAATGGTGTGTGTGTGTTTCATATAAAGTAGAAATAATGGGACAGAGTCATCTTCAGTGTTATTAAGTAAGAGTTTATTTATCAAGGGTGAATGTTTGCCCTGTCTTGTTCCTGCATTTCATAGATGTGAATCACAGTCATGCAATCAATCATAATCTTTACCTCTACCTGTGTGTTGTGTACTCAGAGGCAGGAGTGCTGGTGAGGAGCTATGTGGAAAGAAGCTTGCTAGTACCAGACCATGTGATGACCAAACTGATGCTGCCCAGACTGGAACAGCTCAGCGGCCACAGCTGGCTGCTAGACGGTATGAAGAAAATCATCTCTGCTGTGTAAAAGTGCATTGTCTGTGTGTTTTTGTGGAAGTGCACACCAGGTTTTGTATCCTTTGTCCCACAGCAGCTCCCTTCCTTTGTATTGATCATTTGTAGTGAGGGAACATGATATCCGTAAAGTGGCGTCATGGCTTGTTGTGGGAACTACCAGAAAGCCCTCAAATCTGATTGGACAAGAGGGGTGCCACCCCCAAAACACTCCAACTGATAGCCATCTTAGAGGCAGGGCCATCCGGAAATCATTATTCTCTTTACACCTCTGCATTCTTAGAGGCATCCTACCTCTTAAAGACTACATGCAGCGCCTCTTAAACTTGAAGGAGTAGCTTTACTTGGTGGAAAATTACTCTCTGCATTATCCTACATCTGTGGGTAATTAGCAGGTCAGTGCATGCTCACAACTGTTTCTCAACCTACGCCAGTAATAAAGATCAAAAGAGGCCACAGTTGCAAGTGAGACTATAGAGACTATAGCTGACAACAGTAGCAAGTTTCACAATTTATAATCTACTTAGATTCTCTGCCAGGCTTTGACTCAGTGACTTATCTTTTTGTATCTTTACTTTTACATCAAGTCTAAACAAATATTGCATGTAATATTGTACAGTCTTAAATATCAGTAATTGTCATTTTTTCACCATTAAAACAAGGATTTATAAAAGCATTGGTAATGGCCTCAGAAGTGTGGTCAATAAGGTCAAGAAACCAAACAGCATTTCTCCCTTTTTCTTCTCTTGTCTTGATTTAGATGTTATCTAGTAACATGTTTGGTTGTGTCAGATGTCTTTTTTCAGGTTAAATATTATCTCCTATCTTCATGGGAGATGCCAAACATTGATGAAACTAACTGAAGGAACATTGAAACAAGTCCACTAAACAGATAATTTTTGTTTAGCGAGAGAGCACGGCACCCACACCAAGGTTACGCACACACAAACACAGCCATGGAAAGACACGTGGGCGCATTTGTCTCAGTTCATCGTGTTTGTCTTATGACTGTCTGATAAGCTCTGTTATTAGTGTCCAGAAAATAGTGATTCTCATGGCATTCCTGCATTGATACTTGTGTGCTTGCTTGGTTATCCTACCAAAACACACTGAGCTATGATTTCCTCTACACTCCCCTTCTCTTTCCTCTTGTGTAACCTTTGATTGAGGCCTTTCCGTCTCCTATTTGTGAAAAGCACGGCTATCTGGTTAGAGAGATTCAGCAGCTCTTTAGTGTCCAAACAAAGGGAGATACAGATTGGTTGCCAGTTTCCACTCCAACTCAGAAGGGAGCAATAAACAGAAGATGAGGCATAGCATACCAAAACAGCAATACTGTGAGAGAAACTTAAGAGCCTGCATATAAGGCAGCATGTGAGAACCCTTTGGTTTAATATTGAAGTATTCTAACAAAGGGCACTAGATATTTACCAACCCCGTGCTGTGAGATAGTTGATCCTGAGAGTGGGAAGAGAGGAAAAACAGGAAAAATGTGGTGAGGACTTTCATTGTCTGTAGAGGATTCACATTACTGTCTCAGAATATTCCTGGACTTGTCTTCTCGTGTCATTGGGTCAAGATACTTGGAAAAAGTTAAATATTTCATAAACTTACGTTTATAGATATCACCTGATTTATCTTCAAGTGTCTTGAACTGTGAGGATTTGGTCCTCTGAGGATGAAGATGACTCATTTCAATGATTCTCTGATTTTTATCTTGTGTAATTCAAACTCACACATTATTCTCTGTAGTGTATCAGAGTAACTAGATTAGCATAAAACTTGGTTGAGACATTCATTGTTCTCAGAAGATGCATGCTACTATCTTAAGAGATTTCTTGACTTTTCTCCAGCGTTATCAGGCCAAGATTTTTAGCAATAGTGAAATATTTGACACATACATTCATGGTCATCAGAGGATAGTTTCTGAAGTCACTGGATCACACCAGATTTTTCATCAAGTGCCTTGCAATGTTAAGATTTTGGGCATTTGTTGAAATATTTGATCAGTGAAAGAAATGCCATTAAACTCGGTACAGAAATTCATGGTCCCCTGAGGATGAAGATAAATAATTTTGATGATTCTCTCCCTTTAGCAAAAATTATTGAGAATATGTTTGCGTTTTCAGAGATATTTTAATAACTAATAAATTGATACTCAAAAGAATTAGCACAGATTTTAGACATTCATGGTCCCCAGATGATGGAGATTACTGACTGTTATGATGACTTGACTCCTACTCTAGTGTCAACATAAGGCTAAGATATCTGTGATTTCAGAAACGTCTCAAAATCTTGTAAGATGATGACCATGAAACTTGGTGCATGATTCATGGTTGCAAGAGGACAACTTCAGCTGAGGTTGTTGATCTTCTCTAGTACCGCTATGAGTTCAGGGGAAAAACCTGTGAAACAAAAAGATAAATTTCCATAAAAGTTGGCAAACATTCATGGTTTTTGCTGATGAGTATTTACAATATTGCCATGAAATTTTATACAGACATTTATAGACAACTTTTGCAAGCATTAGCCTGCCTCTTATTTAGTGTTAACCATCAAATGTTAGCATGCTAACAAGCTAAATAAGAACAGTAAACTTAGTGAACATCAGCACCAGCATTATAATTGTGGGAATATTAGCACACTAATGTTAGCATTGAACTCAGAGCACCAGAAGGCTTGGGTGCAGCCTCACAGTGCTGCTAGCGTGACTGTAGACTTTTGTCTTGTTATAACTGAGGGTGGTTCATCAAGGGCATGTCACTGGGAGTATTGTTTTTTCAGCAAGTTAAGTCACACGTGCATAATTGTGTTTTTATACCACTGCCAAAGATCATTTCACTGGGAAACTGCAAACAGCTTGAGTCCAAGTTTACTTGCTGTCATCTCGCAAACATTCAGACAGAGAACACATTATATGCATCGGCCTGTGAAATGGACTTTTGTTTGTGTATGTAAATATTTGTTTTGGAACTGAGTCAAGAAATCACAGCTTGAATCACGCCGTCTTGAATGTAGATCTTGGTCCATACATAAACCGTATACATATTGTCTCTTCTCCTTCTGTTGACAATCCAGGTTTTCCCCGGACTCTGGCTCAAGCCCGGGCACTGAACAATCTGTGTCAGCTCGACCTGGTCATCAGCCTCAACATCCCCTATGAGACGCTGAAGGACAGACTGAGTGACCGCTGGGTCCATCCAGGGAGCGGTAGAGTCTACAACATGGGCTTCAATCCACCAAAAGTGAAGGTCTGATAACTTAGGAACTCTAACAGATCCAAAAATACCTCTCCAAGCTACTTTTGTATTTCCAAGACAACAATTTTGTGCTGCTAGTTTCTTGCCCCACAGTCTTTGTGTCTGTGTGTTTTGGAGCAAGTAATGTCAGGGTGGACGCTCTTCAAAATAGAGAGATTGGAACCAGATGAATATGTTCACCCACTTCCTTGCTCCCCTGCATGACAACAACAACCCTCCCACTGTTTGTTGGTACTCTTCACGAGTCCCTTAACTTAAATCTACTGCAATCAAACAACACTTTCTAAAATCTCACAGTGAAGCAGATAAAGTAAAGACCAAAATACAAACACTAATGTGATTATGACCTATATTCAGGAGGAGACAACTTTTATCTAGGAGTTTTGGTTTCAAACAGAAAAATCCCTGTTGGTTGTTTTGGGTGATGACGGACAATTAAAGGTAATTTTGTGAATTTTAAGCCTGTTTTTGAGGGGAAACATGGCAGCATGAACTTCTATTAAATATTTAGTGTTTTGTGATTCTTAACATATTTTAAGAGAAACCTTTTTTAAAAAGAAATGAGGTCAAACAGTTTGCTTATATTGCAGTATGAACAACTTTGTAGAGCGAGTCCGAAGAGAAGTTTTGGAGTGGTCACAAGGGACACTGACCTTGTACAAAAATTTGGCGCCCACTGTGGTCAAAAGCTGTGATGTTTTCCTAAACGAAAACGCATCTGATGAGCCAGATGGACTGTCAAACATATTGTTGACATTAGATATATTTTATATCCACCTAGAGACGGATAACTTTGGGAGGGGCAGAACCTTTCAAAATAAAAGCACAGGGTGAATGGATGAAAGTTCTGTCTGCTCCAGGCCAATCAGAGCAACAAAACATATAATCACATATACTGTCCATACTATGTGGAGTCATAAAACTATATTGTTATTTCTCTTGACATTTACATGTGATTTATAATCTCATCAATGACAGTTTCACCTCATTTTTGAAATACACCTCTGAAGGGATCATCACTCTGAAGCTGCAGCCACACTAATCTCCTTACAGACTGCCATTGTTTACAGGCCGAGCCACAACTAAACACACCAGTAGCAACCGCCTCTTTCCCCTCAAATGACCTCGACTGGTCTGGTCATTCTCTTACTGAACAAGCACATCAGCTTGAAGACAGATCCTCTTGATGACAGAAATATGGCAAATCCGTTTGCCTTGCAAGGTTAATGCTTACTTCGAGGGAAAGCCCTATAGTGATCTAAAAACCAGGGCCCGGATGTATTTCATAAATAAAATGGACTGTAACATGTCCGTCCATGTGGAGGAGGCCCAAAAGGATTTGTTTTCAGCATTTTCAGATCCTGTAATTCTCTCCATCTGCTAAATGTCTGAGGCTGACTTCAGTTTTTGCCCATGTTTGGACACGGCCCATTGACATTTTTGTGCTTCTTCCATCAGTTGTGTTATATTTATCTGTTTTAGTTCAGCCAACTCTCTCACTGTATTTTTCATGGGGTTCGAAAATGTGCTTCCTTTCACCATTAACTGATTAACCTTGTGTCTGCTGTGGAAGGAAAACTCTTGTCTGTGTTACGAGGAATAGATAACATGAAAAAGAAATAGTTGATCTTCTCACTCATAGTTTTGACTGCTTATGTAGGTCATATAAAAACATAAATATTTGATGAGACTCCTTTCATAACCTCTAAACGATCCTTGCAGCTGCTTTAAAAGAGGAGGCTGATAAGAGCTTTTGGTGCCCTCTACCTTCAGTAAACAACCGGACTTGTTACTTTACCCTGAAGCAATGTATTACTGGACTCAGACTACATGGTATCCCAGCAGAAAACCAGCTCAGAAAAACTAGTTTGACCAGTTCAGTTTGATTATTTTTCTCATTTACAAGGACATGATTATTTTGACAATGCTGGAAATATCAAACTGTCCAAGGAGAGACTGACAATCTCCATCAAATTGAATGTTGCTTCGAGGAGCTGGTACCTCTTTGTTATGTATATCAGCCACTCGTGATATGAAATTGCACTTCTCCTATTGGTACTTCGCTGCATGCCTGACCTTGTGTTGCCTTGTGTCCCTCAGGGTAAAGATGACATCACTGGGGAGCCGTTGATTCAGCACGATGATGACAAACCAGAAGCCCTGATGGCCAGACTGAGACACTACAAAGATGTGGCCAAGCCTGTCATAGACTTATACAAGTCAGTATATATGTCCCCTCACTGACTGCTGATGACAGACAGGATTTTGATTGATTTCCCATCAATAACTAATCGCTATTGACCGATATTAAAAGCTTTTTTGTATATACACCACAAAAAAGATGCTTCTTTAACGGATTCCTGCCTACCCCATTTTTAATATAGTAAATATGTTTTTGTTGCAAATGTGTCTAAATTCTATGTTAGGGTTATTATAGCCAACAGGGTGGTTTTATTTCTTCCGAAATTGCATTGTGCGTGGTATTATTTGATGAATGGTCACTATTTAAGTAATATAGTCATCATGGATTGTGGTACGAATGAAAACAGCACACACATGAGAAGCTTCTTCTCATTTAGGATCAGATTCTGTTGAATTTTATCTATTCTCACTGCAATAAATTACAGAGCTCAATCAGCTTTTATGCATAAAACAACAAGTCTGAACTTAACAAGTGTAGCCACATTCTGCCGTTCAATCAATTAATCGATCGATCAGTCATTACTGTCTTTTCTTTTCTTATCCCTCTCTCAGGTCACAGGGAATCCTGCACTCATTTTCTGGTACAGAGACAGACCGGATCTGGCCCTACATAAACTCTCTGCTCAGCACCAAGATGCACATACAGCCATCAGACACCACCGTGCAGACACAGACCCCCTGACACCTCTCTGGATGAAAACAACAGGGAATCATGAAAGAGCAGCTAGAAGACACAGGGGTGGTGTTTCCTGTGTCTGCAGGGAGTGAAGGAAGGAAAGAGGATGCTGATCAAAACTGTAGTCACCCGACATGATTTTGATTCAATCATGTGCTGGTTGTGTGTGTTCAAAGAGTTTATTGATTGATTTGATTTCTCGTCCTTTTTTTCACATGCACTCACTATTGACAATTCATCCCATATTTGTTTTTTTGGTTTTTTTTTATTGCTGATGATATCCCCACAAACAAAACAAGAATGAAAGGCTTACAGCAACAAACAAACAAAGCAACTGAGAAAGAGGAACCCACTTCATTTTGTATGGTGGCCCTGAAGGTCAAACATTTCATGACCTCAACAAACAAAAAACGTTAAACTAAACAGCAAACATATTTCACAAAACCCCAAATTATTGCATGAAACACCAAAATAGTTCAGATATTATTCTTTTAGATGGAAAGAAAACACATAAACTGGATAGTATTTTGCACAAAAAATATCTTTTCGCATTTCTTTAAGTCAAATTTTTTCTTTGTGAAATATTTTTGGGTATCATTAAATATTTGTGTTTTGTGAAATATTTCTGTGTTGAATTAAATGTTTTGCTATTTAGTAAAATGTTTTTTGTGTTTCATAAAAAGTTTCTCCAATTGACCTTCAGGACCACCGTAGTTTTGGCCCCAATAGCGAGAGAAATCTACTAAAAATGCTGAATCTTACTTTAGGATTAATGACGTGATACCAGGAAATCTTACAAAATCTTCATCACAGAATAAAACTTCTATAAACACAGACATGGAATATATATAGACTTTTCACTGACTTCATTGTGATACAGTTTTTTGCATTATTTGCACCTTAAATTGGACTTTTACAGCAAAGCTGGCAATATTCTGTCATTGTCTCAATACATTTCATAATTTTGAGGTAAAGTTCTCAATTATCTTTCAAAAACATCCTCATGTTCAAGAAGTGAGGAGATTTAGTTTTCAGTGAGCATGGAGAGATTTACGGTGAGCAATACTGACATGATGCAGTCAACCAAAAACTGAATCTCTGACAGGAATTATTCAGCTCTGTTGTCCAACAGTTTGGAAATCTGTGCAAGCCTGTAAAATGTTTTTTATTATGCCTAAAAATCAGCTGCTACAAACAGTGTGTTATCATTCTGCAGAATCTGTTTTAAATCTTCAGCTTCATCAGCGCTACATTTCTAGATGTATATCTATCAGCTATGTAAACAAGGTGCGCTGTTTTGACTGCTTTTTGTGCTGGAAATGCTGCAGAATGTCCCCCAACCTGCACTGGATGATATGCAGAGGAAAAAGTGTGGCTGGTTCTGGACTCACAAACACACAGTCACACTGCATCTCACTCTGTGGATGGGGATGAAGACCAATGCACAGAATCTAGAGTGCCTTCGATGTTACATTCCTTGACAAATGTACAAAGTTGCCTTGAGATTTTAATCACCAGTATGTCACAGATGGATGTTTGTAAATGCTTTGCAATGTTTAACTTTTGGATAGTGCTGGATATAAAGTTAGAAAGTAACACTTTGTCATCACTTTTGCAGCTTGGAAATCTTTATTTTGAAACTCCTTTCCCTGTTAAAAAGATTTTGGTTATCACCTTAGGTTTTAAAAATCCCTTTACACTATGCACAAGATGTAAGTTTACAGTACAACAACCTAAGCACACTTGTAGAAATAACCTGTGAAAAAGAAAAAGCTAGCAAATGGGTTTTATTATGTTTTCCAGCTTGATTAGTAGTGAAACTACAGTTTTAAGACTTTTGTAAAATGTTATAGCTAAAATCTTTTTAGAGAGACAAATTAGAGAGAGCTTTGGTCAGGAATTGGCAATAAGTTTACTCACTACATTTGGAGATGTATTTGCAGGAGGTCAAAATTACAAAACATGCTTTTATGTTGATGGAGTTTTCTGTTTCTTCTACAAAGTGTAAAGGAACTATGTTTGCTGTTGCACAGATTGAAGCCCCTTTCACAGTATGTTTTGTTTGAGTGACCACAGGATTGTTGTCGGCTGAATGTCACTGTGCCTCAGCTAACTATAAATGTATCTTTGTGGGGATTTGTCTAAATATGATGAGTCTGCAGAGATTGACCCTCTCACAGCCTCTGATTTACACGCTGGCGATTGCACGCCCTTGCTGGATGCTCGGCCTGAGTTGTTGAATGAATGGGTGTGTTTGTGAGAGTTGTGCACAGCCACACCCCAGTGCAGTTGTTCAACACCATGGTGTATTTGTTTTCTTCTTTATTTTTACACTGTCTAAACATGTTACATTCCAAGAACAATTAAAACCATTTTCTCAAGGCTGTTCTGACCTGCTGTGTGCATGATTTAAACCATACTGTTTATAGCACAAAATAACAGGTATATACTGTATGTGAAGAGAGCCAGTGCTTTATGTATAATTCTCATGAATTTCCATTTATTTTTATACTCAGAATCAGTCGTATACTGCAAGTCATTACAAACTAAAGCACCACACTTCTTTTTTCAATTCTGACTTGATGCACAGTTTGTTTGGGGTTAAATAATTAAATCAGCTTTTTTAAAAACAGATCAAGTTTTCATAGATGTCTGCTTCTTCAAACTGCTCAAAGTACGGACTTTACAAATGTGAGAAGCTCCAGACATCGTTATTTATAACTATGACAAGCTTTATTCTTTCTCTCTCACTCTCTCCCTCTAGCACACACCCAAAAAATAGCCTGGCTTTTTGCTCCTCCCCTCTTTGCTTCTTGGTCGTTCATATCATGTGAGAAAAACAGGAAGCAGCAGGAGGGTTTGCTAACTCGCACTAAACAAAAGCTGCTGTGGTTTTTTCAAACACGCACTGAAAAGCACGTATGCATGGGGACACATACATGCGCACACATAGGCAAACCGTCTCTATCCCCTCCTCTCTTGCCTAATCCTCTCAGATCTGTAAATAAACCCCATGAGCATGAACCTTCACTCTGCTGTCAGGATTACAGCTCTGTCTGCTGTGTTTACATCCAACAGAGGCTGGAAACTGCAGGCTCTGCATGCATTAAACATGATGCAGCTTTATCATTTCCTGCATGTCATGAAGTAGGAGTATGCAGCACCTTTATTAAATCACCTCACTGTTTTGTAGAGTTATTCACTGAAGGAAAAAGGTGTTGCTTTGCAGCTGTAACAGATAAACTTGATCAAATTTGGAATCTCTGCAATTCTTCTTTTGCTTTTAGTGCGTGTTATGGAAGCCTGTAGATGACATGCATCTGTACATTTAATTTTACGTATTTTTCTGCAAAAACAAACTCTGGTTGTTTTCTAGAGTTCCTGACTTGTAAGTCCCGTCATTTTAAGATAATAGTGTTGGTTTTCCCATCATTAAAAGTAGTAATGTCTGCAAAAATCTCAGTTTATTGATCTCCTATGAAAAAGTTTTGGTTTGTGTTCAATTCAGCACCCCCCTGTGGACAAAGCCATCTTTGCTTATCCTGTGAGAATACAAACACAAAATACAAAAATTCAAAATACAACTGACAAAACTTGTTTTCTTGTTACAACTGGGATTTTGTTATCCCGGGAAAAAAGGTCTTGCTATCTATCTATCTATCTATCTATCTATCTATCTATCTATCTATCTATCTATCTACATAAAGAGAAATACGATATGAACAGTTAAGCATTTCCCATAAAATTAATGCAAAATAAAGCGTTTATACTACACAATAATATATGAAGAAGAAACATCAAAAGACAAACCAATTACAGCAGTGAGTAAAAAGCATATGGATGCATGTCCAAACAGGACTTTGGTACGGAAGTAAATCTGTGCCATCTGATTTTGAATTTAAACTTCTATAGCTGAAATTTTTTGGAATCAAAATTAGACTTTGAATTTCAAAACCATCGAATTTCAAGCACGCATTTTCTAACACTAATTTTTTTTCACAATGATGGAATAAATTTGGTGTAAAAAAATCGGCCTCTTATTATTAGTTTAGTGAACATTCGACTTAAAAAAACTGTAAAAAAATTCAACATAATAAAAAATTTCAGTGTCAAATATTTCAGTGTCAAAAAATTCACTGTGAAAGAGACCGACTCAACATCTGGGTATCCAGGGAGAAGCAATCGATTGGATTCAATCTTCCACTGGGGTTTGTGCCACATGACCAATCTAGCATTAATTGATTGGCTGGACGATGGATGATTTAACCAGGAATCGATTGCTTCTCCCTGGTTACCTGGATGTTGAGTCTGTCTCTTTTGCACTCAATTTATTTTGCACTGAATTTTTTTTTTATGTTGAATTTTATTTACACTGTTTTTTTAAGTAGAATTTTTACCAGACGAATATTTTTGAGAGACCTTTTTTTTACATTGAATTTATTCCATCATTGTGAAAAAAAATAGTATCAGAAATAAAAAAGGCATGCTTGAAATTCGATGGTTTTAAAATTCAAAGTCTAATTTTGATGGAAAAAAAAAAAAAAAGCTTTAGAAATTCAAACTGAAAATCAGATGGCAAGGTTTTACTTCCATACCTCCGTACATACATACGCATTAACACGAATAGAGCTATTACAGAGATTGCCACCAGAGGTCTTCTGTTTTACCTTTTCATGATTCAGCCTGTCCTTCGACTCCATCCCAGGTTTTCCTCCTCGGTCTCAGTTGCAGCCCCGGCAGGATGCGCTGAGCGGCGCAGCTTCTCGTGCACAGATCTACAAACCCCCACTCGGCCTCGTGCCGTACCGTAACCACTCATCCACACTGTCTGCTTATCTACCACCCTTCCTCGCGGCACCTTGTTTGTTGCTCGTATGCCAAAATGTGATTATATGATGATGCCGTAGCTTGGAGCCGCTTCAGTAAAATTTACCGACAGGTTGCGCTAAAGTGATTTCTTTTCAGGGCAGTGTGTCTCAGGAGATGATTTATAGTTTGACCTTTGACTGGCTGCTGCGAATGACAAATCAAAGGTCGGTGTCGGTGAGCGGAGCCGGGGTTCAAAACGCATCCTCAGCAAGGCACAAGACGGCGTTCCTGGGAGAATGGTAGAAAGCGCCCTGACAGGTAAAGCTAACCACAGAAATGTGTGTTTATTATCATTTTAGGCTGGTAATGAGATGTGTTTAAGGGGTTAGCTTCCTTTAGCAGGCAGAGATACAGAGAGGGAGCATCACGATCTGTGCTGGGGTGTTACGTAATATTTGGCTGCCTCTGTAAATTCACCCCCCCTCCACGGTGCATCCCTGACACAGAGGTTATCATCAATATTCACCTTTTCAGAGGGAAGATACTCGTTTTTTTTCTCATCTCAATTTCTTAATCACCAACTTCTTTCTGTGTTCAGGGCCTGTATTTGACGATAAGCATCATTTGATTATTTTAGTTCCCGAGATTTAGACTACATTTTTTCACAGGCGCCTCTTTGACTACTGTTTCTAGTTAATGTATGTGTTTCTCGTATGATAAACGTCTCCATGGCCAGAATTAGTAATTTGAAGGTTGCCTCTGATTTCAGAAACGGCATTTCAGGACACCATTTAACACTTTGACCGCCGATCACTGTGATAATTTTGAAGGTCAGCTCGATCTGTCAAATGAAACCTCTGTTTTCTGGTATTTTGTGCCCAGGAGACTCCTCTTGTGTCTTGAGTTTCATAATAATAATAACCTTCAGCTAGCTGTAGCTGTACATTAAGAGGACAGCTCCTCTCTTGCACTGTCCAATAGCACATCCCCACCTGCGTCATGCACGTCACGTGATCAGCTTAACAAAGCTTGCTGTGGATTCATGTGCAGATCATCACTGACTGAGTCACCTTTTCTGTCATAAAAGATGGGTATTCAGTTTCAGAGTTTCTCCATGGTTATTGTTTCATAGTTACTGTAAATCAGAAGTGGAAGCATCTTTAGTTTGCTGGAACCACAGATTGTGCATATGAAGTGGACAGAGAAAGCAATATTGGTCTTTGGATTGTTATTGTTGATGAAGGCTTTAAAGGGATATTCTGGCATAAAATTATTTAGGGTCAAACACAATGTAACAACGAAATAGACACCCCCTCGAGAGATGAATGTTGCAGACCGCTTGCTTTTCTAGTTATACCAACTTTAGTAACGACCGCAGGATAGCAATACACAGCGGTCTTAGGAGCCAAAAACAAACCTCAACCAAAACACCACTCTATAGCCACAAATAATGCTCAGAACAGCACCTAACTTCATCAACAGTACATGTAGGGTCCAAGCTATAGTACTAGCCACCAAACATCTTTTTAACTTTGCCTAACTTCTTTAGCAAAGAGACTAAACACAACTCACCTACTTTCTTCCAGCAGCCGCTTGTTTGTAGTGAGACCTCAGGCCAGTCCATTACGGACTGCTCCGGGGTGACACAGCTCAAGGAAGAACATTTATGATCATTACTTTATAATTTCCTTGAAGAAATAATCAATATATGAATTATTTTGCACAGCAGACGCAGCAGTGTGTTGATCTGATTACATTTCCATGTAGGAATAGGGTCCATGAATTACCCGTCCATTCAGTTATTCCATTAAATCTAGTAAACAGTGGCTGATTATGTTTAATTTATCTTGTTCTAGAATGTGATTGGTCAGTCAGGCAATCAATTTAATGTAGTCAGCAAAGTAAAACTTAAACTTTGGTGTATTAGAAACAGACAGTTTGGATAGTTAAACACGGAGCTTCAGTACTTCAGGAACCTCATTATTGTTATTGTTCTATTAAAATGTAACATTTGCGCAAACTTATTTATTTACTTTACCTGACAGGGTTAGTATAATGGACAGTGGATAGTCAGGCCACCTTAATTCCTACTATGACTGACTGCTAACCAATCTGATTTGGTGGTGTGTTAGGGGGGTGAGGCAATGGGTGGCACACACCCCCTTTGAAATTTGATTGGTCAACTCAGGTTTTAATTCTATTGCTATTGCTACCTGCTATTTTGGCTATTTCTAACAGACTGCAAGAGTTTTTGCTTTGAAATGCATGTTTTCTTTTTTGTTTTTTCCAAATGAAATAATAATAATAATAATAATAATAATAATAATAATAATGATAACAATAACACCACCTGTCTGTTTCAGAGAGAAATTAGTCCATAAAAATTTTAGATTAAAAAAATAATGTCAACATGTAACTACCCAAACATTGTCAGTAAATGTTTTGACTGTTAGCATCTTTGTATATATAGTACTAAAATATAAGTGATTAAAGTAGATTGTAAATGGGGATAGAAATGGTAAATAAAGGCTTGTTATTCATGTATGTGTCGTCACATGTTACCCCAGCATTAGCCAGTGCCCCAGATGGGCCAACCTAGTCAAAAATGACCCTTTGAAGTATTATGCATGTGACAAAATATAAATGCTTTATTGAGGTTGAAGTTGACAACAAGGAAATTTTTTGAAATTTTAATACAAAATAACCGCATCATTCAAGTAGTTATCTGCAGGTATCTTTGCATTTAAAGAGCTGTTGTGAATGGTTTCAGGCCATTTTTGGTTAAATTTGAGGGGGTACACAGGTTGAGGATCTGTCCTGTTCAGCTCTCCAGAAGGGCAGCAATAACAGCTTTCAGCTCCTAAAGCAGACCAGCTGCCAGCTCAGCGTTATTGGCAAACCAGGGCAGAATGGACACTGTTGTTTTTCTGAGAGAGAAAAAAAAATCATCTTAGCAAATGCTCTCTGTCATGATCTAGTTCTTCCACACAGAATAAGACTCTGGATTACACGGTTACAGATTTAGCCTCAAATTGAAGTCCCTTGTCTGTTTTGTTGGTGGGTTGTGCAGCTGATCCAGCAGATTCCTGGATTCTGCTTTAACTCTTATGTGGATAATCATTAATCCTCAGCCTCATAATCATGGAGAGAAACCAGTAAAAGTTGAGGCAGGCATTTATTGAAGTTATATGGCCGTAGTAAGTATGAAAGCCGACTAAAACACCAAGTCTTGCATTGAAGAAAACAGACATGCAAACAAACTACTATAGTGATATTTGATGTATGAACTGTCTGTCTGTGTCCCAGATATAACAGCTTTGTTGCTGGTCTTTACTCTTTGGTGAGAGCAAGTTGCCTATTTTTAGCAATGGCTGCTCAACATGCACAAGAGTTGAATCCATAAAGCCAAAGCAAGAAGTATTGTTTTCATATGTGGTCTGATCCATGCAAATTTAGAGGCTTTATGTAATTAAAAAGAAGAAAGACAACAAATCAAATGCTGAAACTGAAAAAAGATTGTTGTTTTGTGAAAATTATCCGCTCATTTAAAGATTAATGCCAGCAACATGTTTCAGTACAGTTAGGCAGGGACCACAAAACCCTTAAAATGTCTGTAACGCTAAAAAACACCTAGAATTACATTACTTTGCAACAGTTTAGTAGCATGACTGGGTAAAAAAAAAAAAGTATCTAAGAAGAAAAGATGGGAAGAGGTTCACCACTCTGTGAAGGACTGGGTGAGGAAGCAAAACTGTGACAGTGCAAAAGATTTTAAGATTTATTGAACTCTTTAAAAGATTCAGAGCACATGGAGAAACATCTGCCAAAGAGGACAAGCCTGATAAGCCGGTGCAGTGGAAATCCCTGCATGGGTTCAGTATCACATCCACAGATCTACGGATTCAAGTCCAAACTGGACCATGCAAAGAGGAAACCATGCTGGCCACATCTGGGCAAGCCTGTTGGAGATGGACTTAGGCAAAGTGAATTTGCATATTTTGTCCAGTAATGTCTTAAACTGCTGCAGTGATTGTTTTGCTTAGACCTTTAGTGAGCTGTCTGAGGTCCAATTAACATTATGAAACAACTATGAAACATGCAAAGTGCGTGTTTTGTCCTATCAACAGTCTCAAACCTAAAGAGAACATGTTTACTGTAAAACTCATGATAGAAAAGCTGCAAATCTTTACAGTTCAGAAGCTGGAACGGGTGAAAGTTTGGCAAACTGCCTGAAAAAATTGCATGTATGTTATTATCATAAACCCTCTGTTGATGGACATAGAAACTTAAACTCTTATGATATTGTTCGTTTGCGTTGCCATCATGTGTAAGTCTCTGATGATGGAGATTGTGATGCCCTTTCTGCACCTATACCTTTATCTGAAAGGCCATCAAAGGGTAAATATTGGTAGGCATGGTTAGGAACAAGACAGGAAGCCCCCGTTTTTTCTTTTTTTCCACAATGGAGCGGCAGCACCCTGCGTCCGGTGACGGAGGGGGTTTCGTTCCTCCCTTTTGGACATTCCGTTCCTGCTGTGCTTTGAGCCCCGTCTGCTCGACCAAAAGAGTTTCCCAGGCTCATGTCCTCTTTTCAGAATCATGCTGGCTCTCAGTTGCCAGGGGACAAGGCCAAGGAAGGAAGCATGCCATCAGTGGTCAGTGTTTTTTGTCCCACATTCATTGATCTAGGGTCATTACACAAGATACTGGAGCCAAAATCACAAATTGGGAGCTAAATTTAAGAATCTGTTAGAGTTTGGTTAAATTACAAAGAGCCTTTTGACATCTAAAGTTATTATTAGTCGAGCTGAAGCTGAGAAAAATCCCTGTGATGCAGAGTGAGCTTCCTTTCCCTGACAAAGCATGGTGCTGTTGTCTTGCAGAGCAGACTACAAGACTGCTCTTATTTGAATCTTTTATTAGGACAAAGCCGCAGGTCCTAGTCCATTTCCGCCAAAGGACTCAAAGAAATTTCCTTTTTTATGAACGCAGACTCATAATGTGCTCCTTATTTCTGCCCAAGAATCAGGTCATGTTGGGGTTTATAAATAACAATAGTGCCCTTTCAATCACTGCATCGAGTCCCTGAGGACTTTTGACCTCTTTGATGCTCCTGCCACAACATAATTAGCTGCCTCTGCACCAAGTAAATATCTATGGTTGTCACTATTTGTCGAGAGTGAAATCGAACCAGTTACTTTTGACTTTCCTGCAATGCATGATACTCAAAGCTGAAAGGTCAAGCAATCAATCTATCAATCATCATGTCTTTGACACCAAAGTTATTTTAAAGACATTGAATTTGCAGGTCTGTTCTGTATAAGTAAATGTGCTATAGAAGCTTAAATAGTTTATTTAAACATTTATATAGTCCAAAATCTTTCAAGGCAGATAGTTGGCTAAAGCTTCAAATTTTGGGGTGGTGCTAGAGGTGGCCAATCAGATTAAAAGGGGGCACATGTCACCCCTTGCCACCTTTCTGGACATGCCCCTGTCACCTGTGTTTTTCTGTTTTCACAGTCTGTCGCCTATTGTATCTTTACCATAATGACACCGTTAAAGATAAAAACTGAACTCTTAACCTGCCCTGTTTACTTAACTAAAAATCCTACATGAGGCACAGGAACCAGGGATAACAAGTCATTAAATATATTAGCAAAAGTGTCAAACAAGTTGTGAGGACATAAAATTAAAGGCCTTTTATTTGAGACTAATACGTTTACTTCAAGTTTATTTCTGTGGACACTTACAAAAAGCGGTTACTTGCGTACTTTTTTGTTGATTTTCATGTCTTGTTGTCTCACCCTTTTTTAATTTGATGACTGTGAAGTACCTTGTGACAACTGTAGAAAGGTGCTATACAAATAAAGTCTATTATTATTATTATTATTGTTATTGTTATTGTTATTATTATTATTATCATTATTATTATTATCTCTTGATATTTTTGCACACATGAATATATTAAGTATTGTTGCCTTTATTGAATGATTTATACCCATCACTATGACAACAGATCTAAAATGAGGGTGTATTGATGCTCATTCTGGCGTTTTCTGTAAGGTGCAAGCTGTTGATTTTATGTCAAAGTAACCGGATCTTCCTGGCCATGTTTTGGTGAAGTTTGAAATGAAAATGTCCAACATGGAGTGATATATTGTAGGGAAATTGTGTCTCTAAACGAACTCCCAACTACTTTTTAGAAACGCCTACGTGAATAATAGATGCAGCAGTGACATCAGAGGGTTGTGTGTTGGGGTGGATTTCCCTTTTACTCAGTCGGGGACCACAGCAGCGACAGCAGCAGCATTAGCAGCAGTAGCAGCAGCAGTAGCGTCGTAGTAAAATGCGGTGCTGCTGAGGAAAGAGGAGGAGATATACGGATTCAAAGAGAGAGGAAGAAAGAGAGAGGAAGAAGGAGGGAGGAAAGAGACCACCCGGCTTGCAGGATATATCTTTGTGCAGAAAACAGAGGAGACCGGTTGTTCTCTTCTCTTCGGACATGTGGTGCACCCGGTAGAGGCAGTAGCAGCCCCGGCGGCGGCGGCGGAGGCTGTGGTGGTGGTGGTGCTGGTGGTGGTGGTGGTGGTGCGGTTACGGCGCAGCATAGCCCACTACGTCTTCTTCTTTTGTCTCTTATTTTTGTGATTTTTGTGTCCTTCGGTTATGAGCTTGCTGGGGGCATACAAGAAAAAGACCAGTTACGATGGCTATGAATCTTTGCAGTTGGTCGATAGCGGAGGAGATAGCTTCAGCATCGGCAGAGGGGGCAGCGGCAGCAGCAGCAGCAGCGGCGGCGGCGGCGGCACACTCGCAGGCTCCATAGCGGCCACCCTTGGACAGAAGGCAGGCCCGCTGCGAGAGGAGGACTGCAGCACCATGGACAGCTCAGGTAAGAGTCCCACCGCGTCCCTGTTCAGCCTGGTAGGATGTAAAGACTTCAATGTGGCCTGTAACACAACAGTGAAAGTCTTTGATGCTATATGCACATCATACAATCCCCTCCAGCGTTCACAATGGCTACTCGACTCCATTTAAGTGTTGTTATCAGGTTATTGTTTGCAGAACGGGTCAAGGCATGTCCCAGTCTGTTGAGTTAGTTTACAAGTGTCCCTCTATTTATTTACACACTTTTGCAACTTGATAAATAGACTCAGAGGGGTGAAAAGTATCAAAAAAGTCTTAAGGGCACTCATGCATTAGCACATGAAATACTCTCCACAGCTCACAATTTGCTGAAACAGTTACTAAAACATATATCCTGGTCAATTTTCAGTGGTCTTGATATAAATAATTGGTTATTGTACACAGGACAGTAAAAGGCTGCTCAGTGCTACTCAGTTCAGACTATATAGAGAGGTATTCAGTGTACTTTGTTATGAGTATTAGGATTTTCTGCATGAAAATATTAGAACAAAGTTCAGTTTTGGTGTCAAAAACAGAAGAAATATGTACATTTATTGTGGATTTATGATTGAACTATGTTTCAATCATTAACAATGAGTTCCCTTTTGTGGTCCTGCTCATTTTTTAGCTTTTAAACTACTTGTAATACAGTTTCAGTAATTTGATAATTGAGATAATGTACAAGCATGAGTATCTTATACAGTATAGTATCCTAAATATGTTGCACTGTGTATACAAACCCGTAATACAAACTAGAAACTATGATTTAAAGCTTTTACTTTTTCACGCTTTGACTTTAAATATAAAACAAAGTCATACTAACTGTGATCCTGCAGGTCAGTGAGAAGGAGGATAATCTCTTTTGGAGTTTTCGGCAGCAGAAGGGAGAAAGTTTGTCAACTGGCCATGAATGATGCATCATAAAATTAAGGAGAAAAAAAAACTGAAAACATGATCAATGATGTTGAAGCTGCATGCTATTATCCATCTGTTTGTCATCAATCTGATGGCAAACCCCTACATGCTCTGTTTAATTCTGTCATTTATTTGGCACCTCATTGGTATTATGAAATTCAATTCTGTCAACTGAGAGGAATAAAGTGTTACAACAGCAGCTAATGTTGGTCTGTGTTCCTGAGGGAACATTCACAAATTAATTATTCAACTAATATAGTGTCCATTTGTCATCCAGTATGGTATTACAGAGGCAAATGTGACAATATAATGATAACTTTCACACCATAGAAAACATACTTCTACAGAGTATGAAATGATAATGTTTTGGATGTTTTAGTCGAAAGTAAACTTGCTAAATTAAAGTTCATGTGGGGAGTTTTAACAGATAATTCAACAGACTGAGTTGATGTCTCTTTATAATAAAAAAAACCCCAAACAAACAAACAAAACCTCCAAGACCATAAAAAATAAAAAGGGCCTTTCCTCTACTGTTATTTTTAATGTCTGACACTTCTGGCAGGGGGAGGGAGGGGTAGGTGTCATACAGCCTCCAATTTCATGTTTAGTCGCAAAAGTTCTTAATAGATTTGACATTTGACTGTAAAAGAAAGCAGGGGAACATTTTTAATCTAGATCTACAGGACAAATTTGGCAGAGACCACTTTGTCCACAGGGGGCGCCAAATCAAACAAAAAAGTACAAATATGAACAGCTACCTTAAAGTGAAATGTGTTTACCATTCAGTCGTACGTTTGTGTATTTTTGACTGTTTATCTCATGGAAATGAGGCTCATATTCATCCTAGGAAAGGTGCAATACTCAACAAGTCTAGTAAAAAAATAAAACTACTCTTCCTAGCATGTAGTTTAAAGCTGATGACTGTCAATTTAAAGGCCTTAATGATACTTTCCCGATGAACTTAAACAAAGCAAAACAATAGCACAGTTTAAAAGTAAATTAAAGCAGAGTATGATTGATTTATGATATTGTATATGGGTATGGTACAAATGAGAGATTTGAAGTTTTCTAGATATATGTATGAAGTGCACATTTGTTTGTTTATACGTATATATAGGTATGGATTTATATATAAGGTCTTTGTTTCAGTATTAATGATTTGTTACATATTCATGTTAGACTTTGGAGCTTTTGTTTCCTTTTTGGCGACTTCAGAAATCCAAAAAATCTAGTGACATGTAAAAGGTCAATGAATAGGAAGGAATGAGGGTAGGTACAATTAAACTAAATAGCTTCTACCTACTCCTTTCCGATCTCCAAAAAATGGGGAATTTCTTGTCTCAAATTTAATGTATGTATATTTGATCAAATGAACAATCTCTCTCTCTCTATCTCTATACTTAAGTCTTAGAGGAGAAAAACGTCACTTAGATATAAATGCATGTACCATTTGTTCTGTTTCTATATAAATAGCTGAAATCCTCTCTGCTCCACTATTCTTAAACTAGTCAATGGGCAACATATTTTGTCAATACAAAACACTTGTTAAATAGTTTAAGTTAACAAAGTATTGTTTGTGGCATGTGTTGGATCAGGAAGAGGAATCTCATGAATTCTGTCTTAAAAAAAGGACCAAAATGTGATCATTCACAGGCCACATTGGGTCCACAGGCCACCTATTGAATACATCTGCGGTAGTGTGTGTGTCCTGCGTTCACCTCACTGCAGCGCTCTGTGGAGTCAGCCAGCCTCCTGGGATGAACACTCATGTGAAACAAAAGATGAGGAAGGTGGGAGGGCGGGTCAATGAGGGAAGGGGATTGGGGTTGTGGTGGGCTCCAGTGTCAGATGTCTGTCTTCTCCACCAGCCTTTTTTTTTTTTTTGGATGCTCTCTTTCATGTGTGTGCCCGTCCCTGCCCGTGTGTGTCCCATTCACTCAAAGCCTGATAGTGAGGGTGAAAGGTTGGCACTCCACAAGGAGGGAGACACTTTCAAACAAACCATTGATCTCTGTCTAAGAGCTCTCCTCTCTGTTGATGTCCCGCTCCATCTTTTAGCAAGCGGCTGGGCTTTGCTGCTGGATTACCTGCCTGTTTCTGAGCCTCCTCTGGTGTCTTTAATGGCAGCGTTTGTCACTGTAACTGGCTCTGCAGTCTGCTCACTCCCACATCCATCTGGCCTCAGAAAGAGAGGCACAGAGAGCAGAAACACAGCAGATTTAGACAGAGGAATAAAAACATCAGAACATAGATGGAGAAAAAGAGGAGACGCTCAAGAAAGGACACATCATAGCTACTAAACAGTCTTCTGATTCGGCAGATTGAATAAGTTATTAATCATACACCCCTTCTCTAATCAGCCGTACCGGGAAAAAAATGGACTACAGCGCAGCCATTCAGGTCCAGGACTAAACAAAACCTCTTACTGTGATGTGGCACTGAGATTGAGCGCAGTGTCATGTGTTTGCTTTTCAAGCTTTAGTCTTGTGTGTACGCGCCCATCTGTGTCATTCGCACAAGCCAGATATTGAGGGAGAAAGGTTTGCTATTGTACGAGGAGGGAGACACATTTCAGCGACAAATTGATCCCTGTAGACAAAACTCTCATTTCAGCTTCCTCTCAGTTGTGTTCCTGTCTTACCTTGTCTTCCTCTTTCTCCTCCATCACTGCGCTCGCCTCTTTTACCTGTGCAGCATGATTGGCAGATCCAGGTTGAGTTTATATAGCTCCTGATTTCAAGGCAGAGCAGCATCCAGGTTTTCCTAATACGTGCTGTCATGCTCACCGGCTGGGAAATTTGCATAGTAAGGAGGTTAAAAATAGACCAAACTAGGAGGTGAAACAGCACTTTGCATACCTCTGTAGAGTCATGCTGAGTATGACAACATGTTGAACAAATCGTTCAGTATTTTAGCAAGTGCATGTCTTTTTTTTTGTGCTTGGATTTGGGTTTTAATCATCGCTTAAGCTGAGCAGTGATTGGCAGCAGGGTGAAACAGCTAGCCAGACTCCTTCAAAAGTCTATCTTTTAACATAATGTCTTTATAGATCAAACAAAAAAAGATTGTTTTTGTTCATTCAAACTCTTTACAAGCACTGGAGAGTGGATGCTGTTGCTTGTGGGCAAAGCCAGGCTAGCTTAGTTAATGAACCATTAACTGCAGATACCAGAGTATGAGACAGATAAGAGCTGTTGCCATATACGCAGTACAAGAATTAAAAATAATTGCCTCTAAAACAAAAATAAAACATAACATTTAGTAATACCATGACTTCAAAGTAATGGTCCTTTATGCTGGTTGTTGTGAATCCAAAAACAATGACAGAGCGTCCTTTTAACTGTAAGTTTTGTCTACAAGAAGTGGTTAACTTCAAAATAAAAGCATGTTTTGACAATACAGCATATAAAACAACCTGCAAGTAAGACAGAAAAAATCAAAATAAAAGCATGATAAACAATTTTCTAATAAGACCATAGGGTTGATGATAAGTGGTAAAATTTAGTATAATCAGAAATGGATGATGACATGTAAGGTAACTGCATTTATTCATTAAGTTTGATTCACTAAGGTCAGGTGTAGCCTCTCCTTTAACACATTTGAATGCCAGCTGTTCTCTGAAGGCATGAATCTGAACTTTTACCATCACTGTCGTTCTTATAAATGACACTCCTCCTCTATATGCCAGCAAGCTAATCAGGAAGCTGCATGTCATCATTATGGTCTAAATGAGATAGAAAAATAATAATGAAATGAAATATGCGTGTTATGACTATTTATTAAAAAACATGTATTTGCAGATGCAGCTGCTCAGTAGTAGCACTTCACCCTAGATGCAGTGATGGTTATTTTTCCATATTTTATCTGCCTATTATTGTGACAAATATCTAATATGATAATTCTACATCATGCTCAGATCCTTTGATGGAGATACCTTTATCTGCAGCTGACTATTGTTTAGATTCAGCTGTATATACTGTGGTCAGAGTCAGTAGGCAGCAGTAGCAGTAGAGTTTCCTCCTGCAGTAATGGCTGTTATGAGAGATGGGACCACACACAAATTGCTTGCTGGATTTGTCTGTTCTCTGACAAAACAGGTGCTTTCACCTGGGAGCTATACTATCCTTCTTTTTTACTAAACCAAGTGTTGACACCCAGCCTTCCAAGTAAATAAAGGTGAAATGAAAAACTACTTTCACCTCAAAAAGGTGAGGGAGTCGCAGTTTTTTAGACAAGTAAGAAAAGAGAGTTCTAAAAGTCGCAGGGTTTGAAAACAAAAATCTGCTCAGCTTTGATTATTTTTGTCCATTAATGTTTTTTTTTCACTTTATTGGTAGAAACTGTAAATCTTCACTGTGACTATTGTTGTGATGTGATTTTTAAGACCTGAAAGCAGTGCGAGAGGGTTGTTGTTTAGCAAAGCACTTAAAAAAAAGGTCCCTGTTTGCACTATTTCTACGTAAAACATCCACAATAAATGAAGCATTTGACTGTCCAAAGTCGGAATGAGGAGATTTTTCTGTCAGAAGACAGCACTTAAACACTGAGAAATACACTTAAAGCTCCAGTGAGGAACTTTCAGTTTAGGTCAACTCTGGCGCCCCCTGTGGACAAAGCAGTCTAGCTTATTTTTCCATCTACATGTTTTCCTGACAGAATAGCTCATAAGGCTGTTTTCGGCATGATTTGAATTGTAGTCTATTTCAGTAATGTCAAAATACTTCTCACAGGAGCTTTCGGCATATTGCGGACACAAAGTTCCCCACTAGAGCTCCAAATATGATTAAATTAAAAACATTAAGTTTTGGGCATCTTCCTGCCTGTTAAAGAATGAAGAAATCTTTTTCAGCCCAAAGTTTTGCTCAGTTAATCATCAGTATCATCCCAAAGCATGGGAAACATTATTAGTTGTTTTGTGACAATAAAATAAATGCAACAAAAACAACTTTATCGAGCACTTTTCCAAATACATTTAACACAGTATTTCTGAGAGGCTTAAAAATAAAAAGAGGAGTACAGAATTTTCAAAAACAGCTTGAGTTCGAATGCTCTGTCCTTCGGTAAACTGGGAAAACCAAAATTCACCTGATCCAAGGATACAACAGCTATGGCACTTGAGAGCTAGATGTGTTTGAGGGGAAACCCATAAAGCCTGAGATTATTCAGTCGTACCTTCAAATCTTTTATAAAACACACACTAACCAGATAAACAGCCTTAAATGGGGGTTACAAGATCACAGGTCTGTGTTGTGGTTGAAGCCTGGATTTCTGTCTCTTCTGTCTTATTGCATTAAATTTTTTGATTTCTCTATTTTTACACCAACCATCAACTCCAGTGTTCATGCCTTTTGAGTTCAAACATTTTCTCTCTGTTCCCCTCTGTTTAATGTGATTTCATGCTTCGACTGTAGGGGATTTCTGTGTATTATATGCTGCTGGAGTTCAACAAGCATGTGCTTTATTTCCCAGAAAAAAAAAAAAGTCTTCATGGGGTCTGTGCAGTCAAATAGTCTAAATATAGAAAAGAGGGAATAATTGACTCAAATTTACACAAAAGACAGTATGTGATAGACATTTAGGAAAAGAAAGGGTTGGAGGACTGAAGAAAAGATATTTCTGACTTTGAATGTGGGAAGAGAAAATAGTGAAAGAGTTTATTATTAATCAGGGATCTTTTTCTCACCCTCCTGCTTCTCTCTAAATAGATTTCCTCTTACAGTGTTTGTAAAGTCTTTGTGAGTGTTTGCCAAAGTGTGAAAGTTAAGTGTGCTGTTAGAATAATCAACTGAACAACTCTGCGGTTATCCAAAAATATACAAAAACTGGCAACTTTGAATTTCTATTTCTCAAAGAAACAGAAAAAAAAATATTACATTTGTCTCAAAGTGCTGAAATAGATGTCCCTCAGGCTTTTAGAGGTAATAACTTTATCAACTTTGTCAGCTGATAATACTATCACATCATTATCAGCACAATATCATCTCAATTTTACCAACTATGAGCACTAGTCAAATGAAAAAAAGATTGCTCAGTCTTTCTCTAAGCAAATGTGAAGATAAGATTCTGCCTTCTTGTTGATTTTGAGAAGTTTACTTTCAGCTAAGTATTGCCTAAAACCCTCTTTTACTGACTGTCAGCTTAACTTATTTAGAGTTGAGTGTTTGGCAGGTTTACACCCACGACTCTTCTGGGGGGTACACCTCAAGGTTCTCTGCAGGTTATGTCTTTTTTTGTAGTATTGGTGTTAACACAAGGTACAGTCTGACATTGAACTAAAAATAAAAACTTAACCTGCTCTGTGGATCATCAATCTAGTTTTTGCTCATCATACTAAAGCAACACTCTGCCTCTCTTTACCTTTTCACAGTCTTCTTTATACTTCTACACGCACACACACAGACTGCAGACTTCTAAGTTAATTATATTTAGGGAAAAAACAAATCCCATCTGAGCACACAGCTGCTCAAGCCTGACCCCAAACTGTATATTTTTCTGGACTCACTCGGGTCAGTCAGTTCAGTATGACTCAAAGTTTCCACCGTATCAACCAGAAAGCCGGTTCACCCTTGTCATATAAGCTCTGTATGGCTTATGGCTCGAGCTCAGAGTGATTGAATGTTGCTTTGTCTGTGGGTGGCTTCCAGCAGACACGGCGGTGGAGGACATTTTTGATGAACCTGGGTGGTTAGAGGGTAGACTCCATCGCACTGAAAAATCCCTGTTGAGTGGGTTTTTCTCTCACCTGCGTTGTGCCAAAGGTGAGAGATTTCTCAGCATCGAAGCTGCATCTCTAGAGTCCCACTGAGTCCGCCATGTGTGGATATACAGAGAGGAGAGGGGGATAAAGTGAGAGGATAGGGAGAGAAAATCTCAGATCAGCAGAGGGTTGCTGACTAAGATATGATACTTGAATGCATCCCAACTTTTGCTTACTCTTTTTCAGCGTACTACACACACATTCACATAAGCACAGCTCTGGCTTGTGTGCGTCTTGTCTCTTGTGTCCTTTTCTGCCATGCCTTTACACCCACATCTGTTTATTTGGTATGTTGTGCAGTGACTCATATCTTCAACACTTCAGCCAAGTGAAACCCTCTGAGATACAGTCTCCAACTGAATGATTGTGTTTATTCAGCACAAACTAGAGACACAGTCAAGCACATCATCTGCATACAGCATGATAATTTTTGGAAAAACACAATATAAACACCATAAATCCTCAAATAGTAATAATAACTTTATTAGTAAAACTATAGTATAACTTTAAAGTCAGTAAGTAACTTGAAAACCTTATTAGATAATTAAAAACATGCTGTGCTTATGAACACTTAATAAATGTTAATTAGCATTTATAAAAGCATCATATTAATATTATTTACAATGCTCATAAGACACATTAAGGCTCTCGTTAGAAACTTTAAAAAAGTTTATATACCTGTCACAAACATCACTAGCATGTTTATAATCATAAATTAGTCCTTATTAGGGTAAAACAAACATTAGTCTGAACATCTAATATAAATAGTTAATTATTGATATTTTATTTAATCTGTAATTAACCCTTATAGAGTCTAAATGATGTTTATAAGCATCCTATTGATGTTAATGAAAGGCAAATAAACTTTAAGCAAGTTTTTAATGTGACTTTGATAGTGTGTTATATGCAGTAAGAAATGTGTTCTTACACTTTTAAAAACACTAAACACTGTTTATTAGCATCGTATAATTTCTTATTTAAGGCCTATTGACTTTTGATTAATGTTAATTACAAGAACCATAACATAAAGTGTTACCAAGCAAGGTTATATCCACAGGCTTGATGTACAGATATACTGTATTAAATGCTTTTTAATGCATAACGTCTCTTTTGAATGTATACATAGAAACAGCAGGGGTGTTCAGTGACGCCATGTGCTTGGCGGTGCTGTTTGTGGTGCATTTAACTCTTTGCGTGGGCTTTGTAAATTTGTCAGGTGAAAAGCAATGTCATGTTTTTATGATTCAGACCCTTTTTCTTTTTTTTTATTTACCAAAATATAAACATCCAAACTTCTCAGACAGAGACAGTTTGATTTATTGTCCTGTCTCTAATACAAGCCTGTTTCATATACAGGCCTGGTACCTTCAGCATTTAGGCTTTACAAGAGTTTTGAAAATGATGTTTAATGTGTGTAATCCAGTTTCGAACTGAAGAATCATATTTAATCAGAAAACACTGTTAAGTCAAACACATCACTCATCATCCTTGGTATGAACATGTGTGCTTTCTTCTGATTTGTCAAATCTCCTCTGTCTCCAGATATGGACGCCAACTATGGCGGAGGACTGTTGGATATGGTGAAGGGAGGAGCGGGGAAGTTCTTCAGCAACTTTAAGGACAACTTGAAAGACACGCTGAAAGACACTTCCACGAAGGTCATGTCTCAGGTTTCCACGTGAGTTGAAATCTTCATTTATAGTTACTGAAAAATCCTGCAATATAACCAACCACAAAACTGGTTGCTATTACTCAGATTTTGTTTTTGAGCATTACTTGGGCTGTATGAGCAACTCACAGCATTCTTAACATCACTAAATCAAAGAGGTTGGATCATTAAGACTCAACATTTTGAACAAACTGTTCCTGGTAGTTTTTCAATCTTATCAGCATGACTCCAAGAAGGTCTTATCTCTTCTCTCCTTTGCTGTGAAAGCAGCACTTGACTGTGGGTTGACTGGGGGAGTGGACTTTTTTATGTTTACCAAAAAATACAGCTATGGGGCCTTGTGTGTTTATGATACGAGTATAATAAGAAGAGTACATGACAATATCTTGTTGTGACCTACTTTTTTAGAATTTTGGTGAATATCTTACGCTGCAGGCTAACAAAAATACCTCTGTGGATGCAAACTGCTTCAGGGTAACTGGGAGAGATCTACTTTAGGGATAAGTAGAAGTTGAAGGAGCAAACTCAGGGATCAGAAACCACTCGGGAAATTACCTTGAATGAACTTGCATCGCTGGTCTTCAGTTTTTCTTCTCCTTTGGCTCCTGCGTCGATCAATCAATATGAAACCACAAAACTGTAGTTATTCTGCTCTCTGTCCTTGTTGAATCATATGTGCTATTTAACAAGGAAGTCTTTTTTTCTATTAAATCCTCTTTTACAAGTCTGGACATGGTACAACTCTAATATCCAACAAGACAAGATTATAACTCACAAACAAAAGTCTGTCTTTGCCGTCATATGAATGAGTTTTATGGCACAATGCCCAGACTTAGTCACTCCTTGCCATGGATATTTCGACACCTGCGACTTTTATTTTGAAGTTCCTTTACAATAGATTACTTTTAAGAAAATAAAGAACTATATTTTTTTTGTTTAGAATCTTATCCAGAGCACTGAAATCAGGCAAATGTGTATCTAATCAATATGAGCTGTGGTAATTACTTTGATTGACTGAGTGTTGTTTCAGCTGCTGATTGCAGTGTAAACTGAGTCCACATCAGCTTTAGAAGTGAAACAGAGCAGTAAAGATGGAAGGAGGAGAGAGGGAGGGTAGCAGAGTCTGGCACGGCTCGCTCGTCCCAGTGTGTTTGTGCACAGGCATCTGCACAGGGGCAGAACAAAGGGGCCTCTGTATTGTCACACACATACTCTCTCAGTATTGACTCAGCAAGTTCGATCGTGACCATTCCTCTCCTGTGTCTCCCCTCCTCTGCCGCTCGCATCCTCGCAGACTTACACCCCTGTCCTGTCGTACCCCTGTGTTTTCCAGCCTCTCATCTCTGCTCCACCTCCTCTCCTCTCTTCCCCTCTCATTGCCGTCTATCGCTCCTCTCTTGTCTGAATTATTCATGGTGGTTCATTGTGCCAAATGGCCAGTGCACTGCTGATACAGAAGGATTCATTTCATTAGGGCCCTGCTGTGTGTCGGTCGGTGTGTGTTTGTGTGGAGTGTAGATGTATATGTGAGTGGGTGGTTGGGATAATGGGGCGAGGGAAGCAGACTGCACTGGTTACCAGCTTGAAAGCCTTTAGAAAGGGAAGGTGCATGTGCAGAGGTAAAACAGCATGCCACAGTTTAGTGCAGCATACTTAAAAACAGATTTCCTTTGATGAGTGTCAACCCTGATGATCCTGCTGGGATGTGAAACACTGCAGAGTTAACTATGCAAATGTGATTACCATTAAATAGATTTTCTATCTGAGGAGTAGGAATGTGACAACACTAGTCGTTTCCCAAGGTTAAGGGTGTACCCTGCAGTTTATTGTCCTTATAAATAAGTAAACACCAAGCAAACTTAGGAGTAAACATTTGCTTTGTTGTGGATTCGATCCACTGTATAGTTAAAAGTACAATAGTGGGATTGTGTCGACATTTAGTTTGTTTTTCTTCTTCTTTTGTAACTTTTGACTTAGCTGAGTGAACTTTGTCAAGGTTAAACTTTGAAATTATGCAGTTAGTTACAGATATGAAAGTGTAAAAAGGCTGCAGAATTTAAAGGCACAGTAAGGAGTTTTTTGACTGGATATAAAACAGACTGAAATGAGCAGTGATGACTCTTCATGACCTGCAGAAGCAATGACAGGACTGACAATTGTTACGAATTAAATTTTAATGCCTGTAACTCCTGCGAGGGGGAGGTAATGGAAAAACAGCCGAATTTTACCTTCTCCAAAGGAAATATCCACAGAAAATCACATATTTCACAGTTTAAAGGTCCTTTTTTTATCAGAAAACATGGCTTCAGCATGTGCAGGACAAAACTAGTTAAGAAGTATGTAGTACTAGTATGTAAGTACAGTCAGGTACTCCTGACTGTCTCCACACATCAAGCAAAGACATGATTAGACGCTCCTACTACTCTGGCGGTGCAAATGACGCGAATTGGGCGTGAGCTGAAAATGTCTCAACTTGAGCGCATATTCACGTCGCGATAACTAATCAGCACAAAGGTTGCCGGGTGATGTATGAAAATGGATGGTTGTTCACTGGTATCTAAAATGGAGGACAAACTGATCGTGTCAGTGTGTGTGTGCCCTGAATTGTGTGATACCTTCTCTTTCAATTACCAAAACCAGAATAAAAAGGAGCTCGCCTGGAGGCAAGTGAGTGAGGAGGTGGGATTACCTGGTAAATTGTAAAAGATTCTTGTCTATCACTTGATCCCGCCGGTTTAACTGACAGGGATTACTGTTGAAAATACAGTTGACGCGCAAATGAAGCGAGCAAATACTATTCATTCACGCGTCTAGATTCGCGTGCATTAAGCGAGTAGATGATTTTACTCTCGCTTGGTGTGAGTCCACAGTTAGCACTGTCAAATCCATCATTATTGGAAACCATCACAACCTGTGAGAGGAAATGATCCTTTTTAGAGAAAAGCTGCTACACTTCTGCAAAATTAGGTAATTCAAGGGTGGCGCTACATCTTTTTAGAGGACAATGAATCATTTTTTCATATCCAAGACAATAAATTTTCTCAAGCACCATTTACTCCAGATAATTAAACCTGTTTCAAGGTAACTGCTCACAAGTTTTCTCAATAAGATGTCTAATTATCTTCTTTCTTTTGCTGGAACTATCGAGGAATAATTATGAAGCACGGGTTGCATCACTTATATTATGAAATGTAATGGAAAAAATGGTTTTCTGGGTTATCTCAAGACACAGACCAGAGTCAAAACTCAAGACAAGACCGGGACGCCTGACTCAGTTTCTGTCATTTTTCAATCAGAGGGTTGACTGTTTGATCGCAGCTCCTGCAGTCAAAGTGTCCCAGTGACACAGTCAGCAGAGTGTAAATGTGTATGAATGGAGATTAACTAATACTGGTGTTTTGCTACTCTTCTGTTATCAGTGTAGAGGTGAGGGGTGGTGATAAAAAGAGCAGTGAGAGCTCCAATAGACAAGAAGAGCACTGTACATAAGTGTCTTTACCGTTTACTAAAAGAAAATTGCAGCTTTTTTCAGTGTCAGAGGTCTTTTGCCGTTTTTGTGAATCCCCTCAGCAGAATCGTCTCTGCCTCTATACAGAGGGAGTTTTGGTGCCCTTCAGAAGCACCGTCTCTGTTGGTCTTTGAGTGGTCTCTCTCTGACTTCTTTAGAGGACTGTCTCATCCCAGTTTATCGACTTTTGTAACACTTAAGTGGAAATTCCCCCGAGCACGCTTGATGGGAGGGACACCCCTGCAAGCACAGTTATTGACTGGGCCCCTTATACCACTAGAAGTCCATGTTGGGTCCTTTCTGCCCCTGTGTAATACATATCCATGGCGAAAAGCTGTTAGTGAATTATTTAAAGCAGCCTGCTTGTTTGTTTACCTGGCTGAAGGGAATTTCTGCAGAGGAAACAAATCTGGCAACAACGCTCAACTGTGTCTGTGAGGACCGGCACGGCTGTGGAGTCTGGAAGGCTGAACAGGGTTTGTGAAAGGCACAGTGTCCTTGCAGGCAGACTGCACCCCCCCTCCAACCCCCACCACACCCACCAGCCTCCCTCACCAAACACACATTCATCTCTTCTTTCTGCTTTCTATTCAGCCTCTTTCTCATTCTCATATTTATACCCACCCTCACTTTTCTTCTTACTTGGAGAACATCTCTCTCTCTCTGTGTTTCCTCTTCTGCCGCTGAATTGGGACCCTTAAAGGATCCACATCCCTCTAGATTCACCACAGTGTGTTTTTAATCATGCATTAATTGTGTAACATTTGATATATCTAAACTGTGTATCACCTTGAGAACAGAATAACTGATGATAACGGCATTTCTCTCCTGGGTGGTCCCCGTGTGAATATGGTGAAATAGGACTAATGGAATCAAAATCAACAAAGGGGAGAGTTTTTAGCAGCATGTGGATTTCTGTTCAAACACTAAAAAATGGAGGATTGAGAAGGGAGGCATACATGGAGCGGATGTGGAAAGCCAAATCTTCTTTCTATTGGGGATCAAATCCACTTTTACTGTGTTTGTGTGAGTTTTTGTGTGACTGGGCTGATAGAGGAGCACTTCTCTACTAATGCAGTCTGTCCTAAAACACAACAAACAGGCACTGTGGGGCAGGTGCTTTTGGGTGTGTTTGTAGTTCCTCTTTGCCCTCAGTGTGTGTTCACAGACTGAACTGGAATAACGTCCATCCAGCCTCTTTAACCATTTTTACACTGCATGTAAAAAAGACTAATTTCTTCATTGGTTGAAACTGCTAGTGCATAACTTTGCATTATTGGACACGTGGCTGATTGACTGACTGTTGTAGGGCTGGGACGATATGCTTTCCTCCCGATTCGATTCTTCTAATATTTTTTTGATGCCAATTCGATTTAAATTGTGATTCTAGGATATTGTCGATTTTCCTGTTTTTTTTAGTCTGTATTTTTAACACCAGTGAAACAGTTAAATGATTATGATTGTCTACTAACTATTCCAGGAAACATATTTCCCCCAAAAATACACATCACATGTAAAAGAGTTTTTAAGATTTATTTTTAAGTTTGAAAAAAAAAAAGATTTTTATCAAAAAAACTGATTTAAAAATTGCAAAAAAAAAAAAAATCGTGATACTTTTGTGAATTAATTTTTTCTCCCACCCCTAGACAGGCAGGTGTGCTTTTTTCTAGGAGGCTTCAGACTTTTCAAAAGTTTAGCTGAGTCAGCATTTTCAATGTGATAACTGCTATTGTTGAGTTTCATAAATTCTCTTTAAAAACCAATGAGTAACCTCACTTAGATTAGGTTTACGCTGTCTTTTGGTCCCATATCTAAGTTTCAGTCAGGCCCAACCCTGTTAAGTTTCTGAGATCAGACCAAATCCAGTTTGTTTGAGGTGGTTTTGCAGGAAGCAAGTGCACAGCAATGCAGCAGGACACAAAGACTGAATGTAGCAGACAGACTTTGAACTTTTACTGAAGGTTATTGTACTAACATTGCATTATAATGCAAAATGAATACATTTTTATTAATTTTTATTCCACATAACCACACTCTTCAGAGTTATCTCATTGATATACAGCTTAGTCCAGACCTTTTTCATCAAGGAGGGTTATTACTTGAAATAAGTCAAGTCATATTTGGCAGGATGACTTAGTTCTGAGAGCTCCCTGTCCTTCCATGTACGTAAGTGCAAATAAGTGCAGCTCCTTCCCTTTTCATGTGCATGTATCAAAAGCCAAAGTAGGGAGAGCATCAGCAAAGGGAACACAGCAGAGCAGGCATTGGTTACTACGAGCGTTATGTTAATTTAATTGGACACAGCATAAAATGGAAGAGCACTGTGGGTGCAGCAAGAGTTGGCAAGATCAAGAAGTTAAGATCAGCAAATGTACTTCTGGCTGAGCTGGACTTTGTGGCCTGCCTTGAACTAACACTTCACTCAATATATGTCTAAAAAACAAAGAACACCAGTGTAGTATTTAATTTGGTAGTTAATGAGTAATTAAATAAACTTTTTAAGACGATATCAATTACTGAAATCCCCACTGACAAAAATGGAGGATTTCAGTCCTCCAAACACGTCCTCCCTCCCCTCATTTCGCTCTCTGTACCACACTTGTGCTTCACTTTAATTGGCTGCATCTTTAAAGCAAAGCAGGTCAGGGAGACTGCTCATTTGCAAACTCAACGGCTGTTGGCCCTGACTGTTAAAACCTGACACCTGACCTGCTTCTCTACTTTAATAGCCAGGAAGTTATTTCAGGAGAGGAGGACCACAGGTTTGCACAACACGTCACAATGACTCTCCACATTTGAAGGTTTGTGCAGGCTTTAGTTAAATGAACATTTCGAGTTTAAAAAAAAAAAGATTAACAGTACAAACTCTTGGAAACTATGGCTCTACACTCCGGCTTTGATATTATCCTTAAACATCCTTTAATGTCATTTTCCCACTTTTTTATTAGTGATTGAGCTCAGAGTATTTGTGCTTTATTGGCAGCTTAATTTTACACAACAAGCTACTATATCAACATCCTGTTACACTTTAGTTACTCCTGTGTAACACTAAAATCCCAAGACACATTTTTAGTGTTCACTCTTTCCAAAGAGGTCAAGCTTAGAGTCACTGCGTTACATAACCAGGTCCAGGATTGCATCAGGGCCATATGGCAGTCCTCCACGGCCACACGGAGATGACTGCTGCCCCAGATCAGCCCTGCTTGAGGGATTTTCACAGTAGGCAACAACATAACTCAATCTGAAACACATTAGCTCACTAATGTGTTTTGTTTGATAATCTCTGGACAGTGGGAAGCCAAGTGGCTGCTGAGTTAGATGTCATGTTGGGAAAACTCCTCAGATATGACCTTTTTTTTTTTTGAGATGATAAAAGAAAAGTGTTCAATGATCATCCTGTTTGACTTTCACTACCTGTTTTTTCTCACTAGATATAAAAATAATAGTTTTTTAAGTAAAAACTCTAAATCTTTGCTTGTAGAAATTGATTTTTTAAGTTTTCGTTGAATGAGCATGTTTTCTTTCGCCTCTATCATGCCGCAGCGGTGGAGCACTTACACGAGTCTGCGCTCCAGCTGCTTTCAGAGTTTAAAACGAAACTCCGTATGGACCCGCTAAATTTGGCAATGAAAGGCAATGAAGCTCAATTGGAAAAAAAAAATCGCATATGGTGCTGCTTTGATCTCGAGCGGTTCAGCCTAGTGTGGTAAGCCTGAGAAAGACAACCTCTCCACAGCCTGACACATGGAAGCTTCTGCTCTGAGGCCTGTTGAGCCTAATTACTTGGATATGCATGAGATGCAGCCTGATGCACCGAGCACCAGAGGGAGAGAGCAGGATGAAGCTTTTGGGTGCGTGAATGCAGCGTTTTCGTCTTCTCGATGATATTTTCAAGAACTCCTCATCCAAATCAGCAGCTGTAACATAATATATCTGATCTAATAGCAAACTAAAGATGTAAGTTAAGTCTGTTTCTGCAGCCATCACACCTCAGTCACTTGGATCTAGTATCTTTTAAAGATTATCGTAATATGTCAGAATAATGCTTTTTAAAATACCTGATATTTTTTCTTTCTCACTGCAGTGAAAACCATCTGACCTCGTCTTCATTGGTTGTTTGTTTTTTTCACAGGTACTCCAAAGGGGAGCTGGACATTTCCTACATCACATCACGGATCATAGGTAAACATATCTGGCTGTGTGCAGCTGACTGCAGTTACAAATGTGCAAAAGACATGTTTGAAAAGTCACATTTAAAGCCCCGGAAAACTTGTTTTTTTGATTTCGATTGATCTGTAATGAATTACACGACTGAATAAGCAGCAGTCAAAGTATAAGACTCTAACAAAAGTGTTTAAGAGCACTTTTATACCAGGACTGTTTGGTTCATTCTAAAAGGACCATGGTCCCCTTACTCCTTAATTCCGGGCGGTATGAACACGCATGCGAGCCGTGGGCCAGATCAGACAAAAGGACCATGGTCCTCTTGAAAATGCCGGACTCGGTCCCCTTCCAAACGAACGATGGTGGGTGTGAACACAGCGCTGATGCAGCCAAACTTTTTATATGTCAATATAAACCAAAAAGACATTTACTCTGTAATAAAGCCGGGAAATTCTGCCCAGCTGGAGGTTGCGGCAGACGAATAACAGCCGGTTAAAACACCGGACTGTCCGTAAAAAACTGGACAAATCGCAGAGGGTTTGTGTTCTAATACAATAGTCGGGTGGTAAGTATTAAATACCTTTCTGTTCTTCTGTTCAACAAACACGCATTAATGCCCAGCGTCTCCTCGCACAACGTCTCCGCCACCTTTGGTAAATTGCGTGAAGCAAGACACCTATTGTTCTCTCTGGTTGGCTATTCTGTGTGCGTTGTAGGACAGTGAAGATTGTGCCCCAGATGAGCAGGTGACAGACAGATTTTCCCTCTTTTTTTTAACCATTCGGTTCACTTAGCAAAAGTCCCATGTGAACGCTACCGGACCAAATGCAAAATGCAAAAATGCAAACATTTGGTCCCTGATCCGGAATAAAGGTCCTTAAAACTCTATAGTGCAGATCAGGAAGCTGCATTTTGATGTATCTGCACTGTGGATGATACTGTGAGTATATCTATGTTCAAGGTTTGTACAAGCTCATGCAGTTAAGTGGACACCAGCACTCGAGTCTTTCTTTGTTTCTGACTGCTTCACATGTTCATCTGTGTGGAGCAGCAGTTTGACCTTTAGAGAACAGAGTCAGCTAGACATCTGTCTCCTCAGGGCTTCTTCTATCCCATAATGCTTTGTGTGCAACCGCAGTTACCTACCGTCTGTTATCCAAGTTTAAATTCACAGGAAGATTCAAAGTGATGTAAACATCCGTACCAATCAGTGTGTGACTTCCTTTCACAGTGATGACTTATCCAGCAGAGTCTGTTCAGATTGGGTACCAGAACCACGTGGAAGACATCCGCTCCTTCCTCGACAGTCGCCATGCCGACCACTACACTGTCTTCAACTTATCACAGCGGAACTACCGTGGCGCCAAATTTTCCAACAGGGTGAGTGTGATGGTTTGTACAAAGTTGAATGTGGTGCTGAAATCACACAGCACCTCCGTCTTCCCTCATTACGCCTCAGAGGAAGGAGTTTACCTCAGCATTACCTCCGTGCTTCACAAACTGCAGATGAGACGTAACAGGGGCGGAAATATCCTACCTTAAAATGGCAGCATGTAAGAGCCTACTGATATGAGGCTATTTCTGGGGGTATTCATGTTGCATTCTGGGAGTTTTGGAGCCCGTCAGAGTGACAAAATCACAAAGAAAACTGTTTTGTGCATTAAAGTTAAAATGATACGACTTCTTTTGTATCCTAAATTCATCTTGTCATTAAAGATGTCGTAAAAATATATCTGATGTGTCGTTATTCATCTTCTCAAGTTAAGAAAACATTCAAGCTCGTATTGGTTCAGATTTTTAGGAAGGCACAAGTGGGGTCTGTGTTGAAAAAAGTCTGCCACCCTCCGGCAGAAACAGCCGTGAAATCTGAGGAGTTCCGCTGAAGAGTTAACACGGCCAAGATGGCCCCCTGTCTGCTTGGGGAAGTTGCTGTATCTCTAGCAGATGACTCATCATGACAACGGATGTGTTTTGTTGCTCTGCTGCTGCAGCACTGCTGTTTCTAACCTCAACCTCCCCTCTCCTTTCCCCTCCTGATTTATTTCCGTTTTTGATTCCACTTTTTCTTCACCTTTCTTCTCCTCTCCTCTCCTGTGTCTCTCCGCTCTCTCCTTCCTTTGCCCTCTGCCTTCTCCCTTCTGTTTTCCCCCTCTGTCTCTGCCTTTTTCTTCACCCCCGTCCTTTTCTTATTTCATCTGCCAACTCTGTTCTAGGTGTCAGAGTGTAATTGGCCCTCTCGCCAGGCTCCCAGCCTCCACAACTTGTTTGCTGTATGTAAGAACATGCACAACTGGCTCAAACAAAACCCAAAGAACGTGTGTGTCATCACCTGTTCGGTAAGAACACACCCACATAAAACACCTGCACCAAATCCATCACTATCATACCTTAACTTTGTCCAGATAATCCAGGTTTTGTGGATTAATGTACCACAAAAAGAAAACTTAGTTAGGCTGTTGTTTTTGTCCTGTAACCCACTTTCAACTTGATGCTCTAAATATGCTGCCAGAGAGAAAACTGAAGCAGTCGGTCTCCTTGTGTTCTCCATGCACTCGCAGTGATTTGCAGGCTGCACAGTTTCTTGCCAACATGTGTGATGAAGCTTGGCTGTTGCACTTGAAAGTGCACGCACAGTTTGAAGAGTGAAATCCTCAGATTTGGTCTTTTTACACCAAAACTCATGAGGGATCGCAGCCTTAACGGTGAACTCTTTCCCCCTGTTTTCACGGTTGCCTATGAAGCTGTGTTTGCTTTTAGAAGAATAAAAACATACCAGGTTTTTGACGAAGAAAACGGAAGAGACATTTAGAAAATTCTGTTCTTTTTTGTTGGTTTTAAAGCGTCAAATTCAGTTAAAATGTGGATGTGAGTTCTGTTTTGGTCGGTTACTCATGAAATTTAAAACATCTGTGTTTGCTTAAAGAAATAACAAAGTGTAAGACGAGGATGAAGAAGTCGTCCGATTTTAAAGCGTGCATTTAATGCTTCCCGACAGATATAAGCTTGGAAACATCAACAAAGTCTTCTCAGCAACCAGTCTCACTTTTAGAACAGATCACTCACTATGTTTTGCAATACAACCACTACTTAAGTATTGAGTGAAACCGGCCTTTCTGTCTGCTCTAATTCAGCGACAGACTTACTGTACACGGGTATGTAAGGGAGCATGTTATTGCCAAGTCTCAGTGGTTTGCCTGTGGTTTGGCAGATTTCTGCGTCTTGTATAACTTCCACCAAAAGACTCCTTTCTAAACACTGTTTTTTTTTTTCATCTCCCTGAAACCTGAAATGAACTCCGAGTCAAATAAGTACCTGACTCCATAAAAGTGTCACCATATTTAGGATTGACCTATTTAAATTAGACATCCTTCTGCTTTTTTGGTGCAGCTACAGAGCAGATCTACATAAAACAAAGTGGATTTAAAATGATGGCAGCGATGTTATCGAGATGTAGATCGAAGCAGTTTATCTGCGACCAAAAAGCCTAAAAGTGAAGTTTTGAAATATGAGATTTGAAGGACTCTAAATGGGTCGTGTTTTGGTGTTTCAGGATGGCCGTGCTCCCTCGGGCGTGTTGGTTTGTGCCATGTTCTGCTTCTGCCACCTCTTCAACAACCCGGTTCCTGCCATGCAGCTGCTCAGCGCCAAGAGACCAGGGTCCGGACTCTGGCCGTCACACCGCAGGTTAGCATCCCTGAACGTCTGTAGATATGCTTACCTGCTAAAACAAAGCTGAATTTAATCATGAGCTAGATGTTGAGAGGATTTTTTGTGGTTTAGACCTTCAGAAACCTTGATTTATGAAGATGTAATGTTTCGAAGCTGATGAAATAAAAATGTGTACAAGATAACTTAAGCTCTGAAAAAAGTTAGAGCTCCTCCAAAGCTCCTCTGCAAGTCCTGTCAGATCTTTCACTCACCCATTCAGAAGGCTGAGCTGCTGGTAGATTCTGTGATGCAGTGTTATAGCTGAAGTTTGGACTATAGGTTGAAGTTACGTCAGAGCCGGATGTTGCAGTCAACAGTCCTGTGTTTCCTCAGCTGTAGCGTTCATTTAAGGCTGCAGAGCTGGCAGACGCTCAAAGATGGACTTGTTTTTTATTGCCCCGCCAACCAGCAGCTGAAGTACTTATCAGTTCATGCTTGAGAAAGATCTCCCTCATGAGTCAGAGTTTTAGTGCACGCTGAAAGAGAGTTTTATGGGAATGGCAGTGTAACATCATTCTGTTGAAAGCCATTAAATAAATTTGCTTGCACTTACCTCAGTGTTTCACCTTCCAGTAACTTTTCTGAGCTTCTGTTTGTCGGCTCGGTGCCACAACGTTTGAATGATGATTAATACAAGCTGGGGGCTGCACAAGGGGGCTGTGTTCAGGGTGCCTTGAGGGGAAGGGGGATGTATTGTTTGCAGCAGGAGTTAATAACTGTGACAGAACAAATCATGTAAAATGAAATGGCCGATGACTACTGACTAAAAGTGCATGTTATTAAACAAACAATGCCGGCTCATTGAACTGCACCTTTTACGACAGACCACATCACCTCCAGAAGATGCAGATTACTTAGAGCCAGCCCAAGGCATGAGCGAACTAAGTCTCTGCTTAGGGCCCCGCGGCCTGTAGGGGGCCCCCAAGAGCAATCCGAAAAAAAAAAAAATCATACTTTTCATTTTTTGCAAGTATGAGTGATGCTTTCTGTATAATCAAACGGCCTATGATTCTTACTGCCGTCATGTCAAAGCTCTGCTATCGTTATGTGCATTACATTTTGAGATTAAAATCCATATGTGGCACCCTGAACATCATTCATCAGTCATTCATTGGTATTGTTTGTATGGTTGTATTGGTATTATTTATGTTATTACCTAGGCCACCCCCTTAAATGGATAAAGACATGTCAGATGCATTAAATTTATACTGTAGTAGGTGTGTGAAGGATCAACAATCAATATTATTGGCGGAAATAGAGGGCCCCATAATCTAATTTTGTTTAGGGCCCCATTGAGGCTTGGGCTGCCTCTGAGTTTACTGTGCTACCTATGGTAAAGCAGATGCAACTGACATATTAGCTGCGTTTACATGGCCTCAAATAATCAGAAAAAATGCCCAATCGGAATAAAAGTGCATCATGTAAACGTGTTGATCAGAAGATTCTGATCCAATTCAGCTCAGTCGGAAAGAAATTGTATTCCGATCAAGAGGGGTTGTTTAGCCAGATTGTTATTCCAAAATGCGTCCATGTAAACACTTATTCCGATCGGGACTCTCTAACCTGACTCGATCTTCACTCTTTAGCCTTTGGCTTATTTATTGAGGTCAGTACAGCAGGTTTCATGAATAACACTCTGGCATAAAAACACAACCGCAGGTGCCCTAGCCTGCTCCTCCGGTAACCTAACAAGGCGTACATACAGCGTAATGATGTCACATCTGCACTCATAAAGCAACCTTTGACAGAACAGTAAAATAAGTGAGCAAGGGCGCCATCTACTGACAACATTTGTTGGTTTGTTGACAGCACAGTAAATACAAAATCCGACAACTCTGAGCATGTCCAGATGCTTCTAATCTGAATAAAACTTGGTGCATGTATACGCATGTCATGATCGGATTATTTGATTTTGCGCCCATATAAACAGATTATCCGATCCCTCAAATTTTTAATCAGATCAAGAAATTTTGCACATGTAAACGTGGCTAAGTATAAGAACAATGATGCACAACTTCTGCTATCTTACAGCTCCTTGCAGAAAATAATGAGTCCAAGGCATCCTGCACATCACAGAAACAAGCTCCTTTTAGCTCAAAATGTTTACTTACTTAATTAAAGTTTAATGTAGCTTAGACTCATGGCCCCCTCTGTCAATTCAATTTCAATTCACAAAGCAAGTGAACAAAACAAATACAAACAACAACATTACAGAATAAACACAAAAATTAAGACATTTGCTGTGCAGGATATCAGCATTGTTCCTCATACTGTGACATGATATAACAGGTAACTTTAGGTAAAATGACAGTGATTAACGCTCTGGCTGTTTATCACTGTCCTGTTTATCCTCCCACGTTTTCATCCTAATTATAGATGATCATGAAATGTACACCACTGACTTTACTTCACGTTGAAATGAAAGCAGAAATGGTCCTGATATCAGCGGTTAGCATAAAGTAAATGATCATAGTCACTCCTCGACTACAAACTGTTCAGGGCTTAAAGGTCAAGTGTCATCACCGCTCGCATCGCAGTGACTTCATGATGTAAATTCAAATGTCATGTTTGTTCTAATTGCAGTTTTTATTCCTTAAATATTACAGACACAAAATAACTGAGAAGAAAGGAGAGCTCAGACTTTCTTTTTCATGTTCTGCTGCTGCTAACAATGACTAAACAACATCTTCCATTTGGCTGGAACACAAAAAGATTTCTGGGACATCAAAAAAGGATCAAGCTAATTTGATTGTCTTGTCTTCACGCAGGTACATCGGCTATGTATGTAGCATGGTATCAGAGAAGCCCAGTCTACCCCACTCCAAGCCCCTGGTTATCAAAGGCCTCACCATAAGTCCGGTCCCATGCTTCAACAAGCAGCGCAGCGGCTGTCGACCCTTCTGCGACGTCCTCATCGGGGAGACAAAGATCTTCACCACAGCACAGGAGTATGAGAGGATGAGGTAAGAGCTGCAGACTGACACACGTGGCAGCAGACTGGACATGTGAGGTTATACACGAGCATATTTAAGTGATGAAGCTTTGAAGACAAAAATAAGAGAATATTTTGTCTTCTTTCTGTTCTTTTCACTTTTGATTTCTTCATTTATTCTGTCTTCCATCATTTTTTTGGACAGGGAGCACAGAGTCCAAGAGGGTAAGGTAGTTTTCCATCTGGGCGTGAGTGTTCAAGGAGATGTCGTTGTTTCAGTCTACCACATGAGGTCGACCATTGGGGGACGTCTGCAGGCCAAGGTAAAAAAACATTCGCAGTAGCTTACAAAGTCTGAGAAAATACTGGCTTAGCTTTAATATCTATACTTTCTAGGGATGTCCCAATACAATTTTTTTTTTACCTCCAATACGATACCGATATTGTATCCTTCAATATCGGCCGACACCGATATTGTTCCAATACTAGCACAAACTTGTGCATGACAAGTTTTCGCTCAGCTGCAACGTCTTTTTCAGACTTATATGTAAAATACTGTCACAGGGCCGACATCACTCCTACTCCTTGGTACTTTGTTAGTACTTCAGTACACACTGTTGTTGTGATCACATGGGCTCTGCATGCTGGATCCAGGCGCTGCTATATATAGAGGTGCCAGAGTGGAGTCTGGAATGGACTGCCTGTATCATGGTGCTGATATCGGAGATTTTAGATACAGGCCGATATAATCCGATATTCTATTTTTTGCTGATATCGGACCAATATCCACTATCAGTATTGTATCGGGACACTTCTAATATTTCCATGCTATTTAACAGTTAATACTATTGTTAATACTACTCTGTCTTTTCATACAATTTTTGTCCTGTAAGCAGGAGGGTCAAAGATCTAGTTTCACTGTCAGAGAGAAATAGTGCTTTAGTGCTACTCATCCTTTTCCAATGTTTGAACACTTGTTGATGAAAATTTGGACTTGCGCTACTTCATTGCATTCTGATGTTCTTCTGTTATCAGGTGTCCAACACCCAGATCTTCCAGATCCAGTTCCACACTGGCTTCATTGCTCCTGGTACCACCATGCTCAAGTTTAACAAGTAAGCACATTTATTCATTTTAACTGTTTGCAGAATTCAAACCCAGCTAAATCCAGCATTTTATGTAGTAACTGGTCTCTCCTGCCTTTCTCCCTCCAGACCAGAACTTGATGCGTGTGACTCTCCAGAGAAGTATCCCCAGCTTTTCCATGTGATATTTGACATTGAGGTGGAGGGGACAGACAAACAGAAAGACCTGACCCCGCCGTGGGAGCAGTTCCCCTGTAAAGACCTCAGCCCTAATGTGCTCTTCTCCTGCCACCAGGAGCATCAGGACGCTCTGGCTATTGCTGGTACACACTGGGGATAAATACACACCCCCTCTGTCATATAGACTGTGAATATTGTGTGTCACACTTGAGAGGGGAAGCTCTGTGTTTTAGCGTCTGTTTTCAGTGGCGCTTTTCTACCGGTGTGTTCTCTCCATGGCTTTGAAAACTGGTTTTCTAAAGAGTGAAACAACAGCACTCGCACATTTATATTCAGTGACAGAATCCCTTGAGACATACAAGCGGTGTCAGTGCCTCATAGGAGCTGTCGCCTTTGTCCTTGAAAGGTAACCATTAAATGTTTCTGAATTGACATGTCAGGGACAAGTTTACCACCTACACTGTGAGCTGTTTAACCAAAAAAATCAACAGAAAAGCTCTGGGTATCAAGTTTTAGCTCATAATCTCAATGAGGAAATGAGACTAACTTAAAGGGATATTTGCATGTAACATTAATTTAGGGTCAAATACACCAAGTTAGACACCTTCTCGAGAGATGAATGTTGCAGACCGCTTGCCTCTCTAGTTATACCAACTTTAGTAACGACCGCATGATAGCAATACACAGTGGTCTAAGGAGCTGTAAACAAACCTCAACCAAAACGCCACTCTATAGCCACAAGTAATGTTTAGAACAGCACCTAACTTCATCAACTTCATCATATAGGGTCGTAGCCACAGCACTAGCCACCAAACATCTTTTTAACTTTGCCTGATTTCTTTAGCAAAGAGACTAAACACAACTCACCCACCCTCTTCCAGCAGCCGTGTGTTTGTTGCGAGACCTCGGGCCAGTCCATTACAGACTTCAGCGGGGTGAAGCAGCTAAAGAAGAACATTATGACCATTACTTTACCATTTCCCTGAAGTAATAATCACCATATTAATCATTTTGAACCGCAGATGCGGTCGTTCTTCTGCCTTAGCGTCTCAGTCTGATTGCAATTCCATGAAGAAATGATCATAAATTTATCAACATTCATCTCTCCTCTCGAGGTGGTGTCTAACTCAGTGTTACTGTGTGTTTGACCTTAAATTAATTTGATGCCAGAATATCCCTTAAAGCTGAGTGTTACAAGACAAATACCGATCAAAATGTTAAATGATAGAGAAAAATCTACTTTCAAATTTTGATCACTGTAAATTGTACCAAAAATAAACTTATAACCTTGATGAGAAAATGAGACAAAAACTTTAAGTCAATTGCTTTTTAGCTAGTGATGATGCTTGGAAACAGTTTGTCTATATATAAATATATAAATATACAAACATATTAACAGTATATAGATGACTCAAAATCCAAAGTAAGTTGAAAAGAAAATGTCCACAGCTGGTTTACCATGACCTAAAACTTACTTAAAGCCTCTAACTTTAATGAGCCTTATACATATTTAATCTCACAATAGCTTGCTAAAGATAATCGGGAAAACAGTTATTCAGAAGTTTGACTAACAACATGAGGCAAAGAAAAGCAAAATGTTTGTATCAGAATAAAAGCACATGCAATAAGAAATGGCTCTTATTGATGAATTGACATGTTAGCAGTACTTTACTGTAATAAACTGGATGAAGCAGAATTTTAAAATTAGAGAAGTGAGTGGCATAAAAGGAAGCTCCTGAGGAGGTATGGTGATGCAGCACTAAAGCAGAGCAGATCTGTAGTTTGATAGAGAACAAAGTGTTTCTGTAAAAACATGTTCACAGGCTAACGAACACGCTCTGGTTTCTGCCTCTTCAAGATGAGATGGAGGGATTGGACCTGGAGGGTAAGACAGTAAAAGACGTCCACAGACCTGTCAGAGAGATATGGTGACATTAGTTAATGAAGGTTCAGTTCAATTCAATCACTTTCATTGACCTTATTGACAAACACATCTGCAGTTATTGGAAATCACTCAGCTGTTTTCAGGTGGTATTGATTGAATTGAAAAGAACCTTATCCTTGTGAATTAGTGATAAATCATTTTGGTTGAACATTTTTCATATAAAGTCATATTAAGACCTTGAAACTCAGGTTAATGTTGTTGTCTTTGTGTGTGTGTATTTTGATATGATAAATATGTCCATGATACAGAACTGGGAAAGAAAATCTGAATTTGAAATGGAAAACAGAGATCCCAGTGATATCAACTAAAGTAAACAAAGAGTAGCTTTAAGTGCTACAGTTTCAAAATGTTCCACCAAAGTGAAATAGTGCTCACCAAACAGAGTTTATAGCTTTAGTGTAAATCTTATTGCTTGGGTAAAAGCATCCTGATGTTTTATTTTGGATAAGATTTATGTTTCCGGAACGATCTCCTCCATTTAGTTAAAAGCAGCAAAGTGTGCAGCCAAGAGTTTTATTTAGAAAGGCGGATCTTTTTAGTCGTCGTTATTTCCCGTGCTTTACTCCTGTCCTTGACCCGCTCTGTGTGGCTCCGTCTCGTTGACTTATTTGTAAACTGTTTCCTCTTCTTCTTCTTCTTTCCTTCCTCATCCTCCTACAGAGCCGAGCCGGCCCCACGGTGGTCCGGAAGGTCGGGGCCATGGTGAGGAGAGCGAGCCCTCGGATGACGAGATGCTCTCTCTCTCCAGCCAGCGAAGCAGCACCAGCACGGCCCCCCATAAACCCGACCCCCCTGCCCGTGCTGCCCCTCCCACGGCTGAGGAGGTGGATCTTCTCGGTTTGGATGGAGTCAACATCAGCCAACCGTGTCCCTCATCTCAGCCCGCTCCTGCTGCAGCTGCAGCCACTGACCTTCTAGGGGACTTGTTCGGGGCCCCGCCACAGCCAACCAGTGTGCCGTCCTCCGCTCAGTCCACCCCACATAAAGTAGCCCCTAACACCGCCTCGCCGTCTCCTTCCCCGGCACCGCCAGGTGAGATTTCAACTGATTTTACAGAGAACCTGATGAAACATTTGCTTTTAGTGGATCTCTAAATGTTTTTTCATTAAATGATAATCAAGCGAGTGTCAAAAAAATCCCCATATTCCTGTTTGACAAAATTGTAGGGATGGGCAATATGGCCTCTAATCAATATCCCAATATAGTGAGCAGTTCTTCGATAACAATAAATAGACGATAACTACTCCACAAGCTGCTCACCCCCTCCCACGTTAACTTTGTCTACTTCAGCTGCTACAACTTTTGAACCGTCCTCCATCTCCTCACCTGTCTTTCCCTCTTTGTTACTGACTGGATGGGCTGGAGTCACGTCTCTGATGTAGGACATCTTCTTAAAAGGACATGAGACCATAGCCTACCTACACACATTTAAAATTAACTTTTTATTTCTTTATTTATTTTGACACAGATTATATTGACATGGGCAAAATGCCATCGGTTATTGTTGTAAATTCTGGTATTGGTAACATTTTCGGTTTATCGCCCAGCCCTACAAAATACTGCAACCTCAAGGCTCACTTACTCATACCTTCTGGTGCTTTCAGGTGCACATATGAACATTTAAAAAACATTAAATCTCGGTGAAGTTATTCTGTTAAATGGACTGATGATAAGGAGTCAAATCAGAGGAAAATAAGATATGTTACAGCCTGGTTCATCCGTTGTCAGCTAGTTCATCTTTTCTGGTCGACATTTGTTCAGTTTTCCAGCTTAAAACAGAAGAAGTTTTTGACGTAAAAACCATATTAATTCAGACAATTCACAGTCCTTAAAAAAATAGTGGAATAAATGAGAGGGGTCTGGCTGCAGACCTCCACTGTCAGGACCCACCTCCACTGAGAGGACCCAGGGTGAGGTTTGGGCATCCTGTTTTGTATTTTGTCTTTGTTGAACACATGAATGCACAAAAAAATCATATTAACATTATATACATAAAATAAAGCCCCAAGAAATAAAATATATTCACACAAAACAAAAAATACGTACTTCCTGGTCTTATCGCTTTTAATTTGAAAGGCTTCGAATCAACTTCAAACATGAAAAAAAACATACTCCTGGTATATTTGCTTTTATTTTGAAAGGTTCCGGTCTGCTCAGTGGAGGTGGGTCCTTACAGTGGAGGTCTGCAGCCAGACTGTCTTGGAACAAACACAGTCTGTTGAAAAACAACACAGTTATACGATGACATGTTAAACCATAAACACTGTCTGTGTGCATCCCTCAGTGTTCGATCCCTTCGGGGCGGGTCCCATGCCCAAGCCTCAGGACATGATGGGGTCATTCCTCGGACCAGGTAACGCGGGGCAGCCAGACCCCTTCCTGCATGCTGCTCGCTCTCCATCACCCACCCTCCAGCCTACAAGCTTTGGTAAGGCATGCTCCTCTGCTCCTGCTGCTGCTCTGCTGCTGCTCTTCGATTCTATAAACCCTTTCTAAGAACCCTGTCAGGGTAAGGCCCGTTAAACACTACCTGTGATTCTGCTGCCGTGTCCTGACACATAAACGCGCACTGACTGCATTGTGTTTTTAATATGTCATCCTTTTTCTAAGCTATGCTCTATTTCCCGCTCACTGACTTTGCAAGAGAGGGCCTTTTGTGCTGCTGCTGTGTGTGTGAATACGTTTGCATATGTATGCTGTGTCTCAGCTGTCAGTCTGACTCAGATTTTACACAAGCTTGATGTAAGGCCTCCAGCATGAATCCTTCCCATCAACCAGCAACATTTTCAGCCTGAAATATTCCAGCTTTTTTAAGGTTGTACATTTTGACAGAGCACATTCAAACTGTGAAGTCAGGTGAAACATTTATCATATTTATTCCAGACTGATTTATAGAACAGGTTGCAGATCTCAGTTTCAGCTCATTTATATAGATTGCACGTTCTCTTTATGGTAAATTGTAAAGCAAGGTAATATTTGCAGACATCAGCCAGCTGTCTTAGGCTCAAATCTGCTCTCTCTCTCTAGCCGTGTGGGTTAATATTGTTAAGTTTCCGCTCGTTATGTGCTCAGTCTGTCTCAAACTTTCTCTGCTCCTGTAGGCCGGAGTTCCCCTGTCCCACCCACGACCCCAACTGTCAACATTCAGCAACAAAACGCCATGGGAGGATGGGACTGGAACAGACCTGCGACTACAAGCACAGGTGAGAGTTAGAAAAGCACAGAAAGGATGAACACCTCCACAGAAGCTGATATTCTCTGTCCTGGTATTAGCAATAACTGTCTCTTAGGAACAATCAAATATTGGTATGCTGGTTGTTGCACATTGTGGAACTGGAGGTAGACGGAGAAGAAGACGCAGGTGCTGCAAGCGAGCTAGCTTCAAACAGCTCTCTGAGATGATGTGCAAGTTAATTATGTTTATTTTGAAGGTTTATGAAATTGTGTGTTGCTCTGTCCTTGTCTGGCTTTCCCTTGATTTGACCTATTGTGCTGTTAGGCGTCATAATCTTAGCTGTACATTTGTTATGTATGTCTGAATTGATCAAAAAGATGAAAAATAGGGGCACCGTCCCCACTGCGGTCGCGGGTTCGAGTCCGGCCCCAACCATGCGCTGCATGTCCTCCCCTCTCTCTCTCTATGTCTCCATACTTCCAACCTGTCCCATCAATAAAGGCAAAAATTTGCCAAAAAATACTTCAAAAATTCACATAATTTTGTGGCTCTTTTTACTAAAAGAATAAAAAAAGTTAAAAAAAAAGTTAAAATTAGGTCAGTGATTCTGCTCTGTCACACAGCTGGTCTTGAGACCACATTTACATCCTTCTCCACAGTTTTTCAGTAAAATGTTGCCATTATGACTTACAGTTTTTGAAGACTAACAGAAACTCTGACAAGCAAAAAAGCTCTGAAAACTTTACATCCTTTGCAAAGAGAGACAGTCAACCAGCTACAAATAAATTTCCATCAGAGAGGAGGTCACAAAATGTTGATTAAACCTTTAAATGAGGGGAAATTTACTCTCATCAGAAGAGTTTCCCACAGATCAGATGTAATATGTTGTGAAAACCTGCGTTCTGACTCAGGTTTTGTTTCTCTCTGTTTGTTCAGGCGGAGGTTTTGGGATGGGCAGTCGGTCAGCAACTACAAGTCCCACAAGCTCCGTCCACAGCACACCCACCCACCAAACAAAGCCGAACACTTTGGACCCATTTGCTGACATTGGCAACCTCGGAGGTGAGTAACTGAAGATCATCTGAACCCAAACCTGGACCAAATCTTTCTTCTTAGTTTGTTAAGTCACACTCTATCTTGTCTTTTACAGGTTCTGGCTTCTCCAGTAAACCCACCACCCCAACTGGGACTACACCATCCTTCCCTCCAATGGGCTCCCCATCACGGCCTCCTCCTTCTCCCCAGCACGCCCACACAGGCGCTGGCTTCCCTTCGTGGCAGCCGGGTGCTGCAGGTGGTGGAGGATGGCAGCCCCAAGGACAGGGTCCTACCCCTCAGCCAAAGCCCAGCCCGAGTCACACCGCCATGCCGCACACATCACCCCAGAACAGACCCAACTACAACGTCAGCTTCTCTCCGATGGGAGGAGGGGGCTCGCCCAGCGCAGCGGGCAAAGCACAGGCTAACATGGGTGAGCAGGAGCACAAAGTCTGTCTTATTCTGAATCAATGATGTGTATCGATTATCCTAGCTGTCAATAATCAAACCCAAAGAAAATGGAAATACAGGTTTTAAAAATGTGCAAATTTCCATGACTTTCAATGATTTTTTCCATGCTTTCAAGGCAAATTTTTATGACTTCACATCCTCTAAGTGTCTGTCTGCATGAAAATATGAATAAAACTCCTGACAAAATTCTCCTCACTGTATCTTTACTAAAATATGATCTGAGGTTTTTGGTTTGACACTCAGAAAATTTTATCTAGATTTTATTTTGGTATCTACAGAATGATATGAATTTGTGAACAGAGTTTCAAGGACTTTTCCAAAACTTTTTGCTGTCTTTGATTTCTCAAAATTATACCGGGTCTGTATATTTCTTTTTCAAATTATCTTGGCCTTTTCAGGTTTTTCATGACTGTAGAAACTCTGGATGGATGATGCAGAGGAGTAGATGTTGACCTGAAGACTCTAATTTAACAATCTAACATTTTGATCTGACATGATGAATCCAGTCAGTCATTATGTCTAATACTGAACATGATTTCAAACTCCTGAATCACCTTTAAACATGTTTGTTTTCTCTCTTTGTCTCTGTTTCTCTCTCTTAAGGCACTAAACCCAAAGCCTCAGATGCCAACTTTGACGACCTGCTGTCTGGTCAGGGCTTCGCAGGGACCAAAGAGAAGAAAGGGCCCAGGACCATAGCAGAGATGAGGAAGGAGGAGATGGCCAAAGAGATGGACCCTGAGAAAATAAAGGCACTTTATTATTTATCTAAAACACGTCCCAAAGGTTGAGAATAAGGAGCAGAAGGTTGTCCTTGTTTCATTTCTGAGAAATTCCATGACTCCTGCTTCACTACCTCTGAGTAGAACAACTGTTTTAAATCAGTTCACTGCGTTTTCGTCTGTTTATCCAGTGAAGCACAATAGGAGCAATTCAGGGATTCCCAAAAGTAGGATAGTGTACTCCAAAACGGTCCCAGCCTCTGTTTATTCCAGGATTAATGAAGCGACTAATGTAGGTCTCCCATGACTAAACTTTGGTTCCTCTAATTACTCTTTAAAAACTTTTCACTGTCGCCAAAATCACTGAATGTTGCTAATTATTGCTCTGAATCTGGTTGTCGCTGGTTAACTGCTCCTGTCCCCCCTCTCCTGTTTGTGACCCAGATTCTGGACTGGATCGAGGGGAAGGAGCGTAACATCAGAGCTCTGCTGTCCACCATGCATACTGTGCTGTGGGAGGGGGAGACGCGCTGGAAGCCCGTGGGCATGGCTGACCTGGTTACTCCAGAACAGGTCAAGAAGGTCTACCGCAAAGCAGTCCTGGTCGTCCACCCCGATAAGGTGAGACGGATGACGGCTGAAGGATTTGTTTATATTTGTGGGCAGTCGGGACAGAGAGGAGACAAGACTTGAACTTTATCTCTTTATCAGACGAGTCTTCTTTTGATTAACTCTCCTGTTTTAAACTCATCGGCTTAGTTTCCTTCTTGTCTAGAGTAAAAAAAAAACCCTTGAGGTTATTTATTGTACAGGCGCCACCCTGACAACGACCCCAAAAAAGCAACAACCCACCCCTTGTACACGTGTGAGCGATGGAAACAGTGAGGTCAGCTGAAACTGGACAATCCCTCATGTCTGGGGGTTTCCTAACACTCATCATTAGTTGAGCCCTCTATTACTCCTACTCTGTGATCATACATGAGCAAACATTAGTCACACAAACCTGAACGTTACTGTTGAGTTCGACAGACGGAGACAAACATCCACTGTGAGAAACTGACCTCAAGGACAAAAGTAGAAGCGCCATCTAGTGGCGGTGCTCTGCATGTCTTAGAGTATGTCTTTAAAGGTAGAGAAGAAGAGCCTGAGCTTGAATTACATAGGTGAGCCGAACAGCTTCACTCTGAAGTGTCGGAGCTTGTGTCGAAGGTGAAAATATCACATGACCAATGACGTACGAAGCTTCAAACATCACCAGCGCTTTGGAAACTCTTCAGTCAGCCTGACCGTGTAGAAAGTCTCATATTTAAACTTGTTATAAGACAGAAAGTAGGCTGATCGCTCAACAACAAAACTGTTTAACTCATGTTTTATATGTGCAAGTGTAAGAATTAATAATAGAGGTTTGACACTTAAGTTATACTTTATTTGCACCTAACTTCCACCACAGTACATCTCAGTATGAATAGGCCTGTATAATGATAATAGATTTGATCAAGAAATGGATGTACATAAACGGATAAACAGAGTTTTAATAAATGACACAGACTGGCGTTTTTTCCAACAGACTCAAACTGTGAATAGAGGTGCACTCGTGCCTCAGACCATCATTCAGAGGCTGTCATTAGTTTCACAAACCACCAGATGTCTCTGTCTTTGCTCAGCTCTGAATCTTTTTTAGCACAGTGCTTGGTCTTTTTATTTTATTTACTGAATCTCAAACTTCTGCTGCTACAAAGTAAACTTTGAGAGAAAAGGTGAACTTTTTTTGTGCTTCTGGGTTAACTTGGATTGGTCCATATCCCCAACACTCATCAAAAACACATCACCATGCCAATTACTTACAGATGAAGTTAACTATAAGGTTGTGAACAATCAGCATCAAATTAGCACCAGTAAATGTAACTATTAATCAACCATACAGACAAATACTGAAGTGGTAACTGTTCTCTGTTGTACCGACTTAACCTCTACACAAAATAAATGCACCAAAATGTGATATTTGAAGTTTTATATTTGGTCTAGGCTATTTCTAAGCCAGAGAGCTATTCAGAGAGAGGAGTAAAAACTGACAAATGCTGTAAAACCTAAAAATTAGAGGGGAAATCTAGTAAAAGACATCTATATTTATATATTTATTTGGATCCCCTAAGTAGCAACTACTCTTCCTAAACATTCATATAGATTACAATGATAGAAGAAGATTATGCAAGATGTTAATATCATAATTAAAACAGGAATAATGATCACTATATATTTGCAAATATAATAGACACCAATAAGACCAAGATAAATCTACTTGAATGAAAAAGCTAATCTCATCTGTAGTGCACAAGAAGAAATAATCTCTGGTTTTATAGATATTTGTGTAATGGTCTAAATATAATATCAAAGACGGACTAGTGCTGGGGTTGAGAGTTGTTTTTAATTCATATTGAACACAAACTTTTTCACACATGATGTAAACAAAGACAGAAAAACAACAAAAACAATAAAAAAGATAATCATCTCGATAATGTGGTAAATATTTGATCCAAATGTAGAGCTCAGCAGGTCCAGCAAAGAGCTTTTATCCTGGTGAATAGAGTTAGCGGTACCCTGGAGGTGATTAATTATATCAACTACAGTGGCGTTATAATCAGGGACAAAGGTGCAACACTCTGAGCCGATGATCGCGCACGTTCCTCCTCTGGCTGCTAACAGGAAGTCCAAAGCTGCTCTGTTCTGCAGCGCTAACAGTCTTACCGAGGCGAGTTCACTGGATATCAACATGAGAGCCTTACCGGTTTCATTGGCTATGACTTCTATAGCATGAGACAGATCTGCGATTTGATCCAGCGTAGACATAACTCCATATATGGGGAGAAGCGCGCCGAGAACATTCTTGAAGGGGGATTGGTGATGAGTCCCGAAGATGTCAGAAACTCCACGTCTGGATCGTTTGTGAAGAGGTTTCTGTGGCAGGGAGTGAGCCACCCTCATAGCCGGGACGACGTACGCCAAGCCGCAGCGTCCTCTGTAGTCCACGGGGAGATAAGGGTACGCCAGGTTTCCACACACCCAGTACATCCCTGCAGGAGAGGAGATGGAGCAGGCAGCGGTGCGGCGAGCCAAAGCGCGAAGCCGAGCCAGTCCTGCTGCTTTCAAACAGCCCTGAAGTCCAGATTCAAGAGACTTAACAGCTGTATCTCTCTGTTTCGAGTCCCATTTGAAGGTCTGCAGGCAGTTTGATCGTCCCACAGGTGTCCCTCCGTCGTTCTCAAGACACCAAGGCAACGGCTGAGGGATGAGCTGGACGGGGACAGGTTTTGGGACTCTGAGACACTTTTGGCAGTTGGCGTGTCCTCCAGAGCAGTTAAGTGGTCTCATTTTGGAGACGCTGCCGCAGTCAGGATGAGGCTGAGAGAAAGGGATGTGCATGAGGCGGCAGGTGTCACAGTCAGAGGCAGGTAAGGCCATGAGGGGTAAACCCTCCCTGGCTGTGAAGGGCATCAGACCGCAGACGTAGCAGCTGGAGTTAGGGCGGATGCTCTGGGCTACCTGCCACGCCATGGTCAGGAAAATGTTGAAGTTATCGAGGATGACGTCTGGTGCTTTCACGGCCTGTGGAGCGCCCATGGTGGACTCGAATAAGATCAGTGTAAAAAGATGTATGATCAGGGGCATCCTGACTCTGGAGCAGATTTCTTGATCTGTGGAGGAAGATTTTAGGATGTGGATAAACATCAGGAGTCTTGTACGTAGGAAGTGAACACAGAATGAGTTTAATTTGTGAAGAAAACCTGAATTCTTCCTGTTATTACAATAATAGTATCAAAAATGATCACCAAACTACCCACAAAGAGCTGCTCTGTATTTCTTTTTTATTTAAAATTTCCAGGATCATGCAAACACAGACATCAAGCCAACAAAACACAAACCAAGTTACACTATTTGGTTAAAACATAATTTTTATACTACAAAAACGTGTATTTAATGCTACTTACTGCTCACTTCTCTGCTGTGTTCTGTCGTCAAAGCGTCCAAATCACAGCTGCAGCTGACCTCACCTGGTTTAAGTCCTCATGTAGACACCAACAGCATTCATATAAAGACAAAAATCAGCTTCTCAGCCCTCTAGTCATCCTCTCTTATCAGAACGAGATCAGACACAACCCAAAATGTACACAGTCACAGGAGCCATGTGAGACAATCACAAAATCAGTATCAGCTAATCAATCACTCTCTAAACACGACAGGTCTTCATTCATCAAAGCAGGGCAGACTTGTAGGCAGCATTATGTCAGATATGATCTCTAACTGCATGATCCCACAATACGGGAATCCGTTTATTCAGGACTGTAAAAGTGGAATTATGAAGGACACAAACATTCAGCATACTGCATGGAAAGTAAAGTAAGACACTCCAGGCGAGTGGCGCCATTTTTGACCGCTTTTCTCTCTCGTTACATTATACCAATACACTCGAAGAAAACAGAGATGCTGATTGGACTGAAAAGATTTCTAAATTAAGGAAATAAAGTGACCATCAGAGGGGAACAACACAAGTCTCTGTAAACTGGTCATGTGCAGTGGATCTTAGAGCCATCAGGGGAACCTTAGCCTGAGCTCCACTACTGTGCTGGTAGCTAGCAGAATGGTGAAAACAGAAGGTTTTACAGGGAGCTTCACATCTGCATGGAAGCTGCACATTGCTTAAAGAGACACAGTAAAACCTGTTTATCCCCAGAGATGCATGTCTTATATTGGTCTGTATTTTAGAGTAAATAAGGAAGTTGATGTCACAACTTTGACCTCGCCCATTAGTTGTGAGCGTCTGGTTTTTGAAGCATCAAGTCTGTATGAAAGAGGATTAGGGCCACAAGAAGAAAAAAAAATAATTACAGGGAGAGGATTTTTTTAATATAATTTCGAGATTTAAGTCAAAATTTCTGGATAAACGTCAAAAATTTTAAAAAGTCAAAATTTCGATTTAAGTCATGTCGACCTTAATCTCAAAATATCGACCTTAATCCAAATTTTTTTTTAATATCAAAATTTTGACATTATTCAAGACATTTTGTAATCTCAAAATTTTGACTTTAATCTCAAAATTTTAAATTTAAATCTTTGACCTGCTGGCTTCCATGTCTTCAGCAACAAAATTTGACATTTCAACAGTTTCATCTTAACAGGGGAGTCTAAAAAAGAGCTACTTGAACTCAAAAATACCCCAAATCCTTCTCTGTTTATTTCTTACTGGAGTAAAAAGGAGCGTAATGAAGAAGACTTAAACTACTGATTCAAACATAAACTCCTTTAGAAAATGTTAACAGAGGGAACAATTTCACTTATTACCGGGTTTCTTAGCAATTTTTATCAGCCTGTTCACTCATGATCTGGTGGCCAGGAGAGAGGATGAAAGTCTGAGCTGCTTCTTACTCTTATAACTCCTCTTTTAAAAACCTTTGTCCACTTGTTTGTCGAGTTTATGGGCAAAACACCTCATGAGTTTTTATATAATTTCAAGAGTGATGTGTTTTGATGTGTGGGTTTAAACTCCTTTTGTGTTTCCTTCTCTCCTCTCAGGCGACAGGACAGCCCTATGAACAATATGCCAAGATGATTTTCATGGAACTAAATGACGCCTGGTCAGAATTTGACAGCCAAGGACAGAAAGCGCTCTACTAAAAAAACTACTAAGAGGACGCCCCCTGCTGATTCTGTCATCTTGGCCTAAAAAAGTGTCACCGCCTCTGGTCAACATACTCCAGCCGCACCCTTCAACATCTGCCTTTATACCTGTGCTTCAACCCATACGTCTCTTGTTACCGCACAAACACGACTCCTGCCACCAGGCTAGCAAACAACCCCCCTGTAGCTCAAATTTACTTCCCTTCAATGATGTGAGTGGTTCAACATCGTCTTCCCCTCCTTGTTGAGTGTCTTTAGTCCAGGACCAACCCACCAATCAAAGCAGAGTCACCGGGATGTCTGGGAATATAGGAAAACTCTTGATTCAGAGGCAGATGAAAGAAAAAACAACAAAGACGGACGGCTGGAGATAAGAAAAACACACATCAGGGAGTGAAGTGAAGAAGCATTTCACAATCTGCTCCAAATGAAAGTAGTTCAGGGTCGCAGATAAAGGCACAAGAAAGCATTTACAAGCAATTAAGCCATTTACCCATAAGGCATCCTGTTGGAGAAGATTTTGCTTTAACATTTGTGTGAGAAACGGTTGAAATCGCTCCAAGCAGATGCAGAGATTCCCCTTCTACCAAATGTTTCAAACCTGTGCTCAGTCAGCACCAGGAGCTGTTGGAGGTTCAAGTTTACATACGTGCGTCATGTTTGAGTGTGTTTGAAAGGGAAAGAAGTCACACTGCTATCACTGCGCTTAGCTCTAACTCCGATTTAAGAGTTCGCTTCCACTTCCATGAGCCTTGAAAGCGAGGAATAATTCAAAACAACAACGTAAAACTGAAAAAAAACAAGAAAAAAGTGAGAAAGCAGGACAGTAATTGATGCCAATGTTAAAATATAATAATATCAGTATGAAAGATGAACAAGCAGGTGCAGAAAAGTGATACTACTGATGATTTTACGCTGTATTTAAGACTAGCACATGTAGACTTCCACACATGCATACTCTCTCACTCATACATGTGTGTATTAACATGTATGTTTTTTTTATTTGTAAGGAAGCTCGGCGAAAGCACAAATCTTCTCTTGGTGCAGCTTTTAAAGGAAACCTCTGCTATTTATTTATTAACTGACCTCACCGTGTCGTCGTCGTCATCGTGTGTCTCGGACCTGCTGCATTATGGTTTTAATGAAAGCTACTGTACGCCTGTAAAACACTGGAATAATTAATAATCATGGCTAATAACTCTGATTATGACTTTTGTTGGAGAATGCAATAACTCCCTCCAAACACAAACACGCTCTGACATTTCTACTGGTCGCAGAAACTCGCTGAAAGAGTTGTTGGTTGATCCTGTGGAGATAAATCATGTATTTACAAGAGAATAGTGTCTTCTCTGATTTACTGTAAATTACTGTTTCATATCTAAAACTACAGTTTTCTCATAACACTGATTTACACGCACTACATCTTTATTTTTTTACACTGTTTGAGACATTTCTGCCACACTGACAGCTGTTTCTTCTGCACAAAAACAATTGCTGTGTTTCCACCAATAACACCGGGAACTTTTAATCCCAGAGGTTCCACTGAGGTCCAGAGGCTTGTCGAGATCAAGCAGGTTAGATGATGCATGAAGAAGAAAAAAGAAATATGCATTGCCCAAAGGTCCGCCCCAGAGTCCTTTAACTTTTAGGAATTAGTACTCCGAAAGTTGGGACTTTTGGGGGGGCTAAAACATACGACTACATAAAACATGTCCATGACAAGCCCAGTGTGTGACATGGAACCAAAAACCAACAAAACCTCTTGTACAAAGAGAGCGATCGGCAGCCCACTGTTTGCGAGAAGTGAGCTGCACGACATAATTTCTTGTTTTTGTTCGATTTGTTTGACATTTGGTGTGGATCAGCTGTCCACTTTATTTCACCCGGCAGTCCTTTTACCTCCAGGAGCTGCCCCCATAATTTGGAAAGACCTGAGACCCCACTGGACTTAAGTACTAAAGTAAGTTCCCCCAAAGTTCCTAACTCTATTGATGGAAGCACTGATAATGACACGGTTTCATATCAGAGTCAATCCTTTCCATAGACCAACATACTGACTGATCTTGTTATTTTTATGATTGAAACTGACTTCCAAATTTGTGTTTGTTTGTAAAAAGTGTTAAAAGTGTGAAGTCCATGGACCAGCAGAAGTTATGCAAGGACAAAATTCTGTTATAATATAGAAGCGGATGAAAATTGGAGGCGTTTACTGTTGGTTTAAGAGGTTTGAGGTTCTCAGAGGACGCTCGCACAGGCCTGTAACATCCTCAGCTTCCATATCTGTGTGTCATTTCTCATCTGGATGTTTCTCATAAATGCTATAAAATTAAAAATGTGTTGAAATTCGGTTTTTAATCGATGAAGAAAGAGCAGATTATTCGCCTTTACAAGCTCTGTCATCATAGTTTCCACGCCGTCTCTCTGAGCTTTAGAAAAGAAGCTGGTTGTCTTAAATCTTTGTTGACCACCCTGCTCTTACCGTGTTTTATCCTTCTGTTGGAATTCATATTTCTCCAGGATTTTATGATTGCTCACCTGCACTGAGGACGTTGACTAAAAACTGAGAAAAATGACTGACTGCTGGGACTCAGAATGAACCAGGAGAAAATCTGTGTCCTGTGCTCTGGATCAGGACTCTGGGCTCTGGGAACTTTGGCTTTCTTTGGTGACTTTCTAGACACAGGAAGAGCGTCATATGTGCTTCTGTGATCTATTTACACTGAGGACCTATGTGTGAAAACAACCCTCATAAGCTCCCCCCCGCTGACTGAATCTCTATCTTACGGCTATGATTAAAAGCTAACCTCTATATTGTAGTCAATGGATGTGTGTTGTTTGCAGTTGTGGTATGTATGGAAGGGATCAGGTCTGGAGACGGACTACTAGTATGTTCTGTGTTTGCCTGTCTGCTGTTCAAGTATTACTAAATTGTGTAAAATTCTGTTCACGTGCTCCTTCTCAGTTCTGTTAACCGTTACAGGATGTACATAATGATCAAGTGCAGTGCACAACAATAAATAGGAAACTGAAAACTGGGCGAGTGAGCAGCTCCAATCAAGGTGGATGTGGTGTGTTTCTTCTTTTGGCCGCTAGAGGGCAGCAGAGTACAAACCAGTACTGTACAACTGTGGGCGAAATTGAAAGATGAATGCTCAAATGGTGAAGTCATAAATACAAAATCCTAATCAGGTAAGTGTAAAAATAAGTCACTCAGATTGGTGTGATTGGTGTTACAATAAAGTTGTAATTATTTTTTCAACTTCTTTCAACTAAAGATAGTAACGATAGTTCTGTACAGCTCCATTTTCAAAAGTTATTAGGGGGTTCATGTTTTCTATGATTGACACCTGATACAGCCTATGGGCATACAAGGATTGCATAGCTCGCCTGGGGATACACTGTTTGAGCCGAGCGTCATTGCGTCGACTCTACCGCTGAATGCGCACAAATTGAGAGAAAACAGAATTACTGAGAGCTTTTTGGCTTCAAATTCGTATACGGGCAGAAGGCGGAAGCAAGTTGTCCATAGTATATACAGTCTACGGTGTAACATTAGCAGAGCTAGCACCACTCCCCTTCATTCTCCATGCAGTTTAGAGGTTGTATTCAAATTTAAGCATGCATAGGCACCTTCAACACAACTTATGACCAGCAATTCATAATAACTAAAACATTTTTAGCATGTTTAACCGACACCCTAATTTTGGTGCCCACCAGCAAGGGCAAACAGCCCCCTTCACAGCCACATTTGATGATATTAAGCCAACTGTAATGCCAATGATCAATCATACAGATGTAAATAGTCAATAATATAATCAAAATCCCTAATGCTGGTCTATTAATTATTTGTTGAATAAGGTATAATCTACCTGCAGTCCCCTCTTAACCCACTAGAGGGGGTTCTGCCCAGTCTGCTGTGTAGTTTTAAGGTCCAAAGTGAGAAAGAGTTCTAATAGCCAGTAAAAAAATTGTGAAGTGTAAATACAAAGAAGCTCGGTATGCCTGTCAATCAGTTTTAGTATCGCTTATCTTGTAACCTCGATATCTTCATGAAGCTCAGACCAAAAGTGTTGTTTTTTTTTAACCAGGCTTTAACATGTTTATTTTGGCTTTTTGGGTTTGGTGTATTTCTGATGATATAAAGTGAGGCACAGCTTGTGGGTGTTACTTTTCACACAGTTTTGTATTCACTGAACAACCTAAACCACTGTGCCTTTGCAGACAATGTTCAAGGCTGGATAAGTTCCCGCTGAGTTGATATTACTCACAGCTTGTAGCTCCAAACCTAAATGGAGGGTCGTTATAGATGAAACAGCATATCTATGAGTATTTGGATCGGCATAATGTCTTCTCTAAGTGAAGAACTTAGTCACCATACTTTACAAACTTTCCTTGGCTCCATATAAAATAGAAACTGTTTTTCCTTTTATGTACAACAACATCTAACACTATCGTTCACACACAGGCTAAAAAAAGCCATCTTCTTCCCATTATCTACTGAGTCAGTGTGCAAAAACTTGATAAAAGGAATGTCTGCTTCACTTTTCAAAGCGAATTTCAGACATTGGTCAACTGACTTTACAGGTGCAGGCATTAAGCAGCCAAGAAAAGCAAAGGCGACGCTCTCCTTTGGTGGCGCTGCATTTCAACACACTGATGATAATAGATAGAGACAATAACAACAATGCTTCTGTTCATGACATAGAAAATCCCATATGTGACCAGTCAGGATATCATGAGTTTTCCCTCGAGGCTCAGATGCGGGAAATTAGCCCTGCGGTGTTTGTGTTTCACAGCCCGGAGGGAAAAATTTGGGGTGATTTTTTCCCCCCCTGAAATCAGTGATTCATTGTGAATTAAGGTTTCAGCTGGGCTCCTCACTTTTTCCCCTCCTCTCACTCCCCTGCTGACGCACTTTGAGAGAAGTGATGGATAGAGATCATTACCATATGCTGATTTTATATTTTACACATCCTAGATCATTAAGCACGAGTTTATAACACAAACACATGAAAGCAAATAAACATCTTCCTTCTTCATCTCATGTTTACTTCCATTCCTGATATGACTAACTTTCCTGTCATTGTTTCTGTACATCAAGACTGTTGCTGTAGAGAAGCCAGTGAAGCTGTAAAGGAGAATAAACAACACCTCTGACTCTGTCGAGCATTTCTATCTATTCCCCCCAGAGCAGCACTTAACCCTGTGTGCTTCACTGGTCACCAAGCGAAAGACCCCCTACTGTGACTGACAGTATATAACTGTATTTCTGTAGAAACAGGCACGTCTGCAAAACACTGCATAGTTCCAATCAGATCCATAAAATTCAGGAGAAAAAGAGCAGCTGAAGAGCTGCTGTCCACACACTTTGTACAGATGTTTTCCTTAAAGTTGGCTGACTTGCTTGGAAATGCACATTTCCCCTGAGATGCAGGACTGGGGAATTATCAGGAAGATAAAAACATGTTTTCTCATGGCCCCTCTGAATGGTCAGATAGGAGAGCTATACTGTTAAGAGGGTAGAAGCCAGCATTACTTCTGGAGAGGGGTGAGCACGGGGGTATTTTACGGTAGAATCTGACTGCTAGATATTACCGTCTACTGATGTTCAGGGGGTGTTGCTTCAGTTAATAACAAGTCAAAGGGAACCAAGTTTGAGCGGACACTTTAAAAACCATAGATGTGTTTAATGTCCCCATAAAGCTAACCGTATCAGAATGATGAGAGTAGTTTTAAAGCTGCTTTTACTTTGTGCTGAATCACCCGCTTACATTTAATATTTCCACACAATAAAATCGACTTCCTTTGCCGTGTCGTGTTCGGCTCAATCAAAAGTCACTGTGATAAAGTTAAACGCTTTAACTACAACATGAACTTCCAGCCTCACATGCACTGACTTGATAAAAAGGAACATTTCCCACATGAAGGGTGTGATGCGGTGAGAGTAAATAAAGGCGTTTTGGTGTGTGTGGGTGTCTTCATATGGGAAGGAATTCATATCCTGCAGGCTAAGACACAGATATTGCAGCCTGGGTGTGTTGATTAATGTTCATTGTTTTCATTGGAATTTTCTGCTCCCTGTCTTCCCTTAGAGACGAACAGACTAAGACAGGGACCTGTTTTATTTAATATCCTCCAAACCAAGGGCTTTACTATGACAGATATAATAGAAATTTGTACATTTGTCAGGGGTTTGACAAATGATCGGCCACTTGAAAGACGTGTAAGATTGGCTAGAACAAAGGAGGGTTACGTAACATGGAAGGTTTTCTCTGATTGAACGATTGAGTGGAGGAATTTGATTAGCAGAAAGGAAAGCAGGGCACTGATTGGCTGATTGACAGGAGCCTTTTGGCCCATTTCCTCGTTATCCGATTCTTACTTACTTCCTTCTTTCTCCCTTCTTCATCCCCTCTTTCTTATTTTTTTCTCCCCTTACTTCAGCTTAGTGTAACTAACTGCAGTCGTGTTATTTGTACAAAGTTGTTAAAGTCTGCCTTTACTCAGTCTTACTTGTCTCTTTTCTTGATTTGTCTTAACTCAATATAACATCTCTGTCAGTCTGGATTCAGTTTGAGAGATTGTAAAATGGTTTAATCTGCCTCAGGTGTTGTGTTAAAGTGTTGGTCAACCTTTCCTTTCTTTTGGGGTCAGCAGAGTTTTGGGAGCTTACTGGCAGCTCAAAAATAGCAGATCCTCTTTGGCTCTGCCAGTTTACAAGCAGCTGTAGCTGTGATGGAAACCAGCGATGGCGCTATATATAAGAACTTTCAGGTATATAACAGCAGTATTTAAAATAGAAAGGCTGTTGTTGGGGTGTGCTACTCTTTGATATTTGTATAGTATGGATTGATCGGTAAAGAACCAAAACTATCAGCTTAAGGGCACTACAATGCTGAGTGTATACATGTCCACTTTGGTTTATCAAAACAAACAACCTTCATAAAAACAGAATGTGTGATATGAGTTGGTCAGATGTATTTATGAGATGGAAAACTCCTTCTTGTGTGAAGATTTGGCAAAGCGGATTGCATAATTACTCTGTGTAGCTGTGCAGCTCTTCAAAGTACCACCTGTTTTCACTATTTCAGGGTTTTGCAATCCTGCTGGCTACTGGTGCAGGACCGGAGCTCAGTGGTTACTTCGATCAGTACAAACCCACTGACTAGTGTGTCTGGATTTGAGCCACCCACCTTGGCTGGTCACTTTTTGTCTTCAGCGTAGGAGCTTTCAATAAAGTCAGCACTCTGCAAGGTCTTTCATTATAGCACACTATAGTTTTCTTTGAGTGCAGGACTATGACTCAGAGAGGGAGAAAGTGTTGTATAAATCTAATCTATTACCATTCACCTCTCTGACAGCAAGGACAATTTTATATAAAGGACCTAATCAACGCAAATAATTAAGTTTGCAATAAGTCTTTAGTGTCCACAAGGATTACTGTTTTATTATGTGAGTCAGATATTTCCAAGTTTATGAGGTATTTTTTCGGCATATACGACGATCTTCAAGCAAGTTTGATCAAATTTGGAGCGGTAAAGTTTCCATAATCTAACCTTTAAACCAACATGAAAGATCACCTTCCTGGAAGACAGAACAAAGCAGAGTTGTGTCCCATCAAGTTTGTTTGGCCTCGTTGGAGCCGAGTGGTCAGGGAGGAGCCTGCTGTGAATGAGGACCATTGCTCTCGGTTAGAGTGCGTCAGAGAAATTATGGGATCAAATATCCCTCGTCACCAACTCAAACACACACAGACAACCCCCTCAAAGCACCTCGAATTAAAGGGGGACTTTTAATGCAGCTGCTGACAGATGGCAGGCTTGTCACTTCGCTCTAAAGTTAGTCCAAGCCTCGGTGAAATCCCTTTGTGTTCACAGCTACAAATACACACATACAGTCTATGTATATACACACTTTAATAGAGATGGCCTCTGTCCAGTAAAATCTGAGCCTCAGTTACAATTTACAGTGCACCCAGAGGTAAACACATGCATGCTTGCTCACTGTGGTGTGTGCGCAGTGTTGTGCATGATTGGTGTGTATTCTGACACTGTGTAACAGAAATAGACCCTCATGCCCAGAAACAACACATAACACTCTGAACGCCCTGGACTGCTTCTACAAATGCCCGCGACATCAAGAGGGAGACAAATTCATTTTCCACAGTGGACTCGTGAATATGTGCTGAAGTTGGGCAGCTGGTGAGTACTTCTTTCGGTAAACAGCTGACCGTTATTGACACACCTGTTGAAACAAATGGTGGCTGTTTGGTTAGTGTGGAAATATTCATTGATTTTTTTGATTGTCACCCAACTTTTTTCACGTTTACTTTGACTTTTGTTCAAATTACCTTTTCACTTTGAGAAAATGCAATCTATCTGTTTCCTCCAAGAACAGAGTGAGCATGAAAGTTTTCAGCTAATTTTTCACAGATTAGTAAATGTTTAGCCAACAGAGTGTAATACGGCATACACGCACTCAAGAAGCTGCATAGGTCAAATACCACTGCCTCCTATGATACCACTAAGGCCTCTTCAGAAAGGTGTTCAGGCAGGGCAAACATTTGGAGCATAGATGTGAAACCGCAGATTTGTTCAAGCAGCTAATTTCCCCAGAAGTTTAAGTCTGAACCAGGTAAGAAAACACTCTGTAATCCTGTGTACAGTCATGTTCAAATGTGGGCTCTTTTCTAAATCCCTGAGGAAACAATTTAAAGTCTGTTTACTTTGTGTGGCTAACATTAGCAGAGCTAGCCTAGTAGCTAATGTGTCTTTGACCCTCCTGCAGATTATTGTCAACTCTGCTTCAGTCATGATCACTGCAGCTACAAGAGGCTGTTGTCTAAAAATAAAAGTAAACAAGTTGTAAAAAGCCGGTGAACAGACAGTGTACACTTACATATATGTGAGGAGGAGCTTTGTGTGTAAGTGAGCTGGCATGAAGCTGCCAGCAGTGCAAACTAGACTTTTATTTTGTTTGATTTGTGTATAAAAAAAGACATTTTGGGGGGTTGAATTTTCCTCGGTACAGTGTAAATGTAAACTAATCCACACTGGGATTAAGGCTGTGACTCTATTATGACTCAGGTTTGTGCACTTCGCCAGTTTCCCACAGCCTTGAAAACTGCCCTCCTGATCCAGCTGCAGTTTAAGCTCAGGTGCTCCAGTTGCAAACACATTTAAGACAAGCCTGGGGCGAACTCTTGCCAGGCTGACTTTGATTGGCAATCCAGTGCTTGTTTCATTGAGCTATCTTTTAATCCGTGTCTAAGATAACAGTCCCGGTCCATTTGCAGGGTTCAATCTGCTGCCCATTTGACCATTATGGCTTTTTTTTTTTTTTTTCTCGAGGCAGGAGTGCAAAAGGTGAGATCTGAATGCCGATCTCCATGGTGATGAAGAGCTTCTGCTTTGTGTTGTTTGCTTAGATGAACCTTTGAGGCTGAACTGACACAAGAGCTAGGCATGAGACAGATTTTTGACCTTGTGTTAATCCAGTTAATCTTCATGTGCACATTTAGGACAGGAGTGTGCAGGAAGACATCAATGAGGACACTTAGGGTGTTGTCCTGAATATATATTCTGGTCATGAAGACCAGCAGTCTGTGGCTCTGCAGGGCTGTTATGGCAGCTCAGGTTGCTTTGCTTGCTCTGTATTGTTGTCTCTGGTGTCTCTCATCTTTCTGTTGGTGATACCACAGAGGGTCTCTTTGGGGTTCAGGTCAGGCCAATTGGCTCAGCAATCAAACACAGTGATACCATGGTCTAAAGACAGTTTCTGGTAGTTTTGGCGCTGTGGGCAGGCACCAGGTCCTCCTCCTCTTCTTCTTTTATTCATTTTCCATGTTGTGCACTTGAGGACTTGGACAGTCTTTTCATCATGAAAAACAAACCCTTCATCTATCTCTCTGTTATCACTCTCTGACCTGAGATTAGCACAGATGCTCCTCCCTGACTTGCACATTTAATACACAAGTCATGTGACTCAGCACTGCGAGTGCAGGCCAGGGTAACTAGCTACCCCACTAGGTAGCATGTGGCACTCTAGATGACTGCCTATATAGCCTGTGCCAAAAGCTGGTCCTGCTGGTTGTTGTGACAATAAGAAGCTGATGTAGTAAGACATTAAGAGCTATACTTCAGTAAAATTTAACAAGATGTCCTGTGCTAGCTGCTCTTCTGATTTCCCCTTCAAAATAACATATAATCTCACCAAAGTCTGAACCTACTGCTGTTTTCTCGTAAAATCATCACTTCGCTGTTCAAGAAATATGACTAACTTCTCTTTATTCTCTTTATTCATGTAACATATAGCTTCATTTCCATGATATTACAATTTTTCCAATGACATTTAATCATTATAAGAAGTCCATTCAAATTCCAGACACACTCTTTTCTCTTTAAAATGACTAGACTGACGGGAAAAGAAAATAAATATCCACATGTTCTCTGCTTATTGACATTCAAGGTCTCTGATTTGCACTCTATCCCTGACAACAGACTGTAGAGTACATCATGCTCCGCCAGCCTTGTGTTTTAAAAGCTGCAGGAAAGTTTTTTGTCCAAGTAAAGAGCCGTACCTTAATGGCATTAGTGTTTTTTGGCCAAAGTTTGTGTTTTGTTTTTGTGTTTATGGACTTTTTCAGCCTCAACATGTTATACAAGCTTTCTGAGAACACCATGATTCAATCTTCCACTGCTCTGCAACAGTTCAAAACACGGTACCTCGATTTGAGTTTTTAGGGTTTAATAATGCTTTTAAAGGCACTGCATTGCAAATATAGGTAAAAGAATTGACTCATTGTTTAATTTCAGGAAAAATAAAAAACTGCATTAAGCACTTCCAGTAAAATTGAATTCTTATTCTGTTGTTTTGTAAGTTTGCCTCCTCTCTAATTTTCCATTTTCTGTAATTGCCTATGGCTTGTTTACTGGTCAGCTGATTATGTTCCCCTCTGTGTAAATGCACTTTCACCACCCTTCTTTTCATGGGCTGGTTCACCCTCATACTTTCTGTTTAGTTTGGTGGGTTATATTAGGTGGTGACCTGCTTTACCTGGCAACACAGAAGCACTGAGACGTGCACACACTTTTGTTTAAATACACACACACACACACACACACACACACACACACACACACACACACACACACACACACACACACACGAAAGGTCAGCAAGCATTAAAGGCGCAGTGTGCAGTAGTGAGGGGCACTGAGCTCGACAGACTTGTTGGAAAACGACTATAATATTCATGATTGTGTTTAGATTAGTGTGTTATCACCTGAACGTAGGAATTGTTGATTGTTATTTTATCGAATTGAAAACCTCAAATCTCTTTTACCAATTTCTGAACGAGCTTTTGGGACAAAGAGAGAATAAAACTGTGTCGTCAGGATAAAAATGGAACCCAGTTTATGATTCATTTTGGCCAAGATTATTCACATAAATAGAAAATAACAAGGGGCTTAGAAAGGAGCCCTGTGGCACACCTTTATGGATAGTAATGATGTCAGAGTATAATAGACCGAGCACTGCGAAGTTTCAGAAAATGACAAGAGTGAGACTTTAGCGTTATGATATGTTCGGCTTCCAAAAAAAAAATTAGCCTTTTTTTCTAATGTCAATTTATACCTTAAGACTGATGTGGTGTGTAGTGTGAGAGTGGGTCAAAGTGCGTGACCGTCACACCCAAAGCGTGATGCTTGGCAGCTCTGTAGACCATCATGCCCAGCGTTCTGAGACCAATGGGTAAGATAGAGCGTTAGAGCATTATGGCAACAACCATCAACCAAGCTGCGGTAGGTGCAGCTAAAAATATTTATAACTTCATAAATTTTCCAGTGAGAGTGAATATGTTTAACAGTTTATAACAGTTTTAATGATTTAACTTGCAAATTCCCAGAATAAACTATATAGAATAGTGAATTTCAACATTTTTAATAGACCAGACCCCTGCCAGGCTGTCATAAGTTTTCTTTTATTTACCTTATATTTCTTGTCTTGTGCTTCCTGTTTTATTTTGAAACCCTTGACTCATTACTTCCTGCCCCTGTGTTTCCCTGATTTCCTTAATGTCCACCAGTGTCTTGTTATTTCCCACTTGTCATGTGTATTTAAGCTCAGCTTCCCTTTCCTTCTGTGCCAGATTGTCTTGATTCCCGTATCATCGCTCCAGTAATCCCCTGTGTGTTTGCTAAGTGTTTTGACCTGGTTTGACATCTCTGCCTGTTTTGATAGCTCTACTGTGTGTCAAACCTTTGGTAGATGTTTTTTCTAACTTTTCTTTTCTGTGGAAGAGATTAACAGTGAGTGATAAGTTTGTAAAACACAGCTAAATTAGATTGTATTCACAAAAACTACTTTCACTCAGGCAAACATAACATGAGCTTCTACCACCAAGAGAGACACAAACCAAAAGCTCATCACAGCAGTTTCAAAAGCTAAGTCTGCAAATGACAACTCTATAACCAACTTGAATGAGTCAGGTTTACTGGAAGGACATTTATATTAAAATAAATCACAACCATTATGGGTTTTTCTATGGCACCAGCCAGGTGCAGATGTTCATTCAGAAAAACACAGCAGTGAAGTAGAGGATGCTCCCCTGCCTGGCTATCTGATTTAGAGCTTTTATGCAGAAGAAAACAAGAATTTCAACAGCTCATTGTGGCAGACTGACGCTCTTTAGAGGGAAATTAAGGTTGAGGATGGAGGTATGACTCAAAGATTGGACTTTCAGTGTGATATCATCAGTCCCCTAGTGGATGTAAACTGCTTTAGTGGGAGTCAATGCAGAGTGAAAACACTGCCTCATGGCCAGACACAAGTGGGTGGTTGCTTGTGGGAATTATAGAAAATATAATATAGGGTTTCAGGTGGCTTAATATGAAAACAAACTCCTTCTTTTCAGCATCTTCTTGGTGAATTCACTAATCCTGTCTGTCATGCATCCTAAATAATCAGAAAATAGTCTTCATCCAAGAGCTTATTTATAAGATTATCTGTTCTACTGCTATTTCTAACCAATGCTTCTCCAAATATGTTATCAATTAAATACATTTTATCAATTAAAGACATGAAGGAAGCTTCTTATTTATAGTCCTGATGATTATTGCTTGGTGTTGAACTCTGGTGGCAGAAGTTATCATGATATTAGCAACGAAGCCACTTAAAGGGATATTGCGGCGTAAAATAAAGTTACGGTGTGTTTAACCTTAACCTAATTTTACACCAGAATATTCCTTTAAGTAATGGAGTATAAAGAGCAAGAGAGTCCATAAAGGGAGGAGGTTGGACATCTCAAACCATGACCTTTTCAAAACTGATCATTTGGTGAATAAACCTAACATTTACATCTCTGAACCAATAGACAGTCATCAGATGAAATCATAGTTTCTGACTAGTTGGGAAACATTTAGATGCAGCAAGCCATCGATGTCCAAGAACTGTTGATCATAACCTTTTTATTTCTCGACAATCACTTTGACAAGAGTTCAAGGTAAATTTTAATTGCACTTTGATGCTTTGTTTGAAGAGATTGATGAAAGCTAAATTCCTGGTAGATGACTACTGGAGATTCATGGATTGCATTACAGTGGGCTTCTGCTCACCACACAGATATGTTTTCCAGATTTCAGCTAATGCATGCTGACGCTATACTGGAAAATTACCCGTTCTGCAAATCCAAAAACGGATTCAAAAGCCAAATCTGGTCAGAGGCTGCTGATTTTATGTTTGTTGCATGAAGCAGTGATTCTGCAGACTTCTATTTCATAAATTTTGATGACTCTCTACAACAGTTGTGTCATTTTAAGTGTTCCCAACATTTAAAATTAATGTCCATTTAGTTCAAGTATGTGCTGGCAAACTGGCATCTGTTTCTTTGTTGAACTTTGCTGCCAGTTTTTGATTACACTTATGTCCATTTATGTCAATCTACTAAGAGACTGAACTGGAACTATTACTCATGTGTATAGCGTTAATCATTTAAATGCTTGTTGCTGTTCTTAACTTGTGTAAGCCGCCTTGAAAGATAATTTATTCAACCATGTGTCAAACTCGTCTTTCTGACTAATAACCCGGCTCCGTGAAATACTTAATTCTGATTGGCCAAGGAGAGAAGGAAACCTTATATTGGTGGTTCATGGCTGACAGGCCCTGAGCAGAGAAAAGAAGAGAAGAGAAGTTAATTAGAGATGTTAAAACACTCAAGGCGACATCCACCAAATTGGAGAAAACGTAAGCAAAGCAACCACAAACTTTACAAAATAGGCTTAAGCAGTTTCAAAGGATCTTTAGAGTGTGAAGATA